GTGTTGGTGGTGGTGACGTACAGTACCTGTAGAATGTTGGTGGTGGTGACGTACCTGTAGTGTTGGTGGTGGTGACGTACAGTATCTGTAGAATGTTGGTGATGGTGACGTACCTGTAGTGTTTGTGGTGGTGACGTACCTGGAGAGCGTTGGTGGTGGTCGGTGGTGTGCCTGGTTGCACGACTCACGGTACCATAAAGACTTTCTTGAACTTCATGCGTCATCATCAAGGGCTGGGTGTAGGCGGCCACAGAAGCTGAGGAGGCCCTACGTTGCATTCTGGACCCACCCTGTCCTTTTATCCCGCTTTTGGGAGCGCCGCCCATGCTAAGCCTCCCGCCTTTGCATCCTTTCCCAACGCTGCTAATACTCCCACTCCTGCGGCTGCTCTTACTGGCACTAGCTGGGCTGTTCCTTTTCCCATTGCTCGGCCCGCCCATGCTGAGGCTGGTCTGGCTACCCTCTTCAGGCGTCATGCAAGTGACAGAGGAGCGTGAAGAGTGGCGACTGCCAATGCTCTGGTAGTCAGGCTCCGGACCTGGGGATATAAACAGGTGAAACCATCAAGATTGTTAGCACCGGCCACCACCACAATCTGACATGCACCACGAACCTCGGTGTCAGTACCTCAGCAGATTACGACCACCACTAGATCAGCACCTTCACTCTGATGTGACATTCACTTTTCAAAGAAAAAGTGGATGCAAAATGTTAAATTGTGAGTAAATACTTAACAGCGGTGCCTTTCTAACTCCAATTCATACAATAATGAGATTGGTGGGCATATTGGTAATAAATTCGTGTTCAACAATTTAAATTAAAAATTTTCATAAGTGTGTGATCTGGAAAATGGAAATATAAATTACATTCGTATACAATAATATTACAGTCCAACTCCAGGCCCCTTTTTTCAGTACTGTTCATGAAATGGACAAAAACTTGAAACCGTTTGTTTACCGTAAACCCGGTTTATAAGGATTGTGTAAGCAAAATCTCTCGAAAGACCTCAAGTGTGATATATAAGGTGATTATAATTAGTAACAGGAAAACCATGAGGCCTTTACGCCCACGTTAGAAAAGAAACATAGACCTTAAACACAGTCATGACGGGGGACCATTCGAGGATCATTCTTTCTGAGTCGAGTTTCAGATAAATCTGCATCATACCCGGTTTTTTCGATAAAACATTTTTTGGTTTTAAATTGCTTTCAGGGATCCCAGTAGCCCCCCCTCACACACACCACACAAAAAATCAACCTTAGGGGAACTGATTCATGACCAAAGATACAAAATGACTACCAATGGTAGCCACACGTCCGTATTTTCCCGGACATGTCCTCCATTTAGGTCTCGAAATCTTCATCCGGAAGTAATTTTTAAAATTCTTCAAAAGTCCGGAATTTCAGCTTCCATCATTTTCTCCACGGAAAAAATCATGAAACTGTAATGACGAGAGAGAGACTGTGAGAGAGGAGAGGTGGAAACCGTAGAGATCTCTTTCAGTTTTCGTCAGCTGATAATTCACGTGTACGCCTGTACGGTGTTGTCAACTTAGCTGCTAGCAGTTTTTGGGTTGAAAGTATAGCCTAGCATTTTTTACTTATAGCTTTTTTTTACACTGTAGCATTTGTTTTTCTTGTCCTGCATTTAAGGCATTTTAAAGGCATTTTAGCTATTTTCAACCATAATCTATCCACTTTCGCTATATTATTTACGTAAGTTGACAACTATGACGGTGACCGGTGGTTGGCCAGTCTTTAACCTGCAGTGACAGTGTTTGATCTTAGTCTTTGTTGTGGGTTTGTCGCTTGTTGCCACAGTTCAACTTCCGAGAAACATCTTGCAGTGACTTCTATACCTTTCTAAAGAGCAATCAGCCAATACTGAAAAAGATCCGATCTACAGAAAAGTATGCATGGGCACATCAAGTCACACACACAGTGGGGGAAGAAGACTGCAGCTAAGGGAATGAAGATATTAGCAAAGGTAATTTTTTTTATATTATTTTTAAGATTTCTATACCATGTATGTTGTATATTAGCCTACATTAAAAATACAATGCAATACCGTACACCGTTACTGGTGTGTATATATATATATATATATATATATATATATATATATATATATATATATATATATATATATATATTAATGTTATGCAAATATGCAAAATTAATTGTCACGGCTGCTTCAAGGTTACATGGCGCCTAAGTGTGTGCCGGGCGGAGGGGTGGGTGGGGCCATGATGTCTTCGGGAAGGTACTCTTTTTTTTTTAATGTTCAGATATGGCAACCCTACTACCATGCGCATGCTGCACAACGGAAATTCAGCAGTTTAGAACAATTATATAAGACTAGGCAGGACAGTGTTACCATCTTCGGCACATTTACACAATTTTCGTCAATTTCAGCCATATTCTACAACATGAATATACAAAGGTAAGTAGAATATTCAAATATTGTAGGAACAATAGCATTGTTGACAGTTAATAAATCTTTGAGTCTTATTTTGAATAAAATTAAAGCATTTCTCTATATATGGACAGATAGATAAATAAATAATAGTAACTTACAGTAATCACGTTCTGTGTCCAGTGGCTCTCTATACCCCTCCTTCGTGGGTGGTGGGGGCGGGTGTGGGGGGTCCAGGTCCTCCCCCCGCCCCTGGTTGTAGGGGACCGAGCGGGAGGAAGGAAAGTTGTAGTCTGGTGGAGGGGGCGGAGGTGGTGGAGGGGTATCATCGTAGTCCTCTAGCGGGTTAGGTGGTGGCGGGGGAAGTTCCATATCATAATCAGTGGGTGGAGGCGGTGGTGGAGGAGGGACGTCCAGATCGTAGTCCTCCAGTGGAGGAGGTGGTGGCGGTGTAGGGAAATCACTCATCATCTTATTACACTTTCTTTGAAACGTTCAAATCACTCTCTCAGGTTCCTCCTTACTCACATCACAAATTTCCATTACCTAACACAGCTTTCGTCATTTTTAAGTAACATATTGCACCTTACATTTCAATTGTAATATAACATTTGCTAGCCGTGTCTTAACTGACAGAGAGCAACACAATCAACTAAATTTGAAAAAAAAAATCAGCATAAACGGAATACATTCAGAATAGAACAAGGTTCTTGGTAGAGTATCACAAAGACCTATCCTTCCTTGGACCCGCTTCTCCTAATAGTTCCCCCCGCCTCTTTGGTACAGAGGTATAAAAGCAGATCTATATGAGTCCAATGCTAGCGGCAATGTAATTCACATTTTCGGTCCCCAGGCCCCGATGTGGGTCAGTGACCTGTGCCCGGGTGGGCTAATCCCAGTAAGAAAAATAAAAAAAGTCTGTATACAGTATTACGTAAGCAGCCTAAGAACATTTTATACGCGATGCCAACATGAATCATCCACAGCAGAACAATATTGTGTCACCTGCTAGAGTTTCTGAATGTATGGGTCACAGATTGTGGAACGTCATTGTAATAATGACAATATATGCCTTGACTTTACCGAGGCAACTGGCAGTGTAACCCAAGGAATACAGAAGATATATATTTCTTGGTGCAACCATAGAAAGACTGGAATTAAACTAAAGGGATACGGAATACAGATAACTATCTTATTGTTACGACCCTCCCTTCGCCGCTTACCCAGCTTCCACCACTGGTTACCAGCGGCTAGGGTTTTATATACAGAAGTAACAGAAGCATTAGCTATATCACAAGTGTCGTCGAATTACTACTGGGTGTCCCGCCAGTCTCCGGTACTTTCCCGACGATCGGTATCAGTGTACAGATAAACAACAGGCAGGTAGATTTCCACCAGGTCACAGAAACACACTTGTGCTCTGTAGACGCCTTTAATAGTCACTAATTCTTCACAACACTGTTCACAGGGTAATGTCTTCTCAGCTTGACTCCACACTTCGAATATATAGTCAGCACACTACCAGTTTTCTCACGTTATATTAATCACAACAATTTCACAATGCTTGCACAACAATTATCTCCAGTTGTCTTACTAGGCTTGTTGCACTTTACACTCTGAGCAGAAACAGTTGACGACTCCCTCTCGCAGTCTCGCTACCTCTTATATACAGTATACTGTATATCTCGTCACTCGTCAGACGATTCTAGAACCCAGACAGGTTTGGTAAGTTCTAGTACATTCTACTCTGATCAAGGCTTACAATAGGAAGTAAATCTGAACAAAAATGATGCAATACATTCTAGGAAATTCTTACATAAGTAATACATCAATATATACACGAAAATCTCTCTAAACTTGCCAAAATAACTGCTGCTTGGCACAGAAAATAATCACAACACCTACAGTAGTTTATAAACACTATAATAGCTACGTATAATTATGTGGATCTACGGTGCTGTGGGTGTGAAATCGCGAGCGCCCTTATTCACTCACATTCAGCGAGTCTAGGAACTTCTGAAGTACCAGATCCTGCTGCTTTATAAAATTTATCGTTCATAAAATAAACCAAACTAACCTAGTTAACCAAATATTACCTTCCTAAACCTAAGCGTCACCTAAACATTATAATATGATTTCAGCGTAATCTTCCTCCCAGGCATTCTAAGATCACGTGTAACTGCAGGTCTGCAGTAATTCAACCAAAACATTCTGTCAGCATAAACATATGCCCCCAGCAACATCATATAGAACAACTTAGCTTAGCTTAGCTGATATCTGCCTTCCCTAGCCGCAAGAGTCCTCTAATGCAGCACTGTTGACGGAAGACAAAACCTCGTCTCCGCAAGGTGGATAGCCCACCTGCTGTCAACCTCCCCCTATATTTCCCACTTGTGAACTTTACCTTGTGCGGCACCTTTGTTTCACCCTCAGAGCCAAGGTTCTCTTCTCTCCGTATCACCAACTAACCAACAGGGTAACGCAACATTTATTTTTCGTCTTCCTTTGCAAAACAAAAGATAACTGCAGCTTTTAGGTTAAGTTAAGTTAGTTAATTAGGTTAGTTTGGTTCTTTTTATGAGTGATAAATTATATAATGAACCAGTATCTTGTACTTCTAAAAGTTCTTAGGCTTGCTCGTGTTTTTACACTCGTTAAAATTTATTCAAGATTACCAATAGAAATAATAATATTTAATGATTTACTGATGAGTACCCAACCAGACTGAAAATATACAAGGTCAATTTATATGATACTCGTGTGGTTGACAGGCTGAATTCTAGAGAAGATACAGAGAATGCTAAGGTGATTAAAATACGGGTGATAATTAAATGCAATGAAATATTGATAATTAAATGCACTGCGAGGTTTGCGACAAAAATTGTAGGGAGAATAGCGCATTTACAGGTTATTAGTGTGTATATTAGTATGGATAATATTGTTTCGGGTGATACTGCTGCTGTACTCGATATTTTGGGTTTAATATGGCTGGAACGAGTGGTCGTAAGAGAAGAAACCCAGGTGGTAGTAAAGAACAGCGATAATGGTGGTTCACCACCTTCACCCTGAATTGCCTGATGATTTTTTGTGATAGTCAAGGAGGACTACGAGATTCACTGTAGAGTATTATACTGATAAGCGAAATGCTGGGATTGGGAGCTTACGGTGATCTTGCAAGGCTTCTGTAAATATTTCTCCAAAACTTGTCCTTCATTCACAAAAATTACAAAAATGATTTCCAATCACATTAGCTTGTCTTCAATTTCTAACAAAGAATTGTCACAGTAATAACTCAGTTTGTGTATGTGAAAAACATATGCTTCTAAAATGCAAGAATTACAGAAATAGGTCAACAAAATTCGAACCATATATTTCAAGGACACTTTCAAAGAAACAAAAACAAAATTTCATTGTCAGCACTGGATACTTTTTGCTAAATTATTATGAGTAGAAGTGATAGTATTGCTAACCGTTGAATAGATAAACTGCGATTTACCAGAGGTTTAGCAAGCTGTTGATGGATTTACTTCTGTTCTAGAAAACACGCTTAACTGAGAACACTTCTGTGCTTAACTTTTTTTTGGGGGGGGGGGGCACCCCACCCCCCCACATCCTTGTGTAAGGTGAAGCGCAGAAGCGTTTACAGCGCCCAACAGGGTAGCATGCTAAGTTCATGCTTGCCTTTATGTCTCATGAGTTAAGGGCGTAGAAACCTAAGAGTCAAGGGGCCTGAAGAGTCAATGGTTTATGTCTATGCAAGTTATTGGAAACTCCAACAACTTGTCCCTGAATATGAATTCACAACTTTCGATTTACAGCAGATACCTACTTTGCTGCTAGGTGAACAGGGACCAAGGGAGGCTGGGAAGTGTGTCCGAACAACATTCCACCGGCCCGGGAATCGAACCCGTGACATCTCGCTTGCGAGGCAAGAGCGGTACCGTTATACCTACCAGCGCCCCCTGTGCTTAACTAACGTCGAGAAGAAAAGGGACCTATAGCCTGTACATGGAATTATGCCCTCTTTTCTCATGTCCAGTATTGTTTCTGACACGTTATCTACAGTAACTGAACAAAGACTTGATCGCATTTAGCAGCAACCATGGCTACGTCGAGAGAAATTAGATTTTGTGGTGGAAACAAAACGCTTTTTGGCCTTTGCAAACACAAAGCTACATCAAATAAAGTCTTCGAATAAATAAGGGTAGAAAGATATCAGTGAAATTATATACGACTATATTTAGCTGCATGAAACGCCAAAAAGATTTCATTAACAATCTAAGTCTGGTGAGCAAAAGGTCCCCAGTAATTGGTAAAATTGGCTTATGTGAGTCTTATCTTCAAGAAGAGCAATCGTCACTCCACGAATAATTATAGACCAATGAGCCTGACCAGCATAGTATGGAAAGTACTTGAGAGCATTATAAGAGATGCCATGATGGTACTCTACTACGAAACAACGTTGTAAAGGATTGCCAGCATGGTTTTATGCCGGGGCGCTCCTGTTTAACACACTTACTCAATGTACTAGATGTTTGGACCCAGATTCTGGAACAGGGTGGCAATATCGATAATATATACCTAGATTTTGCCAAGGCTTTCGACAGTGTACCCCATGAAAGGCTGAGAATTAAACTGGAAGGGTACGGGATTCGGGGACGTATCCTAGCGTGGATCGAGACTTTCTCCATGATCGCAAACAGTGTGTGGTGATTAATGGCACGAAATCGTTATGTGTACCCGTGACGAGTAGAGTACCACAGGGCAGTATATTGGGCCCGATGTTGTTTGTTTGCTTCATAAATGACATGCCAGAAGCTGTACATTCCCCCATGCAAATGTGTGCGAGCGATGCCAAGTTGTTTACGGAAATGACGAACCAAACAGACTGTGAAGCACTGCAGAAAGGTCTCCGTGAGCTTCAAGAATGGTCGAAGAAATGGCTGCTAAGATTCAATGTCACGAGGTGTAAGGTGAATGGTTAGTCTTTAGAAACTGTACACTGCTGAATCGTTAACTTGTTGTACCAAAATAATATAGATTACAGCTTACAAGGTGAACTTTTCTGATTGTTCGTGTTAAGACCTGAACAAAAACAATAATATGTTATTATTTTTTACCAAATCTTACCGCCGAATTATTTGAAAATATTTTCATAGTTATATAATGAAAAAATATGAATGTATTATGAAATATACTGTAATCGCAACATGTTTGATGTGTTATAAATGTCACTGCCTTCACCACCGAGTCACATTTCCGGTTAATATAACACGAAGGCGTTGGGCGTTTATTTGCCCATTTATTTACTCACATTTTAGTTGATACTAAAAGTAGGAAAGATACCCGAGTGACTGCGTGGATGATTATAGGCAGTGGGAGTATCAGAAACTATGGGCTACGTGCCATTGTTGTTACTCGCAGCCACGCCTTGCTTACAACATCAGTAATATCCTGTATTCCTGTTCTAAACTTTATCCATAATTATCTTTGTGTTTCTCTTTTCCTCGTCATATATTCACTTGCTGTACTGTCACTTTATCTTAAGACGTTTCTTGTGCTTCAAAATTGTTGCGTGGCGTTTTATCTGCGTAGTAGTACAGTACTAACAACCCATGTAGAAGTGAGGGACCTCGTCACAACAGTTGAGGCGTACTGTGTTTTGAGATGCAGCAGCGTATGTGAGGTGAACAGCAGGACTGTGCTGTGTGCTGCACCATACACACTCGCACCTCCACAAACACATACTAGTAAGGAAGCAACGTACTGCCTCGTCCACTCCTGTATTCACACTAACAAAAACGCTGCTCCACACACACACTACTTATCTAATCTTGGCCAGGATGTGGTACTCCGCCTCTTATCAGTTCACCACTCTACCCTTATACAGTATATCTACACGAATGGCAGCTCTCCATGGTATATAAAAGCTTACTTATGCATCACTGTGGGGGGAGAGTCTTCGTGTTATATAATACGGTGCGTGAGGCGATGTATCGTGTTGAGTGAGTGAGCGGTATCCGGTGTTATCAGATCCCCCCCCCCCGTTACCCCGATGTACTGGCCTGCCCTTACTGGACCTTATCCTGTCTCCCTGTGTCTGTCTCATTACGTCTATGTGCCAATGTCTTTTCTTGTGTCTGTCCCCTGTGTCTTTCTCTCAGTATCTATCTTCTTGTGACTGCCTCTTTGTGTCTGTTCATTGTCTGTCTCCCTGTCTGTCTCCAGGTGTCTGTCTTCAAAGGCTACCAGTTTATTTAAAACGTTCAAAAAGGGCCACCAAAGTGGCACTCAAACACTTCGCTTACTAAGACGGGCACGAACTTATTAAATTATCTAGTTTATACTATAGAAAGGCAGGGGTGATTTCACACAAGTTTAGAAACGTCTCAGAGGACATTACCCAGTTAACTGTACAATCACAATCCAAAGGCCCCCCCCCCCCAACCCCAACCCCAACCCCCAAACCCCGGGCTGGAGGGAAGGCGAATTCAAGGTTGAAGAAGGGCCAGACGAACGGACACCCAGTAGTTTGGTGATTAGGAACGATGGGAGTGCGGCTCAACACAGTCACTCAGGCAATACACACGAACAACAGGTATGAAATATGGCTCAAAACATGGACATGTGGTATATTGGTTGGGCCATAATTGTTTTATGAACATTTATATATAACGACAGCACAAAGCATATAGAGTATATCCGTACGCCTGGGCTTTCTACAACCTTAACTTCTTTTTGCTTACTTTTATCCTCTTCACCACTGATCGGCTCGTTAGCCGCTTGGGCTATCGGTCTCGTCTCTGTTACGCACTGTTGGCAAGTACTGGGCATGCACCGGCTCCTGAATGTATCTGAACCTGCTCCAGTGTTGGTCAAGTCTGGTCTTGAAAGAGCTCACACTCGGTGCTGTCACAACACTTCTCTGGCAGATTGTTCCAAGAGTTCACAACTATCAAACAGCGGGGTGAAGAAACTTAGAATTGTGACTGTACATATCTGGAGAAAAATCCTAAGCTCCCCACAACTGTAAATCTGGCCGTAAAAGTACGATCCAACAGTTTAAATAAACAAATTAAGGCAGCTTGTACTGGCACAGATGACAGTTAATATCACTGCAACTGCTATATAAGCAGTTTTGTTTTGTTTTTTATTTTCGCCACTTATCAGCTTACTAGCCGTTCGGACAGTTCGTCTATCCATTGTTAGTACAGGATGAAACCGGGAACCGGGAAACCTGTGATGTTTGGGAGTGAGGATCACACTGGAACACCCTTCTCATGTGTGTCCGGTCCAAGGCTCGAACCATTGACATAATGTGAGTTACGCGCGTTACCGCGCCCAGGTCAACGAAGTGAAATCATCAGTTGGATTTTTTGTCTTCCAGTATTTTGGAGGCTTACATACACTAGTGAAATTCCTGGTGGAACAGACATATCGGGATGGTATTGGCTAGGTCGGCCACAAAACGACCAGGTAGACCTAGAAGACGCAACTGCTATAATACGATTTCCAGAACCAGTAGATTCGGAGGACAACAAGAGTCAACTCCTAGGGCCGAGTCGGTAGTAGCCGAGAAGGAGCTAACAGGAGTTGAGGATATGCTAGAGACTGTCAGTTGACTGAAAATGTCCACTACGGCACATCAGCTACCCAGAGAGATTAGAAAGTCTGCAACTGCCTAGCTTATACTACAGACGGGCAAGGGGAGACATAATTGAAGTGTATAAACATCTCAGGGCACTACTCGGTCGAATATATCACTCGCAACAAAAAGTATCGGTGCATACTGTAGTGTGAACAATTTGAGACCAGTGACGATAGGTATTGGGAAAGGCGAGTTGTTCCAGCCGTATGTTGGCAGCCCTGATTGTCAGCCATATGGCAACACCTAGTGGAGGTGGGGGGGGGGGTTATGAGGATACACTTACCAACCTTCCCGATATATCACAGTGTATACGTATCGTTTCGAAACTCGTCAATCTCACCCTGCACCGATACTTTTTGGTGCGAGTGTACATACCTGGAGCTGGCTGACGCCTGCCGCACAAGGGGTCGCAACTCAAGGTTGAAGAAGCCACAAGTTCAGAAAACAGTGAGGGAAAACTTTTTCGGAGTTAGAATTGTGAACTCCTGGAACAATCTGCCAGAGAATTGTTGTGACCAGACTTGACCAACACTGGAGCAGGTTCAGATACATTCAGGAGCCAGTGCATGCCCAGTACAAGTCAACAGTGCGTAACAGAGACGTGACCAACCGCCCAAACGGCTAACGAGCCAATAAGTGGCGAAGGGGATAAATGAAAAGTAAAAGTAATCTGGGAGCCTGCGGAATGTTTGGTGAATTAAGTCCAGAAATGAACATACTGTACTATATTTCGAATGACCTCTTCAATATATGTATCAGTAAACACCACTATAAAACTAGCCTTTAGATAGGAGTTTCACAGGAATTATAATTTGCCAGGAGCCTCTCCACTGATGGGTCTAGGGAAGTTGTTGAAAGTATGGAACCAATGATTCCAATGAGCAGCAATAGTGTCCTGTCCCTTAAACCGTTCACGCTCATTTTGAGAACCTTTGCCTGCACTTCGGCACTTCAACTACCCTGAGAGATTGGAGCGCCTGAACTTGCCTAGCTTATACTACAGACGGGCAAGAGGCGACCTAACTGAGGTGTATAGTATCTCAAGGGGCACTACTCAGTCTAGTGTCCTTACTTGGAGCTGGTGGACGCTCGCCCCACAAGGGGTCACAGCTCAAAATTGAAGAAGCCGCATGTAAAGAAAACTGTGAGGGCAAACTTTTTCGGAGTGAGGGTTGTGAACTCTTGGAACAATCTACCAGAGAGTGTTGTGACGGCACCGAGTGTGAGATCTTTCAAGGCAAGACTTGACCAACACTGGAGTGGGTTCAGGTACATTCAGGAGCCGGTGCATGCCCAATACTTGCCAACAGTGCGTAACAGAGACGTGACCGATCGCCCAAGCGGCTAACGAGCCGATCAGTGGTGAAGAGCATAGAAGTGAAAAGCAAAAGTAATAATTTTAAGTGCTTCATGGTAAGTAGAGATAGGCCTACCTCTAAAGGCTTTATTCAGCAAAGAATTTACTTTAGCATAAATCTGTGACCAAGAAAATAATTAAGCACATAAGGCCTCACCATTCTGCAAGTAAGGAGCACCTGTATAACTGAAAAGTGATATTTTGATATATATATATATATATATATATATATATATATATATATATATATATATATATATATATATATATATATATATATATATATATATATATATATATATATATATATATGCATATGCGTGCATTTACCATTTCTTCACGTTGTAGTTCAATTTTGGGTATACTGTACACTACTACTCCTCTAGTTTAGGTCAATAGTAATTGTAATTTTAACTTATGAGAGTATTTATAATTATAATGTAACTAAACTTTTAAGTGATAATTGTAATTAGTAGATAGTAGGCAGCTATCAACAGGGAGGTATTAACGCCTGGGAAGATATTAGAAGCATGTGTTGTCTCATGGTAGACCCTGCTGCCATATGGCATCACGAAAATTGTGACCAAGTCCCACCAGGTTGCTGAACTGACTTTATGCCTCATTTACACACAATTGCAGGGTCTCAATTGTTTCTCTTACTTTGACAACACAACATACATACAGTACATCGTTTCTTACTGTTGATCTTTTTTTAATTATTATTATTTTTATTTTTTAATCGAATTTGTTGATTATTATTATTATTATTATTATTATTATTATTATTATTATTATTATTATTATTATTATTATTATTATTATTATTATTACTATTGTTATTATTATTATTATTATTATTATTATTATTATTAGTATTATTATTATTATTATTATTATTATTATATTTTCGCCCCCCAGGCCCTGATGTGGGTCATTGATCCTTGCCCGGGTAGGTTAATCCCCGTAAAAAGAAAATATATGAACAGGATGATTTGCATCCTGGGTTTGTATAAGATCATGCGTAAATCAAAGGAAAAACGGACAAGGAAACATACTTTACATAGGAGTTTCACAGGAAATATAATTTGCCATGAGCCTCTCCACTGATGGGTCTAGGGAAGTTGTTGAAAGTATGGAACCAATGATTCCAATGAGCAGCAATAGTGTCCTGTCCCTTAAACCGTTCACGCTCATTTTGAGAACCTTTGCCTGCACTTCGGCACTTCAACTACCCTGAGAGATTGGAGCGCCTGAACTTGCCTAGCTTATACTACAGACGGGCAAGAGGCGACCTAACTGAGGTGTATAAGTATCTCAAGGGGCACTACTCAGTCTAGTGTCCTTACTTGGAGCTGGCGGACGCTCGCCCCACAAGGGGTCACAGCTCAAAATTGAAGAAGCCGCATGTAAAGAAAACTGTGAGGGCAAACTTTCTCGGAATGAGAGTTGTGAACTCGTGGAACAATCTACTAGAAAGTGTTGTGACGGCACCGAGTGTGAGCTCTTTCAAGACCAGGTACATTCAGGAGCCGGTGCATGCCCAGTACTAGCCAACAGTGCATAACAGAGACGTGACCGATCGCCCAAGCGGCTAACGAGCCGATCAATGGTGAAGAGGATAAAAGTAAAGGGGAATGGCATCCTAGCTCAACAGTACAGTATTTGTAATTTTTCTGCTCCTATGCTAACAGTGGACAATAAAGGTAACAATAATGTAGGAAAAAAACAGATCCACTGCCCTAACAGATTGTGAGTTGATAAGTGGTGAAAAAAAATGTCAATCAAACTCTGCCGCTGTACCCAAAGATACTTTAGTCCACCGTACAGTGTTTGTCTCTACCTCAGCACACATGTTGTCTGAAGTAACACGACACTGATTTTCTAATAACTTATACCACTTTATCATTCGTACCAAAACACATGACTAATAATATGAAATTTATCATTATATTATGAATGTAATTCCAATAAAATACGTATAATTATATACATGCTTTTTCATATCTGAATTACGAAAGAGAACCATTACTAAAGTCTTTTGCCAGAGAGGGAAGAAAACACTGGAGCAGTGCTGACAGCGGCTCTCATATATTACACTATGTCTGTGGATGAGTAAGTGTTCTAAAACTACCTTGTCCAATCTTAATGTAATAATAACTTAGCAACTGCAATAGTTCAGTAGGGTAATTGTAGTGATACATGTATCATTCACAAGGTTAGGAGACCACTACATATGGAACCCTAACTTTACTTGACTTTATCCTCTTCTTTTTACTTTACTTTTACGTAGTGGATATTTTGCCGTGACCGGCTAAGTTCCAACTAACGCTATTTTACCGTGAGTGCGCGCTGATTGGCGAAGTACTTTCTGTTTAATATGACGGGGGTGTGCCCCCGGCCACGGAGTTGGTAAGGTAGGTTTCTTTGGTTGGTTCGGTCCGGTTCTTATTGGCTCAAGTAAATGTCACCTCAGTTAATACTGGGCCTCCTCCACTGATGCTGAAAGCATAGCCATCCTCGCGGGCATTCATGAGGGGGCGACCTATGCTTGCACTGAACGCCGGAACCTCCTTATAATCAGTGACGGCACTTCTGCGCTAGCGAGGCTCAAATTACCCTCCCCCTCCTCCCCTGCCGCCCAACACACCCTAGCCGCCGTTGCCGGGCTAGAACAAACTGATGACATCCGTGTCAAGTTTCTTTGGATCCCGTCACATATAGGAATAACTGCCTGTGACACTGTTGATCGGCTTGCCAAAGAAGCTACACAAGAAGAAGATACTGAAGCCACTCTCGCCCTCTCCCTGAATCATCTCAAATCGCGCATACACGCCGCACAACGAGAGGCATTCAACGAAAATTGGACACACCTGAAACAACGGGGTAGCGTCACACTATGCCACTATGACGCTGTAACCGGTGACGACAACCGCCACTACAAAGAATATCAATCCCTGACTCGATCTCAACAGATTATGCACATGAGACTGCGCCTAGGGTACAGGTACCTATGGGAGTACATTGACAACCCTGAGCCTCACCGCACTGTTTGTAAACTTTGTGGCCAACCCGACTCTCACGCCCTCTCTCACTACATCCTCACTTGCCCTATGACCTCCTCCTATAGGTCCCCAGCCGTTACCAACACCTCTTCCCTCCCAGACCAGATATCCCTCCTCCTAGTCACAGGCCTGGCATTTGACATTATTAGGGACCTGCCACTCTTTGCCATAAACAGATAAAATGTACCGGGAACTTTCCCCCCCCACACACTCATCATTCTCTCACTTTATGTAACTTGACAGAACCTATGACCCTTCAAGCTTTTACGCCCTTAATGTACGAGTCATAAAGGCAAGTATGAACTTTTCATACTTCCCTGTTGGGCGCTGTTAACGCTTCTGCGCTTCACCTTGCACAGGATGTAAGGGGGTGCCCAATAAACTAGCCCCCTCGGGGGCAAATCTGAAATCTGACCTCAGTTAATATATAGGACTAACTGGCGAGCGAGTTATATTTATTATTTTTTATTTTACATTATTTTCATCAGTGATTTCTGATATGATAATCATTTATTATGGAAATTGTTCTTTTCATAATATGTAAAGTACTTGAGAGTATTATCAGAGATTCTGCGATGGAACATCTACTATAAAACAGCCTTGTAAAGGATTGCCAACTTAGTTTTATGCCAGGGCGCTCTTGCTTAACACAATTGCTCAAGGTATTGAATATTTGGACCCATACTCTGGAACGGAGTGGTAATATCGACAATATCTGTATTTACCTAGATTTTGCCAAGGCTTTCGACAGTGTACCCCACAAAAGGCTGAAAATCAAATTGGATGGGTACGGAATTCGGGGAAATGTTCTAGATTGGATAGAAGACTTTCTACGTGACCGCAAGCAGTGTGTGGTGATTATTGGCACGAAATCATCATCTGTACCTGTCACAAGCGGGGTACCACAGGGCAGTGTATTGGGCCCGTTGTTGTTTGTTTGTTTCATAAATGACATGCCTGACGTTGTACACTCCTCCATACAAATGTTTGCCGATGACGCCAAGTTATTTCGGGAAATTAAGAACCAAGCGGACTGTGAAGAGCTGCGGAAGGACCTCTGTTGGCTCCAAGAATGGTTGAAGAAATGGCTGCTGAGATTCAATGTCACAAAGTGTAAGAGGATGCACCCGGGGCATACCAACGGTAAGGAGGCGTATCATATGTCCCAACGGGATGAAGAAACTGCACTATTTGAGACAATGTGAGAAGGACCTAGGTGTGTATGTTGACAATGAGCTGAAGTTCTCGGGCCATTGCGAGAAGAAGGTAAATAAATTATTGGGTCTTATAAGAAGGTCGTTCAGATATCTAGACGCTCCGTCCCTCGTAATGATCTTCAAGAGTGAAGTGCTTCCCCATCTGGAGTACTGTCACCCCGTCTGGTCCCCGAGATATGCTAGGGACTGTCAATTGGTTGAAAATAGTCAAAGGAGGGCCACCTGACTGGTTCCTCCACTTCGGCACCTCAACTACCCTGAGAGATTGGAGCGCCTGAACTTGCCTAGCTTATACTACAGATGGGCAAGGGGCAACCTAATTGAGGTGTATAAGCATCTCAAGGGGTACTACTCAGTCGAGTGTCCTTACTTGGAGCTGGCGGACGCTCGCCCCACAAGGGGTCACAACTCAGGATTGAAGAAGCCGCAAGTCCAGAAAACTGTGAGGGCAAACTTTTTCGGAGTGAGAGTTGTGAACTCTTGGAACAGTCTACCAGAAAGTGTTGTGACGGCATCAAGTGTGAGCTCTTTCAAGACCAGACTTGACCAACACTATAGCAGGTTCAGGTACATTCAGGAGCCGGTGCATGCCCAGTACTTGCCAACAGTGCATAATAGAGACATGACCGATCGCCCAAGCGGCTAACGAGCCGATCAGTGGTGAAGAGGATAAAAGCAAGTAAAAGTATAATTAGGTGCCTAGGCGCGCATTAGTTTATCTTGTGGGCAGTAATGATGCCGCGGTCTACTGAGGGGCTTTTCCCGCGCCCGAGGCAGTTTGTTTTTCAACATGTCGTTTGAAGGTTGTCGCCAATCTTACATGGACGTAATTTGTGAGTTTTGGGGTAAAGACAAGTAGACCCTTCGGTCATTTTTCGTTAACCACCCATCACATTTTTACAATATTTTTCTCTTCCCATTTAATAAATATCTTCGAGAAACCAAAGAATATATACTTGAATTTCACAGGGCATTCCGTAAATAACCGTGATATTGGGGGGTCCGCTGAGAGGACAAAGTAGTGTGCGTCTAGTTGCTTAAATTATCTACCAAACAAAGCGTTTGCACAAGGCATAATTATCATATCAGGACTCACTGATGAAAATACAGTAAGAAAGTTAACAGTAAAACAAATAACTCGTCCATGGTCAGTCATCAATATTAACCCACATTGTAAATATAGATAAATGATAAAAACAGTGTTGATACATCTCTAATATCAAACATTTATTTATGAGTTGAAACATAAACAGTTGTACAGTACTGTAACATGGCATAAGGGTACCAATGATTTCATGTTCAAATAAGAAAACTGTACCGTAGTTCCAAATGGCCTTCAGAACAGTTTTACAGGTATTACAGTATTTTAGATATGTGATGACCAAATTTATTTTGGGTATTATTCTCTTAGGTATAATTTTAGTTTCGGTCATCCGGGGAATCTTAGGAATATAGGTTAGGTTAGATATAGTTTCTGGGATCTGTGGCTAGGTTGGTTAGGTTAGGTTAGATCAAAGTCATTCAAAACACAAAAAATCATCGGAAAAACTTTTTGGTGACCGAAACTATAATTTTACCATATTTTTTAATAATGTTCGTAATACTGTACAGTACTTAAAATTCTTATAATTTTCTTTACAGTGTGGTGAAGTCTAGTTGGGCTGATGAAGTGGAAGAAGTAGAAGGTAAGTCCATACTGTACTAATTTTCTTTCCACAAAGCATTTTAATCACCACCCTGTTAATTCTTATTTTATAGTTGATATATACAGTACTGTACTGTATACAGTATTGTACTTACCAGTAGCTGCCAGTGTTGCATATCAACTTATCCTGTCTTACAAACACCATGCTGTCACCATACTGTACTTGTCATGGTTGCATATTCTATTTATCTCTGAATTTCTGTCTTGCTTTGCTAAAAGCCACATCCTGGCCAAACATGTCAAGGTACAGTAATATTCAGCAGGCTAGAATAAGAAGTGGCAGAGGAAGCATGTCCTGGAATATCCAGGAAAAGGCTGATGTGTTGACCTCCTAGGCAAAGATGACTAATACCAGTGTATTAGTGCAGCGTACCTGGTTCTATGACATTATTTATGCTTAAGTAAAGTGGGTGAGGAATTCTGAAACTGTAATATACAGTAATTAGTGAAGATTGTTTTATCTAGAATGTGAATTTTCATACCTTGAAATTTGGGGGAGGGGGGGGGGTAAGACATCTTGTCTTTGAAGGATAGGTTGGTAACCAGTTCATATTTTTGAGCTTCTCTTAAACTTGACTGTGACCTTAGGTGGAGTGGAAAGTGAGTCCCAGAGGCCTGTTGACACATTGGTACATTAGGGGCAGTGTGGATATCACACTGTACACAAGGAGGCAGCATGGCTCGCACTGTACTCAACTGCTTTTACTTCTCCAACTACTATAAAGTTAGGTACCCATTTAAAGCTGGGTATACAAATGATGCTGGGTGTAAACCAGGTTCTTAGGATATGAGGCAAGTGCTGTGTCAACAACCACTGCATCCCTTCTAGTGGAGTGGCCATTAGCTAATTCCTGATTTGTATTATTACAGTTTGTGACAGATTAGTCCCCAATGAGGTATCTATACACCCCCATTAAGTCTTTTTCTTTCAGTTCTAAACTGAGAAATCTTTAATGTTCTAGTTTCTTGTAAATGAGATGTTTGCTTGAATCAGTCTGGTAGCACATTTTTTAATATTATCAATCATTTGGTAGTCTTAACATATCATTGGGAGACCAAGCAGTAGTACACTACTGTACTTAAGGTATAACAGCACACTGCCTTTGAAGACTTAATGGTGGTGGACACTAAATGTGTAGGGTTGTCCACAAAAAGTAAGTTACAGTATTGCTATTCATGTCTTTATTTTAGTTTTGTAGAAAGAAAATCAAAAGAAAACAAGATAATAAATATTTCATTGTATTGGTTATAATGTATATTATAACATCGACTGCTCCAAATGTTTGACAGAAGACACCAACTATCAGTCGCTGTGTTTATGAAATTCTGTACTGTAATTGCAAATTCCATTCTTCCACAATATTTACATTCAATTTGTCAGTGTTAGCAAATTTAGTACAGGTTATCCTATAATTTTTCTTTCTTCATTCCTTCTTTCTTGAAAGCTAAGGATTCCCTACTCTGCCCATTTTTTTTCTTCTTCCTTCCTTCCATAAGGCTAAGAATTCTTTACTCTGTCCCCATGTGCAAAAAAAATGGAATGCAGAGAACAGGAATATCCACTGATGATGGCTGCCATCCTTAAAGCTAAAGTCTTCTGATGATGGCTGCCCTTTAAGGGTTAACCACTTGTGTATGGGGTCCCTCTCTGCTGAAAAGTGGCATCCTCATAGTGAAGGGGTTAAGTAACATGACAAAAATAGAGGACATTAGAGAAAAATATATAGACATGCCATTTCTAGCTACAGTTTAAGAGAAAATTACTGTATGATTTACCACAGAAACATACAAATACAATAATGAATAAATTAGCTGAGTAATTATAGTATCCATTTTCTGGGTAACCTTGTGCAGTATAAGATAAAGTGAAGGATGTACAGTACATTACTGGAAGTGAGGGGATGGACATCCAGTAAGCAACAATGTGTGTGTATTACCAGAAAGCTGTGGTGTCAAATGATCTTTAGAAGCGCTGACAGTGCTGCCCATTAATAATACCTGTACAGTATATACATATTGAGGGCTTTCTTATATGCTGGGTGTTCATTCATCCTTTAAATAAAGGCAGTGAATATTTTTGCCACGACCGGCTAAGTTCTTACTAACGCTATTTTACCGTGAGTGTGCTCTGGTTGGATAATCGTCCATTACCAGCGAACAGTGCGAGAACTATATTTGACAATGACATTGGCGGCATTTGGCAATTATTTTGCCATTAGTCGATCGTTGTGTAGCTATAAACATACCAAACCATATTTCTGCCGTGCATGGAAACTGTACTCGCAAAATTAGAGGTAAAGATTCGTTTTAGGTCGAACATGGAATTGCATATTTCTATTTATATAGAGAGAAAGAAAATAATATATATTACGTTTCCGGTGCAAATTTATATTTTTTAAGTATTTTAACCGATAAGACGTCCCTAATTACCAACAATATTGGTCGTTCAAATTGGGCAGTAGAGGGAAAATGTGGGGTAAAATACTAAAAAGAACACCAAACATGAAATCAGAAGGCAACTGTTACCTCATATTTCTGTATGTATACATGGTTCTGGTAGCATCATTATGAAATTTTTTATAATTTTTAGTTTGCATTGAATATTTCCTGATATATCCCTAATTTTTACTGAATTTTACCAGAAATAATGTGTACAGTACTGTATTGTTTTTTCCAGGAGGAAATCTTCCACCTACAGTTGAGAAGAGTGATGGCAATAGCAAGACTATTACAGAGTACTCCTTAAATGAAGATGGAAAAAAGGTTAAGGTAAGGGCAAGATAAAGTCACTGAACACAAAAAGGTTAAATAATTTAAGTAGTGATGGTAATTTAAACCTACAGTGAAACCTCCATATAACAGGCTGCTTCCTCCATATAGTAAGACAACCAGGTGGATGGATCACAAATCTAGGAAAGACTGCAAGAGAAAATACTAGATATGGAAGAAATACCAGAGCACTGGGCATCAAGTAAATTATGTAGTACAGACAATCCCCAAGTTATGGATAGGTTCAGTTCCTGGAGGCTATCTGTTAGCCAAATTATCCATAAACCAGAAGTGACCCTTTCATAGATGATCAGTGAACACACATAGTACACAATCATGATGTACCACGTATACATTTACTATACCTACATGATACAATATTTTTTAATTAATTAAAAAGTACCTGTAGTATTAATGTAGAAACAGGAAAGAAAGATAATTACAAAAATACAATTAAGTACAGTAACTACAAAACTAGTGTACATATTGTAATTCCATTTACCTTTAATCCTGGAGTTGATTTGCTCATCCATACTGCAATTACGTATGTGGGTGCTTTCCAGTCATTTTACAACACAATTAAGGGCAATTTATGAAAGTTAATTTGGAGATGATGTTTCGGGGATGCTCACTGTAGCGATGTAACAATATGACTGAGTGCAAAATGGCTCCTTATGAGACACCTCGACCAATCACCTTATGTCTCCTCTGCAGGTCTCATCCGCACTACTTGACGTCCATAACAATTATACTCGTCTGCAACCCAAAAATGAACTTATGGGAGAGAATCCGTAATGTCTGAATTACGTAACCTAGGGAATGTCTGTATACAAAAGAGTCCAAAATGTGGCTAATCAGGAAATTAGATCAGCCAAATGGCACTATGAGATGAAACTTGCGCCAAATATTAAAAAAGATCCCAAGTCCTGCTATGCATATGCCAGAAGTAAAATAAAAGCCAAGGATACTGTCGGTCTTCTAAAGGACAAAAACAACGTGGCCCTAGAGGATGATAGAGAAACAGACGATACCTTAAATGAATACTTTGTATCAGCAGTTACCCAAAAGACGTTGGATAGCATGTCAGTACCTAAGAGAATGTACTGTATACCCTACAGGGGCAGAAAATGAATTAAGAGAGTAAGCAATTATAGACGATATCCTCAAAAAGAAAATAGCCAGCTTGAAAGAAGTGGAGTGGACGAAGCACAGACCAAGGTGATAAAGGAGGTGGGAGACGAGATTTGGGCACCATTAAGACTTATTTAGTTAATCCTCGGATCAAGGTAAAGCGCCTAGGGACTAGAAATCAGCCCAGTATACAAAAAGGGTGGTAAAGGTGCAGCAGAAAACTTGAACAGGCTGATCAGTTTAACACCACATATATGCAAACTCTTCGAGAAAATTCTGAGGGATGCCAACACCTGACCTAACACAGTCTTATCAATGCATCACAACACCGTTTAATGGAAAGGAAATCCTGCCTGACAAACTTACTCACGTTCTTTGAAATGGTAGCAGACTTCATGAACCAAGGCTTACCAGTGGATGTGTTGTACATGGATTTCTCCAAGGTTTTTGACAAAGTCCCACATGCATGACTAGACTTAAGATCCAGGCACACAGCATCACAGACAAGAATTTGAAGTGGTATACAACTGGCTAGAAGACAGGCAACAAACATTGGTAATACATGAAGTACATTCTGTATGGAAAAGGGTTCTTAGTGGAATACCACAAGGCTCTATCCTTGGACCCACCCTGTTTGTGATCTACATAAATGACATACTGTAGATGAAAATATATCAAGCCACATTGTCAATTTTGCAGATGGCACGAAAAAATTTGGGAAGGTTGCAAGCTGGGTTGTTATGATTTAAATCAAATGATTTAAATCGATTAAAATCAGAGTAAAAAGATCATGATTTAAATCAAAATGATTTTTTTACTAATAACTGTTTTCTCATCACCTCATCCAAGCACCTGACTTTCAAAAGCTTCATCATTATCATCTCTAGTTACAGATATATCAGATGCTCCTTCTCCCTCACCATTTAAGAAAGATAAGAGGGATAGTTCTATGGAACAAAGAAACATAACTGGTTTTGTGATAAAAACTACTAAGTCTGAAAAAGTCACTTTGGATCAGCAAGTTGCTAATTATATATATGCAACAAATTCCCCCTTCCGAACAGTGGAGCACGAAGAGTTTATCAAGATGATTAAAATGCTAAGACCAGGATATGTTCCACCTAATAGACATCAAATTGGAGGATCTCTTTTGGATCAAGCCTACGATTCAGTGATTAAGAATTATTCAGAAGAACTTAGTGGGAAAACAGTTTGCATGGCCATGGATGGATGGAGTAATGTCCATAATGAGCCTATAGTATGTATAACTTTAACAGCGGACAACTGTATTTATCTTGTTGACTCTATAGACACAGAATCAAGACACACAGCTGAATATCTGTTGAAATTAGCTGAATGTGCTACAAAAAAGTGTGAAGACAAATTTGGATGCACAGTAAGAAGCTGTGTAACAGATAATGCTGCTAATATGGCAAAAATGAGAGGTGAATTCAGACAAGATAAATCCATTATAACATATGGTTGCTCTGCACACCTGTTAAATTTGCTTTCACAAGACCTGTAAATCAAGAACATTAAGGAGCACATTACTGAAATCATTAAGTGTACTTCAGAAATCATCACATCCCAGGATCTTTGTATAGAAGAGCAGGAGGAACAATGCTAGAAATACCATCAGAGACACGATGGAACACGGTGACAGATTCTATTGAATCTTATTTAAAGAACTGGGAGACCCTTGTCAAAGTGTGCAAAGAAAATAGTGAAGACATTGAAAGGAAACTTAATGATAAGGCATTAAAAAGAACTGCAGAAGACTATTTAGAGAAACTTAAGCCTATTGCTGTGGCATTGGACTATGACCAGAGAGAACATACCCTATTAAGTGATGCTGTAGAAATCTGGGTAAAACTGAAAACTGATATTAAGGAGTATTTAACAGATAAGAAGGATATGGATAATTTTGAAAAAAGAATCAAAGTAGCATTGACAACCTGCCCATTTTCTAGCTAATGTGATAGATCCAAGGTATCAGGGCAGACATCTGACTCCTGAGCAGTGAGACATTGCAGAACAGTATGTGTGCGAGTCTCTTCCACATTTCCTTTCAACATTAATGTCCTTCCATGGAAGAAGTGCACCATTTAAAGAGGTCTATTTTGGTAAAGATGTTGTAAAATCTCTCTCACCCCTTGCTTGGTGGCAGTATTTTGCCAATGATATGACAGAAAATGTAATGGATGTTCCTCGGCAATTATTTACAGTTGTTGCATCATCAGCAGGGGTTGAGAGAATTTTCTCCACATAAGGATTTGTACACTCAAAGGAAAGAAATAGCCTAGGACAGGAAAAGGCATCTAAGCTTGTCACAGTACATAAGCATTTCAATGTTTAACTAAGCTAATTTAAATGTTTTGAACTATTTTTGTTGTTTACAGAATGAGAATATTGTGTTGACTTGAAGTTATTACCGGTAATTTTTAATGCCCTACACTATAATCCTACAAATGTAAGAAAATAAACTTGTTAAGATTATTATTATTTTTTACAAAATGCGAATATTATTCTGTTGACTTGAAGAAGTTAAGTTATTAATTTTTGGAACACTGTAATCCTATAAGAGCATTTATGTTAAATTTCATTATTACGTTTGGATTTGTGCACTCAAATGTAAGATATGTTACCAGTTTTCTTTTATTTTACAAAAAGAATATTATTGTGTTAAATTCCATTGGTACATCTACTGCATAAATATCTAATGCCAATTTTCTGTTTATTATCCTGAATAAGCTTTGGTTGAAAAATACTTTTTTATGGTTTAAAAATACTATTTTGATGCGTTTAGTAAAAAAATTAAAAACTTTGATTTAAATAAAAAAAAATCCGATTTAAATCAAATAAATTGATTTTTTTTTTTTTTTTTTTAAAGTCATGATTTTTTCCAACCCTGGTTGCAAGTCAGTACAGTGTCACAATAATGCAAAAAGACTTGCATGAGCTGCTCAAGTGGTCTCAAGAATGGCAAAAGCTTTTTAACATTACAAAATAAAAGATAGTTAATGTAGGATACATTACCCCTAATCACAACTGTATTCTATTAATAACACTTTCCTGGACACTGACGACAAGGAGAAAGATCTCGGTGTTGTGATAAATCTTTCATCTGAAGGCGGCGCAACAAGTAGGGGCAGCAGTGAGAAAACCAAATCGAGATTTAAAATTACAAAATGTACCTTCGAATACAAAGGTAGGAAAATGCTCCTTCAGCTGTATAAATCTCAAGTACATCCCAGTCCGGATTACTGTATACAGGTATGGAAACCCTACCTCTAAAAAGCTCTTAATCCATAAAGAAAGGTGCCACACAAAGTGACTAAGATGATTACGGAACTATGTCATCTCGATTTTCCAAGTAGTATACTGAGGGCCTTAGGACTAACAATACAGCAGGTATCATTGAAACATTCAAAATCCTGAGAGGATGGAAAACATAAACCCAGGACATTTCTTTGTGATGTCAAGCACCACCAACATGATGGGGACATAAATAAAAGCACGCCAAGCTATCATGCAAAATGAATACTGTACAAGGAAATACTTCTCCACACAGAGGGTAGTAGACCAAAGGATTGGTCTACCAGTCCAAGCTGTGGAATCACAAACAGTACTGGGCTTCAAAACAGTCCTGGGCAAAATTATCAGGAGCAATGGAGGAATCCTACACAGGCCACTGGCCTCCTTCCCTTGGTATGGCCACCTCTATTGGGTGACCATTAGGTAAAATAAGGTTAGATGGGAGTTTCACATCTAACGGACCCTCAATGTAACGGATTTTCATCTCCATATAGTCTGTTAGAGGTTTCACTGTGGTACTATCCTTTTCCTCATGGTAACTAAGACACTGCACCATCAGACAAATGATGATAAAACTGTATGGCAGTAAGTGGTATGAGTCCTGTAACTGAAATTGGCTTAATGTTTTTTCTACAGTGCTATGACAGTAAATTAACCAAATATTGTATTACCATTGGAGAATACCTAAGCAAAATTATGTTTATTGTTGAAGTTTCTTAAGTGCATTATGAAGCAGTGGTATTAGTAAATGCATGAGGCAGGAAGTGGTGATAACCATGCTTTATCAGTGAGAGATGTGAGGTGTTTTAGTGAACTCATAGAGTTAATTTCTGTATCAACTCAGCCAAAGTCTTCAGCTCAGGTAATTACAGACTACTCCATGTCCACTATCACATAAATTTTCAAGTTTTGATATTGTTAGGTTAGGTTTTGGGCACATCTTGGTTTAAAACTTTCTTCCTGTGATCCATTTTGGTTTTAAACACAGGATCTTATTGGAAAATTTGTCTGGTTTAGCTGGAATTCATATACAGTACAGTAATTAATACTGTAAAGAACACAATTATCACTGCTTAAGGAGGACCTTATTGTGTTGTCTTTAGGAGTAAAGAGTTACATATCTTTCTTTATGTTAGAGCCAAGGGCATTTTTGACCTTCACCAATTAACATCTGACCACAAGTTAGAACATAATGAACTTCCTTTCATTGGAAATTATGGCCTCCCTTCTGGCTCTGTGTACGTTTCAAGTGTGTGGGGCTTTATCATGATGACTAATGAAGCTTAATTATATCCCTGAAAGAGTTCACTGTATACTAAGGAATAATGTTCATTGCCATTACCATACATCTGTGCCGTCCTTTTTATAAACATGATAGCTCTAGAAGGGGTGAACAGATTTTGCAGAAATTTGGCAGGTACACAGGCTCTCTTGGAGTTCAAATGAGGTTGCTGATAGGCAAGATAAACATTAACCAGTAGGTTAAGGATAGCAGATGACTATATCAAATGTTTGTCATTAATTGCAAGTACAATACAGTATAGCGTCTTCTGGTTTCTTTTTTGAAAATGATGTCACTCAATTTACCTTTAAAATTAATCATGTGTTAATATAAGACTTAATTTCACTGTCTCTGGAATATATATAGTATATATATACAGTCAGTCCTTGACTTACGACTGGGTTAGGGGCCGAAGACCAGATCGTAAGTCGAAAATGCGAAAATAATACAGAGAAAATCTAAAATGGGTGTTTCTTTTTCTTCTCAGCACCATGAGAACTCTCACTTTTATGCTTGCCAGCCATTTTAAAGGGAATTACAAACGAAAATTTTGTCAGTACACAGCGCGATCACTAACGTTAAGTAATTTGAAAAATATTTTATACGACTGCGGCAGTCGTATGTTCGGGTGGTCGTAAGTCGAGGAGTATATACTGTATATATATATATATATATATATATATATATATATATATATATATATATATATATATATATATATATATATATATATATATATATATATATATATATATATATATATATATACACACACAGGTATATATACTGTACTATATATTTATTTATTTATTTTATTTTTTTAAGGTTACAAGTCACTACCGGATTGAGAAGCACCGTGTGGCGAGGACCATTGCTGAAAGGAAGACATGGCGCAAGTATGGCCTCAGTAAAAATGACAAGCCAGGACCAAACCCTGCAACAACCATCACTGCTGAGGATGTCTTCATGCATGTAAGTAATTTATTTGTGTATTTTTCACTGGACAATAAAATCTAAAACAGTAAAAAAAAGAATGGACCAACCACCCAAATGGCTAGTACAGTGTTCCCTCGGTTAACGAGCACAATCCGTTCTAGAAGGTTGCTCGTTAACCGAAAAATTCGTCAACCGAAACCATTGTTTCAATGGGTTTTTGGGTAATTGGTTCCAGCTCACCAAAAATTGCCTTAATTCAACAAAAAAGGTAGAAAAGTACACTTACTTTGAGGTGTGTATGTAGAAGGCTCCTGGGTGATGATGATGATGATGGGAATTAGAATGGGGGTGGAGGAGAAGGGAGAAGAGAAGGCATTGGGGTGGAAGAGAAGTCACCCCATGGTGCCATTTCACCCATAAAATTTTAGTTCTCTTGGTGTAATTCAAAATTATTTTCTTTAAGTCAACACTGCACTGCATTATATATTGTCAATATGTAAAATAAATTTCAGAATGACCAATAATTGTACTGTAAAAACGTAAAAATAGTTTATGTTCAAGAGAGTCTCAAGCAAGATGCTTTCTCCACTGAGCAGAGACAAACTGATGCCATTCTGGGTGAGTCAAGTGGCTGTTTGGCACGCTAAAAACTAGTTCCCTGTACTTCAATTATGTTAAATAATTGTTAAAATGACTAAAAATTTTAATATAAAACTTGGAAAATTATTGAATAGTACAACCTTCTTGATATTTACTCAAATGGTAACGAATTTAAGCCTTAAAACCGATTACTACATTGGCGGACTGATACTACAGCTGGTGAGCAGGCGAAAACGTGTTGGGAAAAATTCGTAAGGAATTCGTTAACCGAATTGAATATTCTTGTGGAAGGTAATTAATTAACCAAGGGATCACTGTAAAATAAATTCTTCATTTTTATTTTTCCTTATCCCCCACCCAATGCTGTCAAATGTTCATTTTAAGAAATGGTAATACCAGATGTGGAAACTTTATGGTTTTGTCTCGATGTAAATTTTGTGAAAAAAGACCAATTATCGTTTTTGTATTTTACTGGAGAGATGACTCTCCTTGGAAATGCAACTTGGAACAAAATACACATCCAAAGAATTAAGAAAAGAGAAAGTGTACATATTTTGTAATTCAATCGGCCATAGGTTAACAAATCTTAGATTTAAAATCTGCAGATTGGATGTGATTTATTGTACCATTGTTGCCTTATTTTTGAGAAGACAATGGGTACTGTCAGTGGCTAGATGGATATAACACATCTTAATATCCTCCAAACAGGACTTTGTTCAACTACTGAGAAGAACTAACATAGAAACATAGCCAACTCAATGTAAAGAATTCTTGAGTATGTAACATTACTTTAGTTTGTGACACTTTTTAGGTAGATGGATTGAGTAAACAAGAGTGTATATGAATTGTCCTGTATTGAATAGAGAATGAAATGGCAAAAGGATGTACAGTAAATGGTTTCAAATTAATTGAAAATTTAATGATGTTATCTAATATGAAAATTAAAATTTATTTCAGTTCTTAAGCAATAAAGAAGAAGAACAGAATGAACAAGAGGATATTAAGAAGAAATTGATAGATTCTCAGAAAGGACAAGTGAAATGTCGTCTGTGTAAGGAAGACCATTGGACCAAGCAGTGCCCTTACAAGGATAAACTGGAGCCTCTACGTTCATCACTTCTGGTGAGTTTGGTATTTGCGGTATTTGCATGTGATAATCCATTTCTTACTGCTACCCCAAACTTGTATTAGTCAATCTGTACAGCTGCCCTTTACATTATTCTTTAACCTATCATTATGAGCTTAGTTTTAAATGTAAGGTTAATCCCTTCAATGGTTTAATATAAGTACCCTGTACTGTGTATAGTACTTTCATAATTACTGTTCTGGTGAACTTTGCTCAATAGTGCCATCACTTCATAGCCACTATTGGCCTTTAAGGCCAGTTCATTGATAACTGAGAGTTCAAAATATCCCACTTCAAGTATCCTCGATCTTTGGCAAGGGGATGTCTTGATGAATAGGTTTGTTAGTGTCATTTGTCTTTTGTCTCTGCCCTTGTCTAATTAATGTTATGTCATCATTGAAAGTTGATTTTTGTTATAGATAAGCTTAGGCTTATGATATATTGGTGCATGGCTAAATATGTTGTGTATAATGTACTGCAAAATGTAAAATCCTGTAGGTTGAATCATCACTATTGTGTTTTAATTATTTTCCATTCTTAATTGGGTTAGCCACAATTGCTGAAGGGAGCTCACCAAGCTACACAATCTCTTGTAGCCTCTCTCATCAGATTCTTATCTCCAAGGTCTTTCCTCACAACCTCTCCTTTTGTTCTTGGATTACCCTAAGCTCTTCTCCCCTCTATTTTCAAACTCGTGTATTTTTTTTCCCCTATTAGTCTCCTCCATTTTCTTCATATGCCTGAACAATTTTAGCCTACCTTTGTGCAGATCCTCCTCAATACCCAGCTGCCTTTTTAGCTCTGAACAGGGTTTCCTATCTCTCAACCTCACACTACACATCCTCATATAATTCTCATCCTCAGTAACTGCCCATATTTCACTGCCATAAATTATATTTTTCATGCTGGTTACATACATCTTTCCTTTCACATGAAGAGAAGGCCCTCTTGCCATCAATAAAACAGGGAATGTAGTATGTGTGCTGTGTTGTATTGTCACATTTTCATAATCTGGAGAGGCTTAAAAGTTATATTTACATGATGATGGTAATTTAGAAGTACTGTACAGCATTAAATTTTGTTTAACACAGGGAGAAGAGAAAGCAGAAGAGGAGCCTCCACAACCAGGTGGTGGACCTCCAGTGGATAAGAGCAAGATAGGTGGTGGAACTCAAGGAAAGTATGTTCCACCATCCATGAGGGATGGTGGCTCCAAGAAGGGAGAGTCCATGATGTCAGCCCGGGGAAGAGGTAGGTACTGCTGCTTGTCATAATGTGAAGAAAAAAAATATGTAGACAATCTTTATAGCTGTATTAACCCTTTTCAAACATATCCCATAACAGATATGGTCAGAATTACCAAACATTTTAGGCACTGTCTGCAAAGGATTAAGAACTAGTTTTGTAAGTGGTTTTAGATTTTATTTCAAAATCTTAAAATTATTATCTTGTAAATAAAATACGTACATTAGATATAACAGCTCATATTGTATCATTGCTATTTGATATATGCATAGCCTGATTTCCAGATGAAACTGCAACAGTTCGTGTTACCAACCTCTCTGAGAACACTAGAGAACAGGATCTCCAGGACCTCTTTCGTCCCTTTGGAGACATCAGCCGTATTTTCCTCGCCAAGGACAAGAATACTGGCCAATCAAAAGGGTTTGCTTTTATCAACTTTAAGGTAAATACTTATTTGTTTTAATAAATGTAATGCCTACTACATACACATATATAACTTGGGGGAGGGGGTGCTGGTAAACCCATCTCCCATATATAAGTTAAAGATTAAGCAAGACTGGAGTGACTGAATATTCTTGTTTGAAATCCATGTGATAAGAAGTGAGTGATGTTATGATGAGTGAGAGGAAGCTTGGTGTCATGATTTTGTGTGAAACCAAGTTAAACCATAAAGGAGAAATGTGTAAGAAACAAGCGAGGGGCACAAACTTATGAGTGTCTGAAAGGATAAGAGTGAAAGATGTGGTTGCATTACTGAGAAGTAAGGTAGTGTAGTTTCATAATTGAATACACTGGGATCAGTCCTTGAATATCATGGATCAGTGAAAATGGGATGTGAGAGATAAGTTGACATGAGTGCTTACATACCAAGGAAAGAGAGTAAAGAAGAGAGCTAGAGGTTTTGGGAAATAATTGAAAATTTCAATGTGAGAATTATGGGTGATTATATATGAGATGAGAGTTGGCCAAAGGGAAGGGCATCAAATTTAGTATAAGTATGGTGTGGTAGAAACAAATGAAACTTGAAAGAGATTGATTGAGACATGCTGTGATAACAAGGAATACATGGTTTAAGAAGAATGAAATTCATTTGTGCATATTAAGACATGAGTGGAGAAGAAGTACAGTTTATTTTTGAACAGAAGATTGAGTAGAAGTGGGATGGTGTGGGTGTCTAACCATATTTTGGTAGAAACAAGTTAAATAATGAATGGAAGGTTCAACAAAATTGAATCCAAGAATTGATGAGGCTATATAAGTTCAACAACTGAGAAAAGAGAATGTACTGTAATTGAAAGAATTAAAGTAATCATTGAGAGGAAATGGAGACAGGCAGTTCTCACTAAACAAAAGATGTTTTCCATGAAAATTTGTACAGTGAAAGAAATTTCCAAATGGACAGTGTTATAAATTGAGGATACATTCTTGGGGTGGAGTTTCAGACACCTTACACGACCAAAACATAATACCGTAACTCACTAAGTCAACACAGAACATCACTAAATATTTAATTAAATGAATAATCACCATAAAGGCATTAAAACATACACTTTTTAACACAAACATTTCATTTGCACAACTTTTGGGTCACATGAAGATTAGCCCCCAGCTTATTTCACCTTGAGATTAACCACTAGTCACTAATGCTACCCCCCACCCCACTTAGTGACAGTGCTCTTGCTCATATAAGCATGCCTATTTTTAGCAAATGTAATTTTGAAGTTAGAGTTTTAATTATGTTATATGTGTATTAACGTACCTGTGAATACTAAAGTTGTAATGATTACTAAATACAGTGGGTATTTTTAATTCAGTCATCCAAGGATAAATTTATATTTTTCTTTACCATTCACAGAGGAGGGAAGATGCTGCTAAGGCTATCCAAGTTCTCAATGGCTATGGGTATGATCATCTGATTCTCAGTGTAGAATGGGCCAAGTAAGTTTCAGTACTTTACACTTGTATCTGTTTTTTGTTTTTTTATTACATAGATTGTGCTGTTTATTTTCAAATCTAAATTGTTTCACTGTAGCGACCGAGGACAGGAAGAGGTGATGAGGCATAAATCATTCCAAGATGATGATAGCAAGTTGATTTGAGGTTCCACCAGCCTTCTCTCTCTCTCTCTCTCTAGAGTCTGTAAACTTGTGTACTCAGTAATGAAGTCTCTTGGTGTTCATCCTGGTAATGAAATCAGATTTCACACTAATCCCTCATTTTGTGAATTGAGTCAGAATGAAGACAGTGGGGTGTTTTAGGTATCTGGGAATGGCTATATTGGCTAGTGAAAAAATAAATGACTGAATTGTAAATTAGGCTAGGGAAAGAATATAATAGGTAATGGGAATTGTAAGGAGAGAAATGTTTCAGTTTGAGTCGTGGATTGAGATGTAATTAGTGTTAACATTTTCATAGGGTATAAGCACAAATAGAAAGGATCCAAAATGTTGTCTTAAAGGGTTAATAAGATTCAAAGAATAAGGAACACTGGTACAAGAGAGTGGCTGTTAAATGAGTGTTGGACATAATTTATCAAAACTCTTTCAGATGTGTTGGACATGTTAAGTGAATGGGAAATAAAATTATAGTAAAGAAAAAGTTTAATTTAGATGCAGATGGCAGGAGATAGAGGGTAAAGTAAAGGAAACAGAAGGATGGGGTGCAGTAGGTACAGGGTACTGGATAAAAGGGAGATGGGCATTCAAGAAGCAGTAATGTGAGGAAATGATCAGGAGACAAGGTGGTGAGTGGTTCTAAGGGATGATTGTTATGATAAGTACAGTAATGCTAGGATGTGTGAAGTGTTAAGATTTAACCAGACAAATATCCTAAAACCTTGTTTTTGAAGGAAAATAATTTAGAAGAACACATCTGATACAGTTGTTAGAGAATGAGTGACAATTAGCGGAGGGAAGATCTATGAATGCTGTTTTTTTCTGGCCTACTAGCATAATTGGAAAAAGTTTGCCAGATTGAATGTGCTCTTGTAACATTAATGGCAGGATGTGTCTACAGCTCAGATATTAATGTATTAATGATATATTTTTCAGGCCATCTGGTACCCAGTGAGTGTCATGAATACATTAGCATGAAAGTGTCGCAGTTGCTGCCACAACATGTAATAAAGGATGAAATATAGTCCTTGGTAAATTAAGATATCTTTTAATTCAACCCTATGTCTAGTACTGTACATCCCTTCTTTATGACAATTCCATTTGCCCTAGAGTCCACGACCAAACAAAATTTATGTGCATTTTGAGTTGGGGCTGTGAATGAGGTGTTGTGAACATTCACATGATTTTGTTCCTTATATTGGCTACCAATTACCCCTTATTTTATACATGATTTTACGAGTACATTTTGTTGCAGTTCACTTTATACTAAATTAATCAAATTTGCCAATATATATATATATATATATATATATATATATATATATATATATATATATATATATATATATATATATATATATATATATATATATATATATATATATATATATATATATATATATATCTTGATAAAATCACACGGGAAAATGGAAACAACGGAGTACCTTAGCTGCCTTTTATTCAAGACATCTTCAGACATTTTGTGATTTATCAAGATTTATCTTATCCACATTTTTCTGTGGATTTATACATATATATATATATATATATATATATATATATATATATATATATATATATATATATATATATATATATATATATATATATATATATATATATATATATATATATATATATATATATATATATATATATATATATATATATACAATACTTAATACACACACACACACACACACACACACACACAGTGGTCCCTCGGTTAACGAACTCAATCCGTTCCAGCAGGTTGTTCGTTAACCGAAAAGTTCGTTAACCGAAAACATTGTTTCAATGGGTTTTTGGGTAATTGGTTCCAGCTCACCGATAATTGCCTAAATTCAACAAAAATGGTAGAAAAGTTCACTTACTTTGAGGTGTGTATGTAGAAGGCTCCTGGATGATGATGATGATGGGAATTAGAATGGGGGTGGAGGAGAAGGAAGAAGAGAAGGCTTTGGGGTGGAAGAGAAGTCACCCCATGGTGCCATTTCACCCATAAAATTTTAGCTCTCTTGGTGTAATTCAAGATTATTTTCTTTAAATCAACACTGCACTGCATTATATATTGTCAATATGTAAAATATATTTCAAAATGACCAATAATTTGCTTGGAACAGGCGATTGAATAAGAGAGTCTCAAGCAAGATGTTACCTCCAGTGAAACAGAGAGAGACTAACGCCTGTTTGCCGTGTTAAGAGGCTGGATGCATTAAACTAGTCACTTTACCTTTCGAATTATGTTCAATAATTGTTAAAATGACTAAAAATTGAATATTAAAACTTTAAAATTATTGAATAGTATAAACTTTTGATATTTACTAAAATAGTAAGGAATTTAAGCCCTAGAACTGATTAATGTATTGGCGGACTGATACTAAAGCTGGTTGCCCGGCCAGTGCAAGCGAAAACATGTTGAGGTCGGTTCGTAAGAAATTTGTTAACCGAATTTTTGTTCGTTTACCGAATTGAAGATTCTTATGGAAGGCAGTTCGTTAACCGAGGCGTTCGTTAACCGAGGGATCACTGTATATATACAGCTAGACCCCGACTTACGACTGCTTCGACTTACAACCGTCGGGACTTACGACCGCCGCAGTTGTGACCATTTTTTTTTTTTTTTTTTTTTTTTTTTTTTTTTTTTTTTTTTTTGACACGCATTTTCTATACCGAAACGTTTCCAGTTAATGTAGTCTCCATGTATAATTAGAAAATTATGGGGGCCCAATGTGCATTCAGCTGACTACATTAAAGGTAAGTGCTCAGTCACACTGTATCCATTCCTTATTATTTATTACTTTCACTGTACAGTACTGTATTTCATTGTAGATTTTTTATTAAAAATTTTTTTTTTTTTTTTTTTTTTCTATGTTTGACTTTACTACCATGTCGGACTTACAACCTGATTTGGGGTCCCTAACCCTGTCGTATTGGGGTCTAGCGTATAGTTATGTTTTTTTTTTTTTTTTTTTTTTTTTTTTTTTTTACCAAATAAAAGACATGAAGAATTAGGGTCAAGCAAGCAATTGAATGCTTACAAATGACAGTTGCTTGTATTGTCATCACCAGTTTATGGCCATTTTCCATACTTGTGTGGTTACCTGCATGGTCTCTTGCAGTCTCTCTCTGTCACATTCCTAATTCCAATGTCATCATTTCTTACCACCTCTCCCCATGTCATTCTTGGCCTATCCCTGGCACGCCTCCCCTCCACATTTAAGCTTATGTGCTTCTGGATCCAATTAGTTTCATCCATTCTCACCACATGCCCAAACCATCTCAACCTGCCTCTTTGCAGGACTTCACCAATACTGTACTATCAATACACAGCCACCCTTCTTGCTCTGAACACGGCCTCCAGTCTTTCAATGTCACATTGCACATCCACCTCGCCATTCTCATTTCAGCTCACTCAGTCTGCATATGTCATCCTCTTTAACTTCCCATATTTCACTGCCAAACAACATCATACTTCTTAACCCAGCCACATACATTCTTCCTTTCACTCAGAGAGAAGGTCCTCTTGCCATCAATAAAAGCAGCAACTCCCTAAACTTCCTCCATCCACTTCTGACTCTTGCAACTTAGCAGGATGCAGCACTCCCACCTGATCATGCCAGGGACATATCCCCAATGTTGAGTTTCACCTGTTGCACATTATTCTACCTAAGATTATATCACAGCCAGACTGAGAGGTACATTACACTGGTCCTGGTCGTTCATCCAAACTGAGAGAAGACATTCCATATTTTCCATTAACTGACTTGAGGTTATGTTAGTTTTTTTGGCACTAAAGGGTATAACATATTGAGAGTGTCCTAATTTTCTTGACATTAGCCAAATACCTGTAGATCATACTGTGGTGGGAGGCAATCCTCGAGTGACACCAACGTGAGCAGCTCGCTCTTAAGTATCAATCCACTTAAAAATAACCAATTTGATACCCAAAGTACTGTAATTGTTTTCATGGTTTTCTTTGTGCTAGGCATGGCACTGTCATTTGCAGAGTTTTGGGGGGCATGATGCTGGTGGTAAACTGATCAAAAACCTGAAAATCCTGCATTTCTGTGAAGCATAAATATACACAACTCCACAAGCACGCTGAGGTGGGATTGCCCCTTGGGTCATGTGCAATACAAAATAGTCACATGATAGAAGAGGGTGGGCCAGCAACATTATAATGAAATATAATGACAACAGACACCTTTCCAAATTTATTACCAACTTTACAATGAAACAATGATAAAAGGGGACCCCCTGTAAACAAACAAGCCCTTACATCCCTTAGAATGTTTATTCCAGAGAGAATACAACAGTAAGCATAATTGAGAAAATTACATTGAGCATTTGAGTGGTATAACAGAAATTAAACATTGTACAGTAAACTGAATATAGTACAGTACAGTTAAAATATGGATCTATATGGTACCTTTGATAGGGGATTTAGGTCCATATTGTCCTCTTGGAAAAAATGGTTTCAAAATATGAAGAAAGTCCATAAGGCACTTCAAAATTTACTGGTGAGAATGCAGTGGTAACTGAAGAAGTGCATGGGGCACCATTTGCTTTTAAGCCAATCGATCCTCACTTACCCCCTCCAGTTTTGAGCCCTGCCCACCAATGAGTCTCTGCTCCACCTTACTTTTTTGTGTTTTTGTCAACACTAAAGTCTAATAATAATTTTTCTGTCAATATCTTCACTCTCCCCACCTTGCCCCCACAAATCACATATCCTTGGAACTCTCTCCACTCTAACGTAATTCAAACTCTATGTCAGCGGTTCCCAAATCAGGGTCGCGGGGTGTCCTCTGTAGGGTCATGATGGGCCTTCAGACAATTTAAAAAATAATACTTATCAGAGTCAAACAAATTTTTGCTTAACATTCAAGCAATATAATATATTATGTGCCTGAGGGTCATGACACCGTATTGCTGGGAAATTTAGGGTCGCAGCCAAAAAAGGTTGGGAACCATTGCTCTATGTCATTCACAACCAGGGCCCAGTCAAACTCCTAAACCATCTATAGTTCTGTAAATCAAATTTATGGACACTTCTGGGTGTATCAGATCTGAGAGACATTAAAATGATTATTTTGTGGGACTGGTCACTGGTAGACAGATCAAGGCTGGTCTTGGGTAGACAGATCAAGGCTGGTCTTGGGTAGACAGATCAAGGCTGGTCTTGGGTAGACAGATCAAGGCTGGTCTTGGGTAGACAGATCAAGGCTGGTCTTGGGTAGACAGATCATCAAAGCTGGTTTGTGATAGATACATCAAGGCTGGTCACTGGTAGACAGACCATCAAAGCTGATCACTGGTAGATAGACCATCAAGGCTGATCACTGGTAGATAGACCATCAAGGCTGGTCACTGGTAGACAGATCAAGGCTGGTCTTGGGTAGACAGATCACCAAAGCTGGTTTGTGATAGATACATCAAGGCTGGTCACTGGTAGACAGACCATCAAAGCTGATCACTGGTAGATAGACCATCAAGGCTGATCACTGGTAGATAGACCATCAAGGCTGGTCACTGGTAGATAGACCATCAAGGCTGATCACTGGTAGATAGACCATCAAAGCTGATCACTGGTAGATAGACCATCAAGGCTGGTCACTGGTACACAGACCATCAAGGCTGATCACTGGTAGATAGACCATCAAGGCTGATCACTGGTAGATGGACCATCAAGGCTGATCACTGGTACACAGACCATCAAGGCTGATCACTGGTAGATGGACCATCAAGGCTGATCACTGGTAAGATCACATGGACCATCAAGGCTGATCACACATCAAGGCTGATCACAGACCATCAAGGCTGGTCACTGGTAGATACATTAAGGCTGATCACTGGTACACAGACCATCAAGGCTGATCACTGGAAGAAGAACCATCAAGGCTGATCACTGGTACACAGACCATCAAGGCTGGTCACTGGTAGATACATTAAGGCTGATCACTGGTAGATGGACCATCAAGGCTGATCACTGGTACACAGACTATCATGACTGATCACTGGTAGATGGAACATTAAGCTGATCACTGGTAGATGGATCATGAAGGCTGATCACAGGTAGATTGACCATCAAGGCTGATCACTGGTAGATGGATCATGAAGGCTGATCACAGGTAGATTGACCATCAAGGCTGATCACTGGTAGATGGACCATCAAGGCTGATCACTGGTAGGCAAATCAATATCTCATCAATTAGCTATTCTCTACCTGGGCTGTTCATTGTTATAATTTACCAGAACTGATCATTGACTTACTACCGACCAGGGCTGATCAATGAATTATGATCCATGAGGTTAGTTACTTTGGTGTGGACCATAAGGATTAGTCAATGAGGAACATTATGGTTCATGAGGGCTGGTCACTAATGTTCAGTATGGTTCATGAGGGCTGGTCACTAATGTTCAGTATGGTTCATGAGGCTGGTCACTAATGTTCAGTATGGTTCATGAGGGCTGGTCACTAATGTTCAGTATGGTTCATGAGGGCTGGTCACTAATGTTCAGTATGGTTCATGAGGGCTGGTCACTAATGTTCAGTATGGTTCATGAGGCTGGTCACTAATGTTCAGTATGGTTCATGAGGGCTGGTCACTAATGTTCAGTATGGTTCATGAGGCTGTCACAATGTTCAGTATGGTTCATGAGGGCTGGTCACTAATGTTCAGTATGGTTCATAAGGGCTGGTCACTAATGTTCAGTATGGTTCATGAGGGCTGGTCACTAATGTTCAGTATGGTTCATGAGGCTGGTCACTAATGTTCAGTATGGTTCATAAGGGCTGGTCACTAATGTTCAGTATGGTTCATGAGGGCTGGTCACTAATGTTCAGTATGGTTCATGAAGCTGGTCACTAAGGAACATTATGGTTCATGAGGGCTGGTCACAAAGATACATTATGGTTCATGAGGGCTGGTCACAAAGATACATTAGGGTTCATGAGGGCTGGTCACTAAGGAACATTATGGTTCATGAAGCTGGTCACTAAGGAACATTATGGTTCATGAGGGCTGGTCACTAAGGAACATTATGGTTCATGAAGCTGGTCACTAAGGAACATTATGGTTCATGAGGGCTGGTCACAAAGATACATTAGGGTTCATGAGGGCTGGTCACTAAGGTATGCTTTATGAGGTCTGGTCACTAAGGTACAGCATGGTTCATGAGGGCTGGTCACTAAGGTACAGTATGACCCATGAGGGCTGGTCATTAAGCTTAGTACAGTATGTTTCATGAGGACTTGTCACTAAGGTATGATTCATGAGGGCTGCTCACTGATATGGTTCATGAGGACTGGTTACTATGATTCATGAGGGCTGGTCACAATGATTCATGAGGGTTGGTCACAATGATTCATGAGGGCTGATCACTATGCTTCATCAGGGCTGGTCACTACGCTTCATCAGGGCTGGTTACTACGCTTCATCAGGGCTGGTCACTACGCTTCATCAGGGCTGGTCACTGATTCATGAGGGCTGGTCACTATGATTAATGAGCGCTGGTCACTATGATTAATGAGGGCTGGTCACTATGATATGGTTGATGAGTATTGGTCACTAACGTATGGTTGATGAGGGCTGGTCAATATATAGGTCATGAGGAACGGTCAGTATAGCATATGGTTGATGAGGACCTGCAAGGAGACGGTTGGTCTAGCGGGTGGAAGTGAAATAGAGGACGAGCGAGGCGTAGAGACCCACAATCAGCATAACCACCACAGCCAGAGTCAGGTACTGCATGTGACGTTCCCCTGGAACACAACCAGACTTATATCACATTATACACCCTTACTTTACCTACCTATTGTATTTTATGGGTTTTCTTCATTCTAGAGTTCACAAGAAGAGTAAGTTAAGCCTGGTCAAGTGGTGATGTGTTAATTCGAGTCAGGTGTAGGTGCAACCCTTTTTTGTAGATACCGAAAGACAATTTTCTATTCCAACATGTTAACAGATACTGGTCATAAGCAGGTTCCTGAATACAGTGCCCATATACATGCGCTTATGTTAGTCTAGATTGGACTTACGCGGCTTTACTATTAGAGTTATCACAACTTTCGCTGATCGATTATAGCATGAGTTCAAAAAAACTCTAGAGACTAGCTCCTTGTTTTTTTTTTCTTTAATATTGATATTTTTAGTAGGAGGCTGTGGTCTCTAGCATAATCATATTTAATGTGTTCTAGTGGAGCGGCCATCATCTAATTCTGGATATGTTAATTAAATGAGATTTAACTATTAACGCATTTGCAAACTTCGATAAAGTTTCCCCTTGCTTTATTGTAATGCAAACAGATAAACTGTAAACATTCTAGTGTCTGTGTGAGGTGTTTGTGTGCTAGCAAGGCTGGTGCCTCTTTCTTTTGACGTCCTTAATCACTTGTATGTCTTTAACATTCATCCTAGGTTAATCAAAATTACATTTATTCAAATGAGACGGTCAATCTAGTTTCGAATAGAATATTGTTGTGTCAATCAACTAAATTATTATGAAATTTCACGTTTTCTCACGATATTCTAAAAGCTTTTTTTTATCACTATAAACACCAAGGTCGTTTTAGTACAAAGATAGTGCGATGTCTCCATTATCTTGCATATATTATAGTACACACTCTTTTACACACTGGATAATTTAGTGACATTCGCAAATGATTGAATAGTATCTGAAATCTGACCCGTCTTTTATGAAAAAGACTGCTAGTTCTATACAACTTCGAAAACACAGCCTTGCGATCATTTTGTCTTATTCTCCACCACACAATTTTTACGGTGATAGAGAAGTCCCCTATCATTTTGCATGCACTGTACCTGTACTGTATACGGTATCCACCCAGTTTAATTACCCATAGGAGATAATTATTATATTGCCGTCATAAATACGTATTAATATCTTTAGAATATTGATTATTTTAACCGGTAGCCATCTTTGCGTCTAATGAGCCAACAGCTAAGCACAGTTCATATTAAGAAAAATTATCCAGGAACAGGTGAGGGCGTATCAGGCTGCCATTTTCCTCCCAGCTTCTTAACTAACCCTAAAACTTCCTGGTAGTAATGAAGTGTGTGTGTGATATACTGTATGTGCCAACAGAGCCTCACCTTCAATACAACACCTCCTCTTACACAGTTTCCTGTAGTGGTGTCTAGGGATAAGTTGTGACATTATGATTTCAGTGTTGATGCACCTATGTACGAATATATACTAAAATGTGTGTCGGTGTCACACAGTAATAACGTCCGCCTCACACGTTGTGTCACCATTAACAAACAAAGAAGATTACGGCTTATGGGGGAATGGTACAAGGGCGACCACCGCTTGATCTCATACGATCGTAGTTATCGTTACATTATCAGCAGGTGGGCCAGTTATCAAATGGTGTGGAGGTATCAGTCACACCCTTCACACAAACGCACCCGCAACATCTTTGTGTCAAGCAGAAATAAAGTATATCTGACACTCTTTCTTACTCTTCATAAAGGTTATGTAATTCTCGAAAGTACTGTACATATTAACCCTTTGAGCATTACTTGATGTCATTACATTTCAATAAATCATATACGATAACACCCTTCTATATTTCGCAGATACAAAGGAGAAAAAAAATACTATAATAGTTTAAAAAATAAGTGTTAAGTACTGTACACTAATACTGCAATACATACACATCCGTGTTGTAACTCACTATCTGGATTTGTTGGTAGTTTTGATTCTGTGTCAGTAACAGGCAATAACTAACCAATATTTGCCAACAGTGCGTGACAGAGACGTGACCGATCGCCCGGGCGGCTAGCGAGCCGACCTTTTGGTGAAGAATATAAAGGAAAAGAGACGTGACCGATCGCCCAAGCGGCTAACAAGCCGATCAGTGGTGAAGAGGATAAAAAAAAAATATTATGAGCGTGTATTATTACACACTTTGTGTATATTTAAATTGAAAGTGTGTATCATTAAAACTACAATATGTGTTATTAAAATCAAAGTACAGTACTTTAACTGATTCAGAAAAAATCTACACATAATCATAATTTATATGCTGTAGGTCTTGTTTTGTTTTTACGGGAATTAGCCCACCCGGGCACAGGTCGAACGACCCACAACGGGGCCTGGGGGCGAAAAAATAAAAACAGAAAGAAATTAAAAATAGAAAAGGAAAAGGTTATATTAATCTACACCACAAAGATGCCGGAAAACCAGCCTTTTAAAATGAGACATTGCATAAATATGGAAACACAGAAGAAGGCAGAGCATTCAACAGTTTGGCTGTGTGAGGAAAGAAGGATGTACTATACTACTGTATAACAGGTTATTCTAGACCGACATCCACAGAGAAACGGTGGACACCGCGGGCAAGACGTGTGTTACGATCCCACGGCCTTGCCGGCGGTACACAGGATGCCAAATCCACCGAACATTGCCCGTTAAAGTACGTGTAAAACAGAGAGTGTGAAGCAACATTGCGGCGAAGAGAAAGGGAAGAAAGATTGTCAACTAAAGGAGGAGAGTTAATTAGACGAAAAGCCTTTGATTCCACCCTATCTAACAGTTGGACAGAAGAAGAGCCACACCAGATATGAGAGCAGTACATGTGCTCCAAGTTAGGACGAATGAATCCCTTATATACGTAAAGCAATTACTCAGGAGTGAAATGGCTACGGCATCTGTAAAGCATTCCCAACTTTCGGGAGGCAGCTTTAACTATGTTAAGGATGTGTGATTTCCAGGACATATTGGAAGAAATGGTGAGGCCTAGCATAAACAATGTGTTTTTGCTTGAAACAAGGCTAATAAAGTACTTGGGTTCATACAAAGGAGTGTTAGTTACAAGACTAGCGGGGTCATCCTAAAACTGTATCTTGCGTTTGTGAGACCACACCTGGATTACGCAGTTCAGTTCTGGTCGACACAGCACTGACCCATATTGTGTTCGCAGAAGAGGGTATTAGAAATAAACTGTCCAGGCTAAAGGTCCATAAGAGTCCCGGACCTGACATGGTGCATCCTAAAGTGCTAAGAGAGTTGTGCAACGAGCTTGCAGAGCCCCTGAAGATCCTGTTTTGTAAATGCCTGGATGAACAAATGGTCCCCAGTGAATGGAAGGTGGCTTATGTGAGTCCTATCTTCAAGAAGGGTAATCGTCACTCCACGGACAACTATAGACCGGTGAGACTGACCAGCATAATATGTAAAGTACTTGAGAGTATTATCAGAGATGCCGCAATGGAACATCTAATACGAAACAACCTTGTAAAAGATTGCCAACACGGTTTTATGCCGGGGCGCTCTTGCCTAACACAATTGCTCAAGGTATTAGATATTTGGACCCATATTCTGGTAACGGGGTGGTAATATCGACAATATTTACCTAGATTTTGCCAAGGCTTTCGATAGTGTACCCCACGAAAGGCTAAAAATCAAACTGGAAGGGTAAGGAATTCGGGGAAATGTCCGAGCGTGGATAGAAGACTTTCTACATGACCGCAAGCAGTGTGTGGTGATTAATGGCACGAAATCGTCATCTGTACCTGTAACAAGTGGGGTACCACAGGGCAGTGTATTGGGCCCTCTGTTGTTTGTTTGTTTCATAAATGACATACCTGACGTTGTACACTTCTCCATACAAATGTTTGCCGATGACGCCAAGTTATTTCGGGAAATTAAGAACCAAGCGGACTGTGAAGAGCTGCGGAAGGACCTCTGTGGGCTCCAGGAATGGTCGAAGAAATGGCTGCTGAGATTCAATGTCACGAAGTGTAAGAGGATGCACCTGGGGCGTACCAACGGTAAGGAGGCGTATCATATGTCCCAACGGGATGAAGAAACTGCAACTAGTTGAGACTGTGTGTGAGAAGGACCTAGGTGTGTATGTTGACAATGAGCTGAAGTTCTCGGGCCATTGTGAGAAGAAGGTAAATCAGGCAAATAAATTATTGGGTCTTATAAGAAGGTCGTTCAGATATCTAGACGGTCCGTCCCTCGTAACGATCTTCAAGAGTGAAGTGCATCCCCATTTGGAGTACTGTCACCCCATCTGGTCCCTAAGATATGCTAGGGACTGTCATGTTGGTTGACTTCGGCACCTCAGCTACCCTGAGAGATTGGAGCGCCACTTACCTTGCTTATACTACAGACGGGCAAGAGACCTAATTGAGGTGTATAAGCATCTGGCACTACTCTCGAGTGTCCACTTGGAGCTGGCGGGCTCGCCCCACAAGGGGAGCTCAAGATTGAAGAAGCCGCAAGTCCAGAAAACCGTGAGGGCAAACTTTTTCGGAGTGAGGGTTGTAAACTCTTGGAACAATCTACCAGAGAGTGTTGTGACGGCACCGAGTGTGAGATCTTTCAAGACAAGACTTGACCAACACTGGAGCGGGTTTAGGTACATTCAGTAGCAGGTGCATGCCCAGTACTTGCCAACAGTGCGTAACAGAGACGTGACCGATCGCCCAAGCGGCTAACGAGCCGATCAGTGGTGAAGAGGATAAAAGTAAAAAGTAACATTCGTGTTGCCAGCGGTGCCCACCGTTTCTCTGTGGTTGTCGGTAACCCGTTAAAGTAGTACATCCTTCTTTCCTCACACAGCCAAACTGTGGAATGCTCTGCCTTCTGTGTTTCTATACTCATACAATCTGTCTCACTTCAAAAAGCTGGTTTTTCCGGTATCTTCATGGTGTCGATTAATATAATATTTTTCTTTTCTATTTTAATTTATTTCTATTTCTATTTTTCGTCCCCTAGGCCCCGTTGTGGGTCGATGACCTGTGCCCGGGTGGACTATTCCCCGTAAAATAAACAAATAAATAAATTCATAATAAGATTAAGAATAAAACAAAAAATAAAACAAAATACCCAGTAATGTATACCTGAAGACAGAAATGACCAACCGCCACAGCCCAACCAACCAGGGGTGAAGAGAAGTAAGTAGCTAATGTATGCTATTTTATTCACTTGTATGTTACTTATGTATATTTGTATCCTCTTACAAGAACCTGTGGTCATACCGGACAGGAGGGAACGAGCGCCGTGTAAACAATGAAATTTTTAACCACACCCTGCAAAATACAGTGTACTTAGCAAATGCTGCAGCTTCTGAGAATGTGGGTGGAGCGGGTTTATTACTAAGAGCAGAGACGTTACCGAGAACAAATTCTGGCTTGAATGTCATGTACACTAATACCGACACGTTCCTGGATAAGAGGGAGGAGTTTGAAACACTACTAAGAGTACACCAACCAGATATTGTAGGAGTTGTAGAACTGTTGTACAAGAACAGGAGAATCGACCCAGAGGAATGTGAGTTCAGTATTGCTGGATATGACTCATTTACGAACCTAACTCAAGAATCCTGCAGGAGGGGTGTGGTTATCTACGCTAGGCAAGACCTTAGAGCCAGCCAGGCGAGGGTACAGGGAGAGGATGTCTTTGAAGAGTCCAAGTGGTGTAAAATTAAATTAAAGGGAGGGGACTTACTTATCGTCGGGTGTATCTACAGATCCCCGAACTGTGGCCCACTAAATCAAAGGAACTTAAGAACCTTAATAAACAATGCGGCGATGCTCAACCCCAGCCACCTCCTTATCATGGGGGACTTTAACTATGGCGACATCGACTGGAGAAACGAGTCAACCCCGAATGACTTGAATAATCCTGCTACTCTTTTTGTAGAAACTCTGAGAGATAATTTTCTGTTCCAACATGTGAGAGACCCGACACATTACAGAGGGGAACAAACACCCAAGCCACTTGACCTCATCATAACAAACGAGGAGGGTATGGTGGCCAAACTGGAACACCTTGCCCCAGTTGGCACCAGTCACCATACAGTGTTGTCATTCAGATTTAACTGTTACCTAGTTCAAGATAAGGCCAGGCCAAGGTGCAAATATTACAAGGGAAATTACAATGGGATGAGGGAAGAGATGAGGGGTATCAACTGGCCTGACTTATTAAGGTACAAGAACGCAGACACTACGCTGAATATCATAACTAGTAAAATGACCCATTTGATCGATAAATATATACCCAAGACCAAACCCAGTGCTTCTAGGAATACGAGGGGATCCCTACACATGAACCATGCGGCGGTCGACAAAATTAAGAAGAAAACCCAGAAATTCAAGACGTGGGTTGGGTCAAACGATGAGCAAGACAGGAGGATGTATGCAAGAGCCAGAAACCAAGCAAAGATAGAGTGTAGGAGGGCTGAAAAGGAGTTCCAAAGGCTGGTTGCACGCGAGGTCAAGTCAAACCCAAAGGCGTTTTACCGCTATGCAAAGTCGAAATTGAAAACGCGAGTAGGAGTATCAGACCTGAGGCTTGAAGATGGTAGTTACGCAGATTCTGACCAGGATAAAGCTGAGGCATTGAACAGCTTCTTTTCCTCAGTGTTCACAAGAGAGGATGCAACTAACCTTCCTGCGTTTGAGGACAGACGGTTCGACACAGCACTGACCCACATTGTGTTCACAGAAGAGGGTATTAGAAATAAACTGTCCAGGCTAAAGGTCCATAAGAGTCCTGGACCTGACATGGTGCATCCTAGAGTGCTAAGGGAGCTGTGCAACGAGCTTGCAGAGCCCCTGAAGATTCTGTTTTGTAAATGCCTGGATGAACAAATGGTCCCCAGTGAATGGAAAGTGGCTTATGTGAGTCCTATCTTCAAGAAGGGCGATAGGCACTCCACGAACAACTATAGACCGGTGAGCCTGACCAGCATAATATGTAAAGTACTTGAGAGTATTATCAGAGATGCAGCGATGGAACATCTACTACGAAACAACCTTGTAAAAGATTGCCAACACGGTTTTATGCCGGGGCGCTCTTGCTTGACACAATTGCTCAAGGTATTGGATATTTGGACCCATATTCTAGAACGGGGTGGTAATATCGACAATATTTACCTAGATTTTGCCAAGGCTTTCGACAGTGTACCCCACGAAAGGCTGAAAATCAAACTGGAAGGGTACGGAATTCGGGGAAATGTCCTAGCGTGGATAGAAGACTTTCTACATGACCGCAAGCAATGTGTGGTGATTAATGGCACGAAATCGTCATCTGTACCTGTAACAAGTGGGGTACCGCAGGGTAGTGTATTGGGCCCGCTGTTGTTTGTTTGTTTCATAAATGATATGCCTGACGTTGTACACTCCTCCATACAAATGTTTGCCGATGACGCCAAGTTATTTCGGGAAATTAAGAACCAAGCGGACTGTGAAGAGCTGCAGAAGGACCTCTGTGGGCTCCAGGAATGGTCGAAGGAATGGCTGCTGAGATTCAATGTCACGAAGTGTAAGAGGATGCACCTGGGGCGTACCAACGGTAAGGAGGCGTACCATATGTCCCAACGGGATGAAGAAAATGTACTAGTTGAGACTGTGTGTGAGAAGGACCTAGGTGTGTATGTTGACAATGAGCTGAAGTTCTCGGGCCATTGTGAGAAGAAGGTAAATCAGGCAAATAAATTATTGGGTCTTATAAGAAGGTCGTTCAGATATCTAGACGGTCCGTCCCTCGTGACGATCTTCAGGAGTGAAGTGCTTCCCCATCTGGAGTACTGTCACCCCATCTGGTCCCCGAGATATGCTAGGGACTGTCAGTTGGTTGAAAATGTTCAAAGGAGGGCCACCAAGCTGGTGCCTGCACTTCGGCATCTCAGCTACCCTGCGAGATTGGAGCGCCTGAACTTGCCTAGCTTATACTACAGACGGGCAAGGGGGGACCTAGTTGAGGTTTATAAGCATCTCAGGGGGCACTACTCAGTTGAGTGTCCTTACTTGGAGCTGGCGGACGCTCGCCCCACAAGGGGTCACAGCTCAAGATTGAAGAAGCCGCAAGTCCGGAAAACCGTGAGGGCAAACTTTTTCGGAGTGAGGGTTGTAAACTCTTGGAACAATCTACCAGAAAGTGTTGTGACGGCACCGAGTGTGAGCTCTTTCAAGAGAAGACTTGACCAACACTGGAGCGGGTTCAGGTACATTCAGGAGCCGGTGCATGCCCAGTATTTGCCAACAGTGCGTGACAGAGACGTGACCGATCGCCCGGGCGGCTGGCGACCGATCAGTGGCGAAGAGGATAAAATCATAAAATCATAAAGCTAACCGTTGGTCATATTTATTATACAAAAATTAAGATTTAGATAAATATATATCAATATTATTATCATTATCCCCTTGATTACGATGACTTAACAAATTTTCAGAAGCAAAAAATAGCATAGTTATTCATTAAGTCATTTTCTGTGTAAGTTGTTCATGTCTTGTGGTTCTTTAGTACTTTAACCGACCCTAAGATGGCTGCCTGACTGTGAGGTTGTAATCAGCTGTTTGAGGTAGGCGTTGAGCTACTGACACGTCATCATCATATATGTTTTACTTTCTTAGTGATATTTTGTTATTCATGTAGTTCATAGTCAGGAGCGGATTGTACACCCTAGATACAAAAATTTAGGCTAGTAGAATTTATTTAATGGCACCAAAAAAAATGTTCCTGATAACCGTCTTACTCATTCTTGACAGGTGAGCTAAAATGTTTTTAAAGAGTCATTAACGTCTGGCAGATTGTGAAGTAAAGGAAGACCAGACAATGAATATGACATAATAATACACTCGTAATTTTCAGAGTCCAGGAAAATGTATGAGGTGATTAAGTTATCCTACTTTGTTGTAACAGCCTGGATCACTCAGCTGACCACTAAAGATGTGTCAAGATAAACTTATTATGACGTAAGGAATGTCTCTAAGGGACCTGTAGAACTTATATTGTGATTAAACCCGGTGAATTCCATAAAATAGTTGAATTTTAGTTTGGTGTTTAGTATAAATTGATCAGGTATTGTAGGTATAAATAACTGAAATTATACTGGTAGAGACCTTCGCTACCCAGTTAACCTGTGTAAATCAAGTATAACACCCAGACAACACAATGATGATTTACAAGAGACAGATGACCAAACTTCTGTACTACTCTGACATTCTAAGAGTGGAAAGTGGATAATATTCAACTTTGTGGACCAGGAAAATTATAACCTAGGTCACGTTTTGATTTTAGTAATACCTGTACAGTATTGTACTGAACTTTATTATGAGCATAACCAAAGGCTGGTAATTGATGACAGTATCTCACATTAACCAGAAACTATAGGAATTGGTAAAATTGCAGATTACAGTAACCAAAGAATCTGATAAAAAAAATGTTTTACCTTACCTGACCTAACCTAATGTAATATAAGAAAATTATCATAGAAAAAATAGTGCTATCGATTAAATGTAGTGAATTTCCGGAATTCTGTGGCTGTTATTTACTGCAATATTACCCAGGAATTTTTTGGTAATTTTTAAGGTAAAATTATAGTTTTGGCCATCCCTGTACAGTATTAGATATCCAACCTAAACCAACCTGACCTAACTTAATGTAAACTAACCATCCTAACTTAACCTATACAGTATCTAACCCGCTGGATGACTGAAACGATAATAATACCTTTGTTGTTGTTAACACCTGTTGGCTTAAGTCTAAACAAGTTGTGTACCTTTAATACCTACTGTAGGACATTTCACCATAGAATACAAATGCTTCCTTTTGTCCTCAACTCAATGGGCATTTGTAGGTGCAACAAACAGAGAAAAAAAATTATTTTATATTTTTTTTTTGGTTTGGTTAGTAATTTAAATTAGGTAAGTTAGTTTGTTTATTTTGTGAACCATAAATTATAGAATGTAACAATAAGTGGCGTTTCATGAACACTAGCAGGGTAATGGTGGAGGAGACGGGTCCGACTAATTACCCAAATGTACCCAAATATAGCCGGAATGAAGCAAAATAATGGTCCAAGATGAATAAATCGGACTGCCAATCACTTCTCGACTAGTATTTGGTGTCAGAAAGTCACAAAAAATTGGAAAACTTACTTTAATCTGAGTTAATAGATCGCGTGCATGTACCGACGGAGCGAGGAATTACCCAAATGTACCCTAATGTAGTCGCAAGTACAGCATAAATCTTTGTTTCAAACTTACTCAAAAGCCATATTATTGGATAGTTCTTTGACACTTATTCCACCCCATATAAACGATGATCAAAGTTAAACAATTTAGTGAGCACAAGGTTAGCCTAATTTGAATAAATTTCAAATTGTATACTGTATGTCAAAATCGAACAAAACTTGCTATGATAAACAATAAAATTACCATATAAAATGTCTGTACAAGAGCACATATTTTATGTACCTGTACTAAGAATAGCTCCTTCCATACACAAACCATCCTTTGGGCAACTCAACACACTTCAGCTGGATGGTTACCCAACTGACATTGATTCGTGTGGGTGTGCACCATGATCCATGATGTCACTTTGTGGGTGGTAGTGGGACTGGGTGGCGAGTCGACAATGTAGTCCACTGCCTCCACACATAGGTTCATTTCACACACATACACACCCATGCTCTTCATTTTTCTTATTTTATTGTTTTATGTTAGCTGTACAGTATTCTTTATTTCTAAGCCACATTAGAGTAGTATAATGATTTTTCTTCAACTTTTTTAGTTTCATTACATGTAACAATGGCAACATGCCTTCTCACAGGCGACTCCTCCGCAGTCTTTCCCCTTCCCAGTGAGTCAAGCTATCGTGAAACTTAATTTTGATATAACGTTAAGAGAGAAAGAGTGAAAATATTTTTTTTATTGCAAAACCAAATTAACGTTGAGTGAATTAACACTAAACTAGAGATACCTCTGTACTGTATAGTGATAAAAACAGGTCCTTCTGGGATTCAACATTAAAGTTCACCCTGCTTCCCACCCACAGGTGGCAGTGAAATAAGTACTGTATGCTATTTAGGGATGTCACAACCAAGGTTGATCACAGATCTTATGTGAGTAGAGGTACTGAGCTCTATGTGTTGCTGATGATGATGTAGGAGATATCAGCCAATCATTAATGCCAAAAATTCTGGCTGGTATATCACTGAAAACTGAGAGTACAGAATGGAGATGCCAAGTAGTGCTAGATGCTAATCAATGTTGAATTTCTATGTTATATTCAATGCTTCTAATTCAATTTCTTTTGCTAATACTGTATTTATATAGGTACTTGTTGTCATTCTATATTAATTTATATTGTTTTGTGTGGATTGTATACTGTGTATGAAATGTTAGTAAAGCTTGGAAAGGACTGTTAAGCTTTTATATATATATATATATATATATATATATATATATATATATATATATATATATATATATATATATATATATATATATATATATATATATATATATATATATATATATAGCCACACTATTTTCACTTCTTGTCTCACACCACTTCCTTTCTCAGACTTCTGAGAGACTTAAAGCATGATGTCTATACACAGTACAGTAGTTAGTTGACCGAGATGTAGAACGAGAGGTAGCAGTGAACAACACAGGTGGTGGTGGCAGGACACAGACTGAGCGAATGTAAACAAACCCCATGCGCCAAGTGGCGCATTTGGCGTGGAATTTAATTAAATCATGCTCGATTTAGTGAACTAGTTAAATCGAGTGAAAATAATGGAAATTCGATTTTGCGGAAATTTTGATTTAATGGAAAGGGGTAGCTCAAATTAGTTAGTTAAATCGAGAAAATACTGTACAGTATATTATACCAGGTACTGTATATACCTGGTATGTACTTTATGGATAAGTGCAATAAACTAGAGCAGCTCATCAGAATATACTACTGCTTATTAAGACTAATGAGGTGGGTACAGTACTGTACTTGTTAGCCGATATTGACTTTGCCTTAAAACAATACAGCAGTTTCCTTTATTCATAGATTTTTCTTTGACTGTAGAAATAATGTTATAAGTTTGCAATCATGTTTTGTTGTTCCAGGCCTTAATATATGCTCAGCAAAGAAGAAGACTATAATCTCTACTTTGTTTAGAGGCACAGATGATACTCGGCTCATTTCTCTTTCTTCTCTTTTGGGCTCCAGAATGACAGAGCCATCTTTCCAAGGTATGGCTGTCACTCTTTCAATCGTTTTAATGCTTCTTTTTCAAAAGCTTGTTTCTTTAAGTTTGGTGCTATTATGAGTTCTGTTTCTATTGATTCCTGGGGGACTAAGTTCCACTCTATACTATTCAAAGAAATGTTAAGAATAAAGCTTATTTTGTGGTCTATGTGTCTTTCATCCTGTGACATGTGAGATATCCTAAGCCATATATCCTTCTGGTAGATCTTGCCTTGATCATGGGGCTGTAGGTAGCATTATGAGGCAGGGAATACTGTACTGCAATTGTTTTATAACCCAATACAGTACCTTATTCAGCTGAGTCAATTAGTTAAAAGCCCAGTGGAACTACTTTATATACAGTAGCTAATTAGTTATATCTTCTCATCACACCCAGATACTGTCAAAAAAGTCACCTTATTATATGACAGTCAATAATCAAGGCATAAGAAAAAGAGTTTGTCGTGCTAGTACAATATGTGAGTCCTGTGACCCTTATTCCTCCTGTCAGGAGCTAAGTGCATTCTATCACCTTCTTTGCACTTTGATAAATTTTAAGCTGTAGTCACAGTCACACACTTTATTTTTTTTATTTATTTACCGGTACTTATTTTTTATTTTTTTTATTCTAGAAGTGTACAATATTTACAGTTTGAGGTTAGCCATTATGTTGGTATGTGGAGTTGATACCTGTACTGTACTGCCCAGCTCTGTAAAATCTGCAAGTATCAAAGAATAAATGTCTAATACACGGCAAACTCTGTATTTTGGCATGCGAGATGTTTTCCTCCTATACATTTCACATGGAAAAGAAGAAAACTGCAGTGCACTTGCACATAGTTGTGATTATGAACCTTATCCCAGGACAACAAAATTTAGGAAGGAAAAAGTAAACCATATGTGCAAATCCAGTTGTAAAGCCTACTTCAATGAGGGTGACCTGCATATCTATTTTCATTTATAAGGTGGTTAAGATCACATACAGTAACCCAGTAGTGTACAGGGGTACCCAGTAAATTAGACCCCATGGTGCATAGGTCGAATCTGAATCTAAAGTCTGAATTCCTCATGGGTAATATCTTTATCCCATCCCAGCCATGGAATGGGTTTTATTTATTTTTTTTTTTCATACTGTACAGTACATTATTTATTGAATAAATGTCCTATGATATCAGTTCACTTTGCTCTAGTTATATAGTTTCTCAGTTTTTAAAGACTGCCCTCAGTGATGCTTTCTTACTCTACTTCCAACTTTTCTGACTTCATTTTTTCCCTTTATTACAGGATGCAGTAGAATGAGCTCGGCACCCTCCGCCAGGATGTTCATGCTTCGGGCCTTGGAAAAAATTCATGGAGAGAAGGAAATTCGCAGGTCACATCATTCCCAGCTAAAAAGAGCTGTGGAACAGGCTCTAGGTTAGTGCTTAGTTTTCTAATCACTTCATGCAGTTGTGTAATTCCTTCTTGTAAACTCCTACTTTTTCTGTTGCTTTGCTCTACCATCCTTTCCCTTGTTTCTTGCCTCTTCACTTGTCTTTCCTATTTTACCAAGCTCACTCTTGTCCAGTGTTATGGTAATGTATATTTAGGAGAAAGACAAAAAATTGTAAAGAGATATAAGTTTAACCCTTCAACGATGGCTCTTGTAAATAGCTGATTTATATAATCAAGATCTTTTTGTACCGTAATTTTTAAGTTTGGTGTGTGAATTCGTCTTAGAGGAATTGTTGTCGTGGCAATTTTTTCTACCCTGCATTGGTCCATCCCCATGTTCCTCCCTGCACCAGTAGTGTTATAGTATCTCTTGTCATGGAAGAATTATCTGGCATTTCCTGTAATGCTTCGAGTGGAAAGACCCCTCACCACAGTAGTGTTGGCTTGATGTGGAAAGACCCTTCACCACACTAGTGTTGGCTTGACACCCAGAAAAATAAGTAAAATATTATAGGAATCCGAGAATGAGGGTGAGATTTAAGAACTGGATGATTCACTGATTGAATTCAGAAATAATACCCCTGTAGCTTGTAAGTGAGCAATAACAATAGTGACACTTGATGAACTAGTAATCATTGTAAGAGAAGTGTTTAGAGACCAGAAGAATTACAAGGGAGAAGTACTTTTCCTTGTGGTGCACATGTGTCAGGTAGGAGTTCATCACAAATGTGCACGAGGTGTTTGTGGTGTAGGAAACTGGAGTAGTGGAGTTGATTTGGACTGTAAAATCATAATGGAAAAACAATGGTACGTATAACATCACCATGAATGAACTTTTGTTTGTTTTTGTCTTTATCATGTTGATGCCCCATGCCCACAAACCTGTTCTTTATGACTACTGAAAGAAATATGACCATATGAGGACACCTGTGTTTGGAAAATACAGTATAGTACGGTACATGGACAGGTACCAACAGCATTGTTGTGACTCAAATGTGTATCTTTGTAACCCCAGCCCTATCAAATCTCAGTCTTGATTATTATAAAATGAAAATAATAAAAGAAAAAAAAATTCATCTTGATACTTCGTTTTTTATTTATTTCTCATAAGAAATGGTTTCTGTCTTATTGAAGCTTTTCACCTGCTAAAAGTGTCACAGGAGGGAGAGAAAGGATGAGGGACTCAGGGAAGTTACAGTATATCTTCCAATACAACTTATTCTTTTAGTTTCAGATCAAAATAATTACAAATAATATGTTGTATTTTTTCTATAATTGATGTTTTTATATTACAGTATTTTTGATGAGTCATATACCATAAGAAGCTGAGCAAATAAGAATATAATAATGAATTGATAATAAACACAGTTTCAAAGCTAGTGTGCACAGCAGTGCCTTGATCATCCACAGCTTCCCACACAGGTTGCTTATACAATATCTTCCCTCCCATTGTTTGTGGCTCTCTTTAGGTATATAGCAAATTTGATTTCCTCACTGTATTCAGTGAGCAAATCTTATCCATTTCATAACAAAATTCTATATTTTTTACCCATTTTTAAAAATCTTCAACTTTTCCCATCAGAGCAGATAGTGTGTGTACAAAGCTCGCTACAGTTTAAGGGTTAAGCAGCTTCATTGTTTTAGCTAATTATGGTTCCATTTTATCTGACAGAAGAACTACGTAGTGAGCTGGGTGGACCTGAAAATGGCTCTGGTACGAGTATTTCTGCTGCTTTGCCAATGCCCAAGAGTGATGCTCCACAGTTAGATGCTGAGAAACATTTCCTGCCATTTGAACTTGCTTGTCAATCTAAGTCAGCAAAGATTGTGGTGTCAGCCCTTGATTGTGTTCAGGTAAGCATAGTTTGTAAGTACTGCACTGTACATTTTCATCCACAGTTATCCCTCTATTTACAGAAGCTCTTTTTATGCAATTTTGCAGTACAGTGACCCCTCGTTTAACGAACACCTCGGTTAACGTAATTTCGATTAACGAACTGCCTTCCATAAGGATCTTCAATTCGGTTAACGAAAAAAAATTCGGTTAACGAAGTTTTTACGAACCGACCTCAACATGTTTTCGCTTGCACTGACTGGGCAACCAGCTTTAGTATCAGTCCGCCAATACATTAATCGGTTCTAGGGCTTAAATTCCTTACTATTTTAGTAAATATCAAGAAGTTTATACTATTCAATAATTTTAAAAGTTTAATATTCAATTTTTTAGTCATTTTAACAATTATTGAACATAATTGAAGGTAAAGTGACTAGTTTAATGCGCGGCATCCAGCCTCTTAACACAGCAAACAGGAGTTAGTCTCTCTCTGTTTTCACTGGAGGTAACATCTTGCTTGAGACTCTCTTCAACTAAACCCTTTTTTTCTGTGTTTCCAAGCAAATTATTGGTCATTTTGAAATATATTTTACATATTGACAATATATAATGCAGTGCAGTGTTGATTTAAAGAAAATAATCTTGAATTACACCAAGAGAGCTAAAATTTTATGGGTGAAATGGCACCATGGGGTGACTTCTCTTCCACCCCAATGCCTTCTCTTCTTCCTTCTCCTCCACCCCCATTCTAAATCCCATCATCATCATCATCATCATCCAGGAGCCTTCTACATACACACCTCAAAGTAAGTGAACTTTTCTACCATTTTTGTTGAATTTAGGAAATTTTCGGTGAGCTGGAACCAATTACCCAAAAACCCATTGAAACAATGGTTTCGGTTAACGAACTTTTCGGTTAACGAACGACCTTCTGGAACGGATTGAGTTCGTTAACGGAGGGGTCACTGTAATATGTAAGTATAAATTTTGGGGTAAGTTCAATTTACAAATATAGATTCCGGAAAAAATGTGACAAGAGCCCATATCATATCATGCACTGCACAGTCTGCCTGCAAATGTTTAATAATTTGTTTACACACTACTTTGTGCAGAGGTCACCAACACCTCTGGTGAGTACAGATATATCATACTGTAATTCTGAATTTTACTTATTTTATGGTTTCAGCAGAGTGGTCACTAAATGTTTGAAAGATATTGAACTTAATCAAGAAAGTTAAAGACAGCTAGGTTGAGAGGTAGGGAGGAATGGCACCATTTTCATCATTTTTATGGTTACTTTCCACACTTGGGTGGAGCAATCACCTACCTGATGGCATGATGTCCTGGTTGCCATCAGGAATATATGAAGCAAGTTTTGTAGCTGGATGACCTTCCTATCAATAAATGTTGTGAACTGTATCAAGTGCCATGAATATTAGTTATCCAAGTAAATAATATGGGTGGCCACGAGGGGGAATGAGGAAGAAAGAAATAGAAAGGCAGCATTGGCACCTCCTAGAACAATCTTTAGAGCCTTCTGGAGGGCAGGAACTAATATGATGTGGGTGTACAGGTTGAGTCAAAAGTCTCCATACATACAGGACCACGGTGGCCAATCCAGTGAGCCGGAAACTGCTGATCCAGCCACTGGCGCACGTGGATACTGTACAGTCGACCCTCGTTAATTCGGACTAATAGGGGGGAGAAGGGTGTCCGTTTTAGCCGATTGTCCGAATTAACCGATTTAGGGGTTAATATTGTATTACATGTCAAAGTCATTGTTTTCGTCACGATTTTATCCCACTTTCCACTGTAATACTTACGTAATTTCAGCAAAAATATTACATTTCCGTGAATGTATTATATCAAGCACAGCATGAATAGAATATCATTGTAATATAACAGTATTTTCATCGAAAACTATTAAAAAAAAGAATAAAATCTCAAGAACATTGGAAGCTTAAGTAAAATCTTTTGTTTTCGTCATGTATTTTATCCTATTTTACATTAAAATACATCACGTTTCAGCAAAACTACTATTTATTTCCGAGAATATATTCATTTAGGCACAGTTAAGGTAAAATATACATGTGATGTAACAGTTTTTTAACTGAAAACTATTCGAAAAACACATGTACCGTCTAGCTGATACTCAACAACTGGTGGTGCGTCGTGCTTCATTGTAAACAATAGGAGGTTGAAGTAGATTACCGGGTATTATATTAAGTGTGAAATATCGAAAAGATTTTTATTACCGGTATTTTTTGTAGATCAATGAGAACTGTGATACCGTATATGATATGATAAGTTAGCCTGTGCTAAGAACTTCAACATAGACTACTGAAAACACGTTGTAAGGTAATTTAGCCTATTGTAAGTTGGTGAGCTTCATTTGCTGAAGGAACTGCACAACTTTTCATTACTAATTGGTACATATTTTACGTTTCCATTGTTTACTGGCAGTAAATGGTAAACATTTTTCATGTCTGAAGCTAAAAGTTGCATCCCCCCCACACTAGTGGTGGAGATGTTACATTTAACCAAAAAGACGCTGGTGTTTTATCCCAGCAGTGGGTGGACCAGCATTTTAGGTTAAGGTCTGTGTAGGTAATATTCCTACAAATCTATAAAAAAAAAAAAAAAGTTCAGATTTTGTCCGAATTATCGAAATCCGGATTAAAGGGGTCCAATTAACAGGGTCGACTGTAATGTGGCGCCCCATCTTGTTGAAATGCAATGGTGGGACTTACAAGTGATTGTATAATATAGTGATCATTTTGAAAATATATATATATATATATATATATATATATATATATATATATATATATATATATATATATATATATATATATATATATATATATATATATATATATATATATATATATATATATATATATATATATATATATATATATATATATTGATAACCACAAGGAAAGAAGAAAACACGAAGTTTCCAAGCGCTTTCGTGTAATTCACATCTTCAGGGATGAGTACAGACTAAAGAGAAGTACAAAACAAGGTGTATATATACAGAGGAGGGTGAGACCAGGTCCACAATGGTCAGGTATTAGGTAATGACCCTACTAATCTTTAAATAGCACGGCAACGGTTGGTAGTCAGGTCAGAGGGTAAGGTGACCCAACCTTCTCACCTGGTTACAAATCTTCTTAATTTCAAAATTGTCCAGTTTGTACGTGCCATTACTCAAATTCATGTTGAATGCTTCGGTATGTTTAATGAGACTAGATTCTATGATGTTCCTACTATCAATTGAATTACAAGGTAATATTGAGGAGGCATTATCCCAGTCAATGCAATGCTTGTTATCCCTGTATATTATCAATATGTTAACTAAATTTTAGAATGACCAATAATTTTAATGCAAAAATGCAAAACATATTCAAGAGACCAACAAAATCGATGTTTACTCCACTGTAAACAAAGTTAAACTGAGAAGCGTGTTTGGGTGATTCAATCCGCTGGTGGGTGCACAAAAACTGTTCCCTGTACTGTCTATATTATCAACATGTTAACTAAATTTCAGTGACCAATAATTTTAATAAAAAAATGCAGAAATATTCAAGAGACCAACTTTCTTGATATTTATTCCACTGGAAACGAATGTAAATATAGAACCAAATACCGTATTGGCGGACTAGCCAATCAGCTGATGCGCACAACAAAATGTGTTTGTCATAAGGATTTCGTTAATCGAAGTTTTGTTGGTTAATCAAACTGAAAATCCTTATGGGAGCTAATTCGTTAACTGAAATTTCGTTGATCGAACCGTTCGTTAACCAGGGGATTAATCTCTCTCTCTCTCTCTCTCTCTCTCTCTCTCGTAGCTTGTCCTATTTTTCTTTGCGAAGGGGTAACCTGTGATGAACTTGGAATAGATTCCTCAGTTCATCACAGGTTATCCCCTCCATTTTTTTTTTCTGCCTCATTCTTTGGGATTTGCTGCCTCTTGCTATCTCTTTCATTCTGTTACTTCTCATTGGGAATTTTTGTTGCTGCCTTCAGTGCCCAGAAATGGTGCTTTCAGGGCACACTTGGCACTCCACCATGGAGGTGAAGCTTGAGCCAGGGTATGTGATAAAACCTGAGGTTAGCAGCCCAGGCTCCATGTGCTTTTTCTTATGCTAAGAGTAAGCGCTCGGCTGCACTCACCAGCTGCTAGACCAGTTGGTACCGGGCCCACACATTTCTTTTTACATTCAGTATCAGCAAACCATCAGATGATTGCTCAGGTCTTTAATTAAATTGATTTATTTCATCATCTTTTTTTTAGATTGAGAACAGAGCAGTGGCTTGTAACTTGTATATAAGCCTGGCAGGCTTGCAGGGATTAAGTGTCGGGAGCTGACACACATGTATAAGTTTAACTGCCACCAGTCATGGGTTTTGTAGTATTTTAACAACCATGTTTTTTCTAAAATAATAAGCACCAGGATGCATAACTGTGATAAAGCAGGAGCTTATTGTTTCTTTAATGCTTTTTTTATTGATTATGTTATGATTTGGATTCTCCAGTGCAATTATTTGTTTGCTAGATTGGTTATTTATTGTCAATGATATTTTATCATTTCATTCATGTATCATAATTTACTACTGAAAATATTTCATTTGTTTTTTATTAACAGAAACTTATTGCATATGGACACTTGACTGGGAACTGTGCAGACCCAAATAATCCAAACAAGCGGTTGATTGACCATATTGTTGAAACAATATGCAATTGCTTCAATGGACCCTCAACAGATAAGGATGTGGAAATTCAAATAATTAAGGTATATTTTCTCAAGGTTTAAATTTAGCTTGGAGAATTTAGTTCATATGTTTTGATAGGATTTAACTGAAGGTGACAAGATAAAAATAGGGAATTGGGATGGTAGTTTTAAATAGACAGATAGATAGATAGATAAAAATTTAGAATAGGTGTAGTGTTATTTGTGTCTGGATATTGGTATAGATCTATGAACAGATCCAAATAGATTACTAAGAGTTCAGTGCCACATTTTACTTATTTGTAAATAATATTTACAGTCAAGTTGAACATAACATTAATTATGAACCTCAAAATGGAAGGTGTTGGTAAGGGGAGTGTTTGAAATTGTAGCTTTTAACTCTTATTTTGGATTTTTATAATTAATGTTTTGTTAAAAAAAAAAAGGTCTCCAATGACCAAGAGTACTATGCCACAGCAGCACAAAACGGGATATTATTGTACTGGATTTCAGTCACTTGTGCCATTATGACATGTCTATAACCTGTCATTAATCACCAGAATAAGCACACACAGCACTTCTTTTCCTACTTAATATTAAGGTTTTCGTCAGAAGTACGGCAGTTCATTTACAAAGTTACACACAGTCAGAAGGTAAAAGGAAACAATAATTCAGAATCGTTAAATATCATAAGCCTTATCTTTATTAATAAAGTGGAATGGCAGGTCAACATTTAGTGTTTGTTAATTCTTGATATGTTTTCCTACCCCAGGCATTGCTAACAGTGATCACATCACAATATGTTAGTGTCCATGAGGGTACAGTGTTGGTGGCAGTACGAACATGCTACAACATCTTCCTGGCGTCACGGGACATGAACAACCAAGTTACTGCAAAAGCTGCTCTTACACAGATGATCAACATTATCTTTACACGGATGGAGAACCAGGCAGTAAGTTATTATGTTGGTAGCTTACATAAATAAATTCAATAATGTAGGAATTCCATTCAGAACATTAATAAAATAAAACTAACAACAGGATTATTGCCATGTGGATCAAAGGTGGGTCTGAGTAATGACATTTCTGGACAGGACAGGATTACCAGTAACGACCTCAACTATAGCATGTTTACATTCAAATTAATCACTATCTTATAAGAATTCCAGCAATGTAAATTATACTCTCCTCCGTCACTTCTATGACATTTTATAAGCAAAAAACAAAAACTCAATCTAAAGGACATAAATAAACAAATAAATACTTTACTAGACTTTTGGCGCCAACTGTCAAACATGTCACTGTCACCTCCCCTCCCCCCCCCCTCCCCCCTCCTCTCAGCCAGGGTTTGGTGGTTATACAGTAAGCTTTAAGTTTTTATCTTAGATAATATCACAGACTAAAGTTAGGAGAATATAATTTGCATTGCTGGAATCCTTGCAAGACAGTGAATAATTTGAATATAAACGTCATATATTTTGCACATGAGATAAAAATTTTAGTACGTACATTAGTTTAGTACATTATAGTAGTGTACAGTTTTTCAACTGTATTTTGGGGTAAATTTACATAAATTTCTTCATTTATTTTTATTCATTTACATGCACACACCATACTAAAAGAAACGTGAAAGAAATAAATGATCTAAGTGCAAACCTGTACTGTACATGTACTAAATGATTACGGTACTAAAATTTTTATGTCTAGTGCAAATTATAGCTTGTTTATATTCAAATTAATCACTATCTTACAGGAATCCCAGCAATGTAAATTATATTCTCCCAGGTCATTTCAGTGGCATTTTATAATAGAAAAGCTTAGTCACTCTTAAGGACTGATAAATAAACACACATGAGACCTTTGGCTCCAACTGTCAAACATATCACCTCACCTCCCGCTCCCCCCCCCACGCTCCCTCCCTCCGTCTCCCTCATCATCCCAGCCAGGGTTTTAGGCTTACAGTTTTTATCTTAAATAATATCACAGACTAAAGTTAAGAGAATATAATTTGCTTTGCTGGAATCCTTGCAAGACCGCGAATAATTTGAATATAAACCTCATATATTTTGCACAAGAGATAAAAATTAATCACCTGCATCACATTACAGTAGTGATTTAAGAGCTCTAGTGTATATGTACGTACAGTATATATATTTCGTGATTTAAGGGCGATTTAGGGGAATTTTAGGAGTGCTTCTGATTGCATTTTTGGCTTTACTTTATATGTACTTTACACCCATAATGTCAGTTATCCATCTGAAACTGAAGAAAAGACCCTGGTTGCAGCTGTAGTGAAATTAATGTAAAAAAATAATATTTATGTTTTAAGTACTGTAATGTTATATAATGTTAATAAATGGAACAATGGAAGTAGCTGACCACCAATGGTAAAGAAAAAAGCGAGACGGATTGTGAAAGGTCAACGTATGTAAGTGCGTACATGTGAAAACAAATTGTCAATTCTCTCCATAATAATATGAAAGCACCACTTATTACTGTTTTACATATGGAAAACAAAAATTCTACTCACCAATGGTGGTAAAGTCTAAAACATAGGTCAGCCAATGAATGTTGTTGTGGGAGTTTTTACTCAGATTACAAAGTCATCAGCTTCAACTCTGGCTGAAGCTGTAGTTTTCCATAAACATGTCATAGCTTTTGCTGAACCTGAAGTTGTTGCTGAAACTTTTGCTGAACCTGTAGTTGTTGCTGAAGCTGCTGCTGAATTTGAACCTGAAGTTGATGGTGAAGCTGAACCTGAAGTTGATGGTGTAGCTGTACCTGAAGTTGATGGTGTAGCTGTACCTGAAGTTGATGGTGTAGCTGTACCTGAAGTTGACGGTGTAGCTGTACCTGAAGTTGACGGTGTAGCTGTACCTGAAGTTGATGGTGTAGATGAAGTTGATGGTGTAGCTGTACCTGAAGTTGACGGTAGCTGTAAGTTGATGGTGTAGCTGTACCTGAAGTTGATGGTGTAGCTGTACCTGAAGTTGACGGTGTAGCTGAACCTGAAGTTGATGGTGTAGCTGTACCTGAAGTTGATGGTGTAGCTGTACCTGAAGTTGATGGTGTAGCTGTACCTGAAGTTGACGGTGTAGCTGTACCTGAAGTTGACGGTGTAGCTGAACCTGAAGTTGATGGTCTACCTGAAGTTGATGGTGTAGCTGTACCTGAAGTTGACGGTGTAGCTGAACCTGAAGTTGATGGTCTACCTGAAGTTGATGGTGTAGCTGTACCTGAAGTTGACGGTGTAGCTGAACCTGAAGTTGATGGCAAAGCTGTAGTTGAAGGTTTTGGCCATCGAATAATAAAGCTGTCTAAAGAACTTTTCACAGCTGCTTTCTTTTCTCATTATACATCATTATGTAGAGGTCATGTGTTAATTTTAATGCTTTGTTCTGTTAATGGATCCACTTCAGAAAATATGTTCATTGCTGCTCCATATAATCTCCACAGATCTCTCACCTTTTTCATATTGTTTTAACTCATCCAGTTTCTCGACTAAGCTTATTCACTTTCTTTTATCTTTTGAACCAGCACTACCATCACTTGCTCTCTTCCTCATGTTGGATAGGGACGCAAAAATACCGTAAGAAACCCGAGAAAGTTTTTCTCCTTTTTCTGTTCAGATTTTTTAAAACAAAGGGCCCGCCAGCTGTTATTGCTTTTACTAGTGATGCTGGCGTCACCACTAACAAGACCGGCAGCCTCCGTGTGCAAGGCTTGTTGTTTTATTTGTATAATACATATTGGGATTTAGTTATTATATATATATGAAAATTTTATTTAATTATATTTTTTCATCTATTTTCGTCGTAAATACGAAGAAAATTAACTGTGTAAATTGAATTGCATTTTAAATTAACCAGTGTCTTAAATATGAATCGTCGTTAGTAGAACTGTTGTTATTGGAGGCTTTCCTGTAGAAGCTTTTTCAGGAACATAACACTTGTAAGTCAAGGACTTTCCTGTATAAAACAGTATACAGGTATGTACAGTACTGTACTAGTAATTATAATTTTGATGAATGCCATGAAAAGTAGAAAATAATGACTGTGATATGTTATATTGTTTGAATATTAAAAACCAATTTTTATAAGGATTTCATACTCTTAACGTGATCAAGTGGTCACATTCTTCTTTTTGAGTTAAAAACATTTCTGATGTGATGGCCATTTTACAGTTTATTTTAGCTTATATATTGTTGCATGGTGGCCCTATTACTGTTTATATTAGCTCAAGTATTGTAACAGGGTAACCCTATTGCTGTTAATATTAGCTTGGGTATTGTAGCATGATGGTCCTTTAACTGTTTTTACTGCTAATTTTTATTATTGCATGTTTCTTTAGAAATAGATTTTGCAAGCCTGTAAATTTAAAGGTAATCTGAGCTCCTGATTCATTGGGTTTAGTTGCATTTAATTTACCTTTAATGCTCTACATCATGATGTGGAATGAATTTTATGTGCACCAACTTCAAGGTAATTTGCAGATTTGTACTACCAGTAGAAAGAAAAATGCTAAACACAATGATTTTGTTTTAAAGTTTTTATAGATATGAAAGAAGTAGAAAGAGTATAAAAACAAGGGTTAATAACAAGGTTTGCTGCTTAAAATTTTTATTTTATATGAAAAATAGATATCACCATCACTGGCAGTATGTGCGACTGGAAAGATTAAGTGTGCAGCACTTGATGTTAACTGTTGTTAGCTCTACAGGCATTTAGCGTAGAAAATATATTGGTTATAATTACACTCTTACCTGTAAAGTTTTGCTGATAATTAGACTAGACCTGGAATGAGTTTCAATTTTAACAGATTGAAGATGCAGCAGAAGAGAGTGGACGTGAGCATAGCTGTAGTACCGCTTCATCCGTTAACAGTGCTGGCAGTCAGATTGCTTCACAAGAGAATGGACAGCAGGAGCATCATCCCCAGCAAGACCCTAATCCCCAGCAAGTCCCTCTTCCACAGCAGGACCCTCCTCTTGAACAAAACCCTCATCCTCCACTCACAGATAGTACTGCAATTACTACAACAATGGTAGGAGCTTTTAACACTTACTGTGGAAAAAGTTTGGCCTGTCAGGTGATAACTGATTTCCTTACTTAGAGAAGAGATCTAACTGGAGATTTTAAAGCTTAGGGGGTGTATGCCTTAAGGACTATGTGAGCTGCTTGAGATGGTCAGAAGTGGTTGGAGGAAGTTAAGTTTCAAGTAAAACTAAAAAGTAGCTTCATAAGAGACTGCAAATACTTAAGTAATAGTAAAAAAGTAACTGACTTAAGAAGTATTTAAGTAAAAATTAATTTTCCTCGAATAAAATTTATACTTATAAGTGAAATCCGGTCCCAGTATCGAACTAATAACTGTATGTACATGTACAGTACTTGGTGATAAAAGAAACTCAAGTTAGCAATCATATCACTATTTTTCAAGTTACTCAAGTTAAATTGGAAGATACTTTTAGATTACAAAATTCAACAATCTTTGGTCCATATTGTACACAGTACCACCATAACTCACTCCAAAGATATACTACAGTCTCTCCTCAACTTATGACGGGGTTCCGTCCCGACGACCAAGTCGTAAGTCGAATTGGTCATAAGTCGAAAAGGCGAAAATAATACATAGAAATTCTAAAATGAAATACAGAACAGTAAAAGTAATCAATAATGAAAAATTAATAGTGTTACTGTGCACTTACCTTTAATGTAGTCAGCTGAATGCTCACAGAGCCTCAATAATTTTTTAATTAAGCATGTAGAATACATTAATTGGATGAAGCAGAGGAAGAGACAGGGCTGGGTGAGTCATCAAGATCGCTTTCTTCAGACAGGCTAACATACTTGCTTGTTGAAGGTATTGAATCATCTTTAGGGAGTGAAGAGGCAGCAGTGGTGGAGCGTGAGGAGACAGCAGTGGGGGACTTCTTAAAAAATATGTCCAATTTCGACTGCACAGTTTGCCTTTTCTTTTCATTGTAAATCTCCCTGTAGCAAGCAAGTGCATCTTGGATCAGTCTGTCAACTTTTGCAAAATGCTCAACATTTTGATCCATTTCTTCAAACATTTGCATCCCTTAGTAATAGTAGCAAATGCCTCTGCCATTTGTTTCACTGAAAACTTTTTTGGGGGTGCAGGTTCTTCTTCTACATTTTGTCTCTCTTCTTCTTCTGCAATTTTCTGTGCATCCAGTTCAATAAGATCCTCATTACTTAGCACTTCTGCTACACTTTCCACCAACTGCTCAACATCTTCATAATCAATTTCTAACTCCAGCTGTTGACCCATCTGCACTATCTAGTTACTAATCTCAGAAATTGCTTCATCTTCATTAAATCCTTTGAAACTGTTCACATATCTTTTCAGGACCTTCTTCCATATTCCATTCATGCACTGACCTGTAACCTCATCCCATGCTGCAGCTATGTTCTTTGTACATTGCAAAATGTTGTAGTCCTTCCTAAACTCTCTGAGCATTTTCTCACCTTCAGTAGCAGCAATAGCCTGAGCGAAGGTCATACGTAAATAATACGCTTTAAAAGCAGCAATAGTGCCTTGATCCGTGGGTTGGATGATGGAGGTAGTGTTAGGTGGAAGGTAGACTACCTTAACATCAGGGTGCATGTCGTCCAGGTGTGGTGGGTGTCCTGGAGCATTATCTAAAACTAATAAAATCTTGAAGGCAACCCCTTGTTGCAGACAATACTCCTTGGCTTGTGGAATGAAACATCTCAGGAACCAATCCTCAAACAGTGCTAGGGTCATCCAGGCTTTCTTATTACTGTGATAAAACACTGGCAGTGTGTGCTGCTGACATTTTTAAAAGCCCTTGGGTTCTCTGAATGATATATCATGAAGGGCTTTATGTTGAAACCAGCTACATTCCCCCCAACAGAAGTGTAATTTGGTCCTTGAATGCCTTGAATCCTGGCATGGTTTTCGCCTCTTTGTGGATGTATGTCCGTTCTGGCTGCGCTTCCAGAATAAGCCAATTTCATCCACATTAAATATTTGCTCGGGCAAATAATTTCCCTCAACGTTGACACGATCTAGGTCCTCCTTAAAAGCTTCGGCAGCACCCACATCGGCACTTGCTGCCTCTCCACTCACCTTTACACTGTGAAAACTGTAACGTTTCTAAAACCTTTGGAACCACCCATGACTTGCTGTGAAGTTTTGGTCGCACTCATCTCCTGCTTGCTCTTTCAGGCTTTCGAAAAGGCTTCTTGCATTAGCCTGTATGGTTAGAAGGCTTAAGGGTACATGCTTTTGCAGCTGATCTTCCATCCACATCACAAGTAATTTCTCCATCTCATGAAGAGGACCTTGTCTTTTTTTCCTTATTATTGTTCCCTTTATAGGCTGCTGATCCTTTCACTACCTTACAAATTCATTCCTTGTCCTTCAAAATTGTTAATATCGTTGAGTGAGAGAAGCCAAGGTCGCGTGAATTGGTTGCTACCATTTTTCCATTTTCATATTGCATTATTATTTTCGTTTTCATCTCAAAAGTAATTGACTGTCTCTTTTTTTTTCTCAGCACCACGAGAACTCTCACTTTTACGCTTGCCAGCCATTTTAAAGGGAATTAGAAAAAAAAAATTTCAGTACACAGTGAGATCACGAACAACAACAACAACGGCCAAACACCAATTGAGCGGGCTACGGCGTGGTTGCTGTACACAACAAGGTGGCCCAGCCCATGTTGTCGTACGGGGTCACATTACGATCTAACGTTTCAGGACTCGAAAATACGTAATGTAAAAAATATTTTATACGACCACGGCGGTCATATGTCGGGGTTGTCGTAAGTCGAATATGTCATAAGTCAGGGCTTAAAATGAGGTCAAACCTAATGAGTAAATTTGTATCCACATCTGGGTCAGTCACCCATTGGTCATTATAATTCTCTCCTAACTGAACCTGTACTAACAAGCTGTAGTCCCCATGGTTTTTTTTTGGGGGGGGGGGGGGTTGCAGACCGAGGACACAATTAGAACAGATGCTGTGAATAAAAGTTTCTACACGTTTTCGATAACCGTAAATATTTTAGCTAATGACTGGGGCCTAAATGTAATGGGAGGGTGTTTGTCTGTACGAGGTGCATAGTTTAGACTCTTGGAAAACTTTCTCCAATACAGTACACACAAAAAATGACAAATGTTCGTTTACCCTGGGTCAGTATTGTGCCCCAAGTGGGGCATGAAACTGACTTTTCTACACACAAAGGTATAAAAGTGAGTGGGTCATCAGCAGTACTTGTGCTTTGCATGGAACCCACCCACCTAACCTCATCTTGGTGTGGCCCATTCACTTCTTCACCTCTGTGTGTAGATCACTTGGTTTCACACCTCACTTATAGTCTACTACTTTGCTTCAAAATTACCGATGACAATAGTTACACTAAAGAACAGCGTTCCTTACCTAATAAAACCTCGAGTCTCTACTCCAGATAGAAGATACTGTCAATAAGAAGTTGCCAGTGATGATGATAACAATCTCTTCCTCAGTAAACACATCCTCCAGCCTCCATTACTATCCCAACCATGCCCTGCTCCCTTCTAAATTTGTGTCAGTGACCCCATTGTCATTTGAGGTCATGTTGTCACCTCACCTGTTGAGCGACTGAGCTTGGCAGTTCCTTTGAAATGTTGGCACTCACTGACTATGCCTGTGAGGCTTAACATAGTAACCCAGATGATTACTTGGATCTGACTGATAGGTTGCTAGTCCTGGTTCACTGTCGAGGTATTATACCAGTAGCCAACCATATGTTACATTTTCTTATTAATGAGAATAGTCAATTGTAATGGTTTTGATAAGTCTATCCAAATGCCTCCCAGGATGGGTACAGTAAACCCTTGCTATTTGTGGGGACTAGGTTCCAAGGAATGGCGCAAATTGGCAAAACTGCAAATAGCAACTTAAACTACCTTAGTGCACTACTGTATACCTGTACTGTGTATTAGAAATATAAGTCACCAATACTACTTACCTTTGTATGTGGAAGTTTGGAGCTTGATGAATTGTACTGTACAGTAGGATGAAATCTGGTTACTGAGGCATAGGGAGATCATCAGGATCACTGTTGGAAGAGGGTGATGCAGTGGTGGTTGGTGGAGGGGTGGGTGGTAGGGAGGTGGGTGGTGGAGCGGCGGCAGCAGCTGACTGAGTAGGTGAGGGAGACGAATCAGCTGGGCGAGCAGCTGGTTCTTTCTTGATAAACATCGTGATTGGTAGTCTTTTCCTCTTGGCTTTTAGGTCTCTAAACGTTTCACTCGACTAGCATCATTAGCACTGACACTAGGCAGTCTTTTAGGGGTCATTTCACACAGAAACACTAATGTTTTGAGTACAACACAAGAGATGCTGCAATGGTTGAGTGCAAACAAAGGGAGAGGAGATGTTGCTGGTGCGTGGGGGTGACTTGTTGCTCTGTGAGAGAGGCTTGTAAGCTAGCCTCCATCTGCTTACCACAAATAGTCGAAATCAAGAATAGCAAAGGTTTACTGTACTTCCAAATGTATTGAGATAACTTGTACAAAATTAACAAAGTAAAAGTGTATTACTTAATTTGAAAAGTTATTCAAGTAAAAGTACCAAAAATGTAAATACTTTTAAGTACTTCATCACATAAAATACCAATTTTAAATTTAATTTGGTCAATACAGAACAATATTATTTTATTCATCTCAAAGGGAAGCCATACACAAGGGGTTAAATCCTCCAGAAAGTTACTTGAGTAAAGTAAGGTTACTTTATGACTGGGCATCTCTGTTACGGTATATAATTATATACCTGTATCATAATCGTGAATTGTAGAGATTTATACTGTGTTTTGAATTGGAAAGCTTTGTCAAATGTAGAGAAATAAGTTTTTCTAATGAAAATCTTGATGCTTTATTAGGTTTTTTTTTTATCCAGATTGTATCCCAAAATTAATGTACATCAGATAAGATAATTATATGCCTGAATTGTTATTTGAATAATTGCCCTAATTAATGCTTGAAATGAAAAAATTAGGAATTATAAATTATAAATGATTAAATTTTATATTTACAGACTTCGTGTAATGGGGTACAAGATATTACCGATGAAAATGTATCAATGCCAATACCAAATGGATCAGCGATAATTTTGGAGCCACCACCACCATGTCACCTAACCTCACATCAAATTGCCACAGAACTAGTTAATGATATTGTGATTGAGGCAGTCACAGGTAGGAGCTCCTGCTGTGTTCCTTATGATACAAACTATGTGATTGGTCCTGTAATATGTTAACTAGGTTCTTATGCCCTCCACATTAAGTTTGAGTAAAGTGGTGAGAAAACAAAGGTTTATCTTTCCAACAGAAAGTTGCAATTACTGCATGTTGTAAAGGAAAAGGATTTCCAAGGTAATTGTTAATTGTCATACTTGACAGAAAGACCACTGAAACATGGCTTCCACTGGCCAATCTCTCGCTGGTTTCCCCAGCCTTAGAGAACACAGTCATTCCCTCATCAAAATTTTTTTTCACAGTCCTCAAGTTTACTTCTACAGTATATCATTTGAATCACACCATCTCTGTGCACCTCCCAAGTTTCTGGGTATCATGTTGTTCCTATTATCTCTATAAGGGTAGAGGTAAGATGAAGACACCTGACATTTATTTTAAGTGTATTTGGGAATAAATTAGTGGTCTCTCAAACAGTTACAGTACGAGATCTTACTAAAGGCAAAGCAGTACAAATGGTCTAGCTGGTAGTTTTGATGAACAAGTGTTGATTATTCTTATTTTAGTCTTACAACCTTTTACACAAAGCTTTTTGCATATGGGAGTGGTAATTTACTAGTGTGTTAAGGATGACCATCTCTGTGCATAAGTTTACTAAAGTGAACTTGGCAGTGGTTATCCAACCATAACTGATGTTCCAATTGACCAGGTGCATTTATCTTGTAGGACAGGATAACCAATACTAGTTGATAGGCAATTTAGGGAATCAACAGGCTTGCATCTAAAATCTACCATAAGATGATTTTAGGAGCTACCTTTATTTTAGAAGTGAAATTTTGAAATTTGTTTCAAAGATATTGAGAATTTTCCAGTAGCTTTTATCCAAAATGAATCCTGTCGATCAAGTTACTCACAGTTAACTTTGAAGTAAAATGGGAGAATAATCCAAGCATTTTTACCTAAACTGAATCCTTCAGAATGAGTTCCTATACAAATTGACATTGTTATCTATTTAAAAGATTTTTATTTCTGGTCTTGAGTAAGTCCACTCCACCCATGCCCTGGGGTTATGGAGTAGTACAGTGGAGTCTTTATAATTCACAAAACAAATTCTCATTTTTAAATTTGTTGGTACAGGTACCTGTATTACTACTGTACCTCTTTTTTTTAAATCTGCGGTCAAATATTCATAATTCGCAGCCAAGTACCAACTGCCGCAGTGTTTGTTTATATAAGAAACCAAGAAAATTGTGAAAATAATTTGTTGCTTTAACCCTTAGGCCCCGGGTGACATTCCATAACGTCCGACTAGTGCGCCCCGGGTGACGTTCCAGAACGTCCGCCTATTTTCCCGCCATTTTTTTTTTTTTTTTATATATATAATTTTTTTCTCGATTTAACCCCGCATGGGGGGTACTGCCAGCAGCACCCTAACCTTAATTTGTCTTGGAAATAAAGAAAATATAAATATCACTTCATTGTTCCAATATGACTTAGAAATAAAAATAAAGAAAATGTAATACTGTATAAAACTATGAAAAAAAAATGAAAAGTAGTAGGTGATTTGTTTGTGGGAAGCAAGGATGGTTGGGTGATGGACTGAGGCCCCATTTCCAAGAGGATCACACACCCCAGAGCTCAATAATACAACATGCAATTTCACCATAATTCCCTGATGAGTTATTGTGTGGTATTAAATTCCTGGTTCTGTGATGACATAGTGTGGCCACAGCCAGCCCAGCACCTGCCTGTCTCTATATTGGTGTATTGGCATAACCCACAAGAAATTATGAGAAGGGAAGGGGCTGTTTATGTAATAAAGAACCACTTTTTGTGCAATATCTATGTGTTACTGTATTTTATGTATTATGTATGATGGTTAGTGTATATTGAAGCAGTTTTGGAACAGTTTATGAATGTTTCTTGGCCTCTGGAACCAAACTAATTATTTCCATTTAAATCAATTAAACTATAATTTGTAATTTGACAATTCACAATTTCTTCTGGTATCTAATTTGCAAATAATTGGTCCATACTGCGTTGCTCCAAGGTTGCTTGGTCTTCAGATTAGGCCTGGTCACCTTGGATTGGGGTTCTTTGGTTCCTAACCTATTAACTGTGATGGGTATGTGCAAACTGGGATTTCAGGAGAAGTCCTTCCATTTTCTTGCACATCTCTCCTGCACCATTTCCATCCCCTCTGTAGGTTTCTACAGTTTTTTGCTTAATTATCACAAAACATTTTTGAGTGGAGCAATGTTGTTAGAGATTTGAAATTTTACTGGTTCACAGTATATAGTCTTCATATAGAAGGTGATATGATGAAGAGTATGTTTAGCTTTTGTACTTGATGTTTCAATTCAGTGTTTTTTTTCTCATTTTACCTTTTATCCTTTTCTAATGGTTCTTCCATTCATATATCTAACAAATGTATGTTATTAAAAGTTATTCAACAAATTCTTTTAAAATGTCTTCCTACTCTTATTCTCATTCCTGTATGGTTTATCTTGTTGTTTTCTTCCACAGTTGTATCAACAGAGGAAACTATTTTGAAGAATGGTTGTTTTGACAGTGAAAGTGTTAATGTAAAAGAAGTTAGTAACTTAGAAACATTAAATACAACTATACCAGATCCACCTGAGTCATGTTCCCCAGAAGCTGATGACAGTAGTGTGTCTACTCCATGTGTACCTCAAGAGGACATAGGTCAGGAAGATACATCACCATTGTCTACAGACCACCGAAGTGATTCTGTGGCTTCTAACCCTCCTCTTACTCCAACATCCATCACCAGAGTGCCCTCACAAGTTTGTATTCATTTCCCTTATTTTTATATATTTTTATGTCACTGCTCTCATTGTATTCTATAACATATTTAAGGATTAGTGTAAATTGGTAAGATTGCTAGTGACTGTATTTTAGTTACAATAAGCTATATTGCTGCCATTTAATATACTATTATTATTTTTTCAATCACAACATAGCTAGTTTCATCTTGCATGACAGTAGAGGCCCTCAAGCACCAAGTGAGTGAGAACTTCAAATGTAGTAATATCTCCGTTAGCCAGAATCTGTCTCGACTGTAACTCTCCGATAGCCAGAATTAAAATTTTACAAGGGGCACATTTTTTGGAAAATTCAGAGAAAAATTTTCCTGGGTTTGAGAGATGAAAATCAGGCACACTTTGCAGAAATTCCAGGAATGAGGGATTTTTTCTGGGTCCGAGAGATGATGTAATGCTCAATTTCTGGAACTTCCAAGAACATTTTTCCATTACCCTGAAAATTCCGGGGATGAGGGATTTTGTTTTCCGGCTATGAGAGAGTCGTCTCGTTACCTGGAAATCTCTCATTCCCGGAAGTGCTCTGCACCAATTGTTCCGGCTAATGGGGATATCACTGTAGTCAGCTTTGTACGTCTTGGAATAAAGATAGAGAAATGTTTGATCTTACAGACTGTGAGAAATAAAACATGGATTAAAAAATCTTAATAGAAAAAAAATATGTGTACAGTATTGAACTTTTTACAAGCGCCTGTAATTGAGTATTCATAATTTTTACATGTGGGACTCGTGTACTGTGTAAACAACCTCGCAGATAGACCCCCAGGAACCCTCCAATTGTGGTTCTTAGCTATAATAAAGAAATCTAGCAAAACAAGAAAACTAGAGATAGAATCTCTCCCATTTTAATTGAAAGCTATGTACAGTAGGTAGGAGGAAACTATGATGATCCAACTACCCAAAAGCTGAGGACTGTGAAACTGCGATGTTACACTACTGAACAGGTACAATGCAGCTCAAACAGGCTATAAAAGGGGTTCCAGGCTCAACAGTTGCAGTCACTCCTAAACAGCCATATTTGTTAACACACATCTGGTCAAGAAGGTATGTGTGGTGAATAACATTTTGGAACAAGGAATACCGAAGGAGAATTAATTGAATATGGCTATATGGAACACTTTGTTTAAGATGATGGGAAGTAGGTTGAGAATGTGCAAGTCAATGAGCACAAAAACACAGATTGGCAATATACCCAGGTTATTTCGGGAGACTGAGAATGTTGTTAAGTAAATATTAAAATATAAAATTACCTGTATTATTGTAATTCAATACAATATACGGGGTTAGGGACCAGAGACCCCCTAAAATTCACCAAGCAATGGTTAAAAGGTTTATTTTCCTATTAAACACAAGCAAGAATTGTACATCATGGAAATATAAAGAAAACTATGAAAATGAGAAAAATTGCTCAATACTGTACATAGCCTGCTGCCCTCAACCGACCTAGCATCCCACAGATTGTACACATTAACCATCAAGTTCAGGAAATTTTTCTATGGAAGTCAAAAGTTATAATGATGCTAAAACTATAAGTAATCTTGGTCTTAGTTTCTAAAGGTCTTAGAAGGTAAGTCTTGGTTTTAGTTTCAGACAGCAGCCTCTATGGCAAGAGGTGCCTTGCTATGATCTCCCGTCTAGAAAATAGATTTGTTTTATAAATCTTCTATATTTTTCTCAGCAGGAATTGATAATCTGCATCCAGATGTCTGTGGATCTGTGCAGGTGTTTATTTTCATTTGGAGAGGATGGATTAAGGGATGGGGGAAGGTGGGAGTGAAGGCCTCACTATGGTGCAAACAGAATTGTGTAATTATATGATGTTAACAATGAATTTAGTGATGTAAATGAATTAAATAATATATATGATCAATATAGGGACAGTTAAATGGATGGCTGTCAAATCAGTGAGAATTGCCTACAACAGAGGTTTTGGGGTAACTAAATATAAATCATGTTAATGTGATAAGCTCTCGTATAGATATAATTTTGATGACACTTTGTAAAAATCCTTTTCTAAATATGATTTAGGAATAGATTGCTTTTTAGGATTCAGTGACTACTGTATAGCCTTTCTGCCTAGACTGGAAGTTTATTTTGAGACATAAAAACAGTGGCTTAGTATTTTATGACACCATTGGTTAATGTAAGTTTACTATCTAATTAAATTGAGTAAGATGAAACTGTTTCATTGTTATTTAATGATCCTCTCATATGTTTTACAGGAAAGTATAAACACTATGACAGAAGGTGATACTGCCATGACAGCAAAACTGTCTCACACGCTACAAAAAGATGCATTCCTAGTGTTTCGCTCCCTCTGTAAACTCTCCATGAAGCCCTTGCCTGATTCCCCTGACCCAAAGTAAGTTGAAATCCTCATATTCTTTTCAGCCCATTATGAGTTCCAACCACAATTCTTTTGAGAATCTTTGCCAAATTTTTAGGGTCACAGTTAGAATGTTTAAGACAAAGGGAATTTTGCTGTCTTTATATATAAATAAAAGCATTTTCTGTTTGGTGTATTTGGGGCTGTCTCAAAGGGCAGTTAGGGAAAAATTACAAAAATTGAGTTAAGATCTAACTAAAGCTGTATTTTTAGTGAATAAAGAGAAATCAGGATTTTCAGTCAAGATTTCCAGGGGTTAGATCTTTAGTGATATTCTGTAGGAGGACTAGGCTTCCAGCTGAAAAATCCTTTTTCTTCTCAGGAAGATCCACTCTCTTCCATCAAGTAGACAATTTCATCCAAGCATTTAAACTATCCTGTACAGTAGTTGCCATGTATAATGCTGGGAAGCTTAGTATCAGGGCAAATAAAAGGAGATGTGAAAGAGCAGGAATTGTCAGGATCTGCTTAAGTGGTATGACTATATTGGTAGAAGTGAAAAGATAGAGATTGATGTAATGAGTGTATAGTAGGAAGCAGAGGGGGACACAAAGGAGGTGAAAAGATTGCACTAAAAGTCAGGGAGCTGGAGATTTAGGAAGCAACAGTCTGCATGAATGATTGAAGAGGATTGGATACTGATGAGTGATGGTGGTTTACATGAAGCAGTAGGGTAAACCAGATTAGGCTCTTTGTTGTGGAAGGGGCGTACCATAGCAGAACACATCTTTTACAGCAGCAAGAGTGAATGTGTGTGTTTATTAGGATAACAAGGTAGCCCGAAGGCTGAAAATATGTGTGTGTGCCTCATGCCCCAAGAAAGTGATACCTCCCGATACAGCTTAACCTTTTATTCTTAGGTTAAATTACAAATAATAAACTGTATTATATTATCTTTTATTATTGTAGTTGGTGTAATGATTATGATGAATCATACCCCTTAAGAGGCTGATCATATGAGAATACAGTATAGTTTTGATTAACGCAGTCAATTGAACCCGTGGAGGTCCGCGTAAAACGAGAATCGCGTAAACGAAATAACAGATCATATGGGATTAATTGAAATAGAGACTGGGCCAACCCCCAAACTCCACTTTTTCCGACACAATACGTACCTTGTAGTAAAAATAACATCATAATTTTATGATGGTATTGACACACACATAATATCTAAATAAAAAACTACACTGCTGTACAAATATAAAGGTGTTTAACACGTTAGTAGAAGAGATGGGTCGGCACACGTGGATGGCGGCTGGTTCCGAGGCAGAGGGCAGATTAGTGGCCCTCCGGTGAATCACTATCACTATTCACAGAGGTTTGCAGGGCCTCCCTGACAAACCCCTCAAAGTTCATATCCTCACTGTCACTATCACTGACTTGGGCTGGCTGTGGTTGTGGTGGGTTGCGGGCGAAGAAGTCCGTAATACTACGTTGACGACTAGCATTGATGTTGTCGTCATACATCTGGACATACGGCTCCATAAATTTCGACAGAAGGCTATTAGACACTTCATACCGATGCTTGACTGTGTCTTTGTCAAGGATGAGCTTGATTTTCTCCGCCAACTCGATGACTTCCTTCACATAACCATGGCTTGGTCCAGGTAGTTCAAGGTTTCTCGGGGGTGGTGGGGGTCCAGCGGAAGCCATTGTGAGGGGAATAGCGGGCACAGGAGAGAACTGTATACGCAGAGACTGAGAACAATGTGACTGGCCCGGCTAGGTCAGCGACTTCTTCCCTCTGGTGGCAGGGCACGTCATGTTACATTAGACCAATCACAGCTAGCAGCGGAGGGAGGTAAGGATGCGTGGCCCAATCACAGTCCGATACGTCATATGACGTCAGCGATAACGTAAGAGCGACCTAATGCGCACCCTCCAGGCTCCGCTTCCCGCGTAAATGATGGAATGAACCTCGTAACATAAAATTTTTATTCTGGCAAGGTGCCGTGTAAACCAAATCCGCGTAAATCTAGACTATACTGTATAATAATAAATCATTAATAAAAACAGGTTCAAAGCTGGTGCACATTGCAGCGCCTTGACCCTCCCTTACCTCTCACCCTGGTCACATACATAATACAGTATCTTCCATCCAATTTTTTGTGGCTCTCGTGAGGCGTATGGCAAATCTGATTGCACCACTGTACAGGTATTCAACAAGCAAATCTCTTCTTTTTCATTAGAAAATCTTATAATTTTACCCCTTTTTTAAAATCCTTGGTTTTTCTCTGTCAGAACAAATAGTTATGTAAAAATTCACTATCATTTAAGGTTTAAAAAGAAAAAGGTTTGAAAGTGTGTGTTAATGTGTGTTAATTGTGTGATGAGATCATTCATGTCAGTGGACAAGTTTCTGTAGTACGAATGGGCCTTATATTTATTTCTAATAATTTTCTTATTACATATTATAATTATTAAATGTTGTACAGTAGAATGTCGATTTAAAGAGATTCAATTTAAGATTATTGATTTAAAGCAACACCCACAATTAAGGACAATGTTTTAATTTTAAGCGAATCTTTCCTATTTTGCGCAAGTCAATCTGGCACATCATATTTTAAAATTTGTGCCTAATGTTTCTCTGGGCATGCTACACTGTCCTAGGGGCAAAGGTGTACTATACATGTACTAATTGATTACTAAAATTTTTGTCTAATGCAAACTATAGCATGATTATATTCAAATTAATCACTATCGTATGAGTATTCCAGCAATGTAAATTATACTCTCCTCCGTCACATCTGTGACATTTTATAAACAAAAAACAAAAACTCAATCTAAAGGACATAAATAAACAAATAAATACTTTACTAGACTTTTGGCGCCAACTGTCAAACATGTCACTGTCACCTCCCCCCCCCCTTCCCCCCTCCCAGCCAGGGTTTGGTGGTTATACAGTAGGCTTAAGTTTTTATCTTATATAATATCACAGACTAAAGTTAGGAGAATATAATTTGCATTGCTAGAATCCTTGCAAGACAGCGAATAAATTGAATATACAGGTACTCCTCGATTAACGACCTACTCGACTTATGACCACCCAGACATACGACTGCCGCAGTCGTATAAAATATTTTTAAAATTACGTATTTTTGAGTACCAACATTAGTGATTGCGCTGTGCACTGACAAAATTTTTGTTTGTAATTCCTTTTAAGATGGCTGGCAAGCATAAAAGTGAGAGTTCTCATGGTGCTGAGAAGAAAAAGAGACACCTATTTTAGATTTTCTATGTATTATTTTCACCTTTTTGACTTACGACCTGGTCGTCGGTCCGGAACCCTGTCGTAAGTCTAGGAGAGACTGTAAACATCATATATTTTGCACAAAAGATAAAATTTTTAGCCATTTGTAATTAAACCAAAAATTTTTACTGTATGTCTAATGCAAACTAGAGCATGTTTATATTCAAATTAATCACTATCTTATAAGAATTCCAGCTATGTTAATTATATTTTCCCAGGTCAGTTTAGCGACATTTTATAAGAGAAAAACATAGTCACTCTTAAGGACAGGTAAATAAATAAGCACTAGACCTTGGCATCAACTGTCAAACATATCACCTCACCCCCCCTCCCCCCTCCCCCCTCCATCTTCCCAGCCAGTAAACAGACCATTTTGCATCCCATAATTTTAGCTGTGTTGATTTATGAGTGTTTCTTTTAACATAATACTACAAAACACAATGTTTTGTTTATTCTAGGAGATGGACTGAGGTGCATCTGGGTAGACCCTCAGTCTTTTTAGTATTTTGTGTTTCTCTCAAGAACCAAATTAAATTATTCCATTGAAACAACACTTCGATTTAGTGCGAATTCGGTTTAAAGCGACCTCTCTTGGAACGTATCTAGCATTATATCTACGTTCTACTGTACCCTGCCAACTTATTTGTCACTATCTGACTGCTGTTTTTTCTTGTATTGTACAGATCGCATGAACTTCGATCGAAGATTCTGTCTTTAGAGATGCTGCTTTCGATTGTACAGAATGCAGGCCGAGTTTTTCGTTCCAATGATACCTTCATCACGGCTATCAAACAGTACCTATGTGTAGCACTTAGCAAAAATGGTGTTTCTCCAATCCCAGAGGTGTTTCATCTCTCACTTGCCATTTTTGTTGCTCTGTTGTCAAACTTTAAGGCTCATCTCAAAATGCAGATTGAGGTAAGTGATATTTAAAAAAATATATATAAGCTTCACATTTGGTGAAAATACAGTAAAATTTAATTTTTATGTAGTAATTGAGCTAGCTTCAACATCACCTACATCACTGATTATGTCACTCTGGGAGCAAAATTCGTCAACACAGCCCAGAAATATATTCCCAATGTAGAGTTTCCAACATCCTACTAAGGCCATTTGAATACCTGTGCACACGGAACACTTAAAATCAGCATTTCCCTACAGTCTGCCATTTTCACTACAGCACCTCTTGTGTACACACTTTCCACATTCACTGTACAGTACATTACTGAATTAATGCCAACACTTTTTTTTTTTTTTATACAGACACTTGCACCATCAATCAATAGTGGACTTTTATTTTGGTCACTTTTACTCTCGAGCCCTTTGACTATTCTATCCCTCCATTTCTTCACTTCTCCTTTACCTCTTTTGTACTATCTTCTGTCAACACTTAAGTACAGTAATCAGCTTACAACAACTCTCAGGGCAGACCATTCCTAAATTCCTGTTGTAATGCCTCTAGCACCATGATAAAGAGAGGGGACTCATGGCAGACCCTCAATGAACCCCTACTTTTGCCTTAGATTACTCACTTTCCTTGGTATTTACAGTGCTTTTTGAGCCCTCATACAGGTAATGCCATAAACATTAATACAGGGTTTTTTTTCAGGTATTTTTCAAGGAGATATTTCTTAATATCCTTGAAGCAGGTAGTTCCAGTTTTCAGCACAAGTGGATGGTGATCCAGGCACTAACACGGATTTGTGCCGACGCCCAGTCAGTGGTGGACATATATGTCAACTATGATTGTGATCTCAATGCTGCTAATGTCTTTGAAAGGTATTAATTACATCCTATTTATTTCTGTCCTCCCAGCCCATGCAACAAAATGTTTTTCCTAAATCCAAAATTCTGTAGTAAAATGAAAAAAGATAGAAAGCAGATATTACTGCATGACATAAAAGCTAACCTTATCTAATCAACTTCTTCCTAGCTTTATAGAACTAAACATCACCCAAGCTAACCTAATTTTATGTAACCTAATTAACAGAGATAAAACTCTGAAATTAAAACACTGAAAACAACCTTGACAGTTGAGGCCTCACTCTTTAAATAATCATCACTGAGTTAAGAAGACTGGAAACATCCATTAACAGTGAGAGTGATAGTGTAGTAAGATGCTAGGCCAAAGTAAAGGATGTTCTGCTGAGTACAGATGCAAGAGTTGAGGTATTCAGAATAGCCAGACAAATAGTGGGTAGAAACAAGGATGTTGGGGAGCAGTGTGTGAGAAATGACCATGGTGACGGACAGCCTTGGAGTAGCAGAACTAGTAAAGGGAGGCCCAAGGATTGAAAGAGATGTGTGAAGAAAACAAATGACAAGGTGAAGAATGGAAAGGCAGCTGGAAGCTCAGGGATAGTAGTTGAAATGCTGAAATCATCAGGTGATGTGGCATGTCAATGGTGACCAAATTGACTAATGCAATCATGATGAAATGCACTGTTCTGCATAACTGGAGGAAGAGATTGACCGTGAATATTTAAAAGGTTACCCTTTTAACTATTCACGGTTATGCATTTGAATGTGGCATCTACTTGGACCTGAAGCTGCTAGATCAGGTTATGAAAGTTGTAGGAAGAGAGAGAGTGAGTGATAAATTGATAGGGAGGAGTAAAAAAAAATGCCGTTTGGATTTATGCCAGACTGGGGGACTACAGAGGCAATATTTATAGCCAGGCAGCTACAAAAGACATATCTAGGGAAGAAAAGAAAATTTTATTTCTTATTTGTAGACTTGCAGAAGACATTTGACGGGGTATCATGTGAAGTAGTGCAGTGGGCAATGAGGAAACTAGGAGTGGTCGAGTACCTTGTTTGAGTGGTTATGGGATTCGGTGAGGACTCAAACCTCTTTGAGAGTAAACAGAGATGAGTGAGAAATTTGAAATGAAAGTAGGGATCCACCAAGGGTATGACTTTAGCCGATTTCTGTTTATATTGTTGCTGGAGGCTGACCCGCTCTAGGAGTTGTTGTAAACTGGTGACTTAATTCTGAAAACAGATAGTATTAAGGAGGCAGTGAATGTCGCAAAAACAAAAGTAATGATTGGTGGTGTGGGTGAGAGACATATGTGCTGTCTGTAAGGAAGGTTTTGGCAGCAACTCAGTAATGTGGAATGTGGGTACACAAAAGATGTAGTGGAGAAGATGGCAGACTGCAGGATATTGTTGACATTAAGTGTTCTGTATGTGCAGGTACCCATGTGCCCACAGCAAGGCTAGAGAAGCTCAACATTAGGTATATATATCCCTAGACTGTGTCAGTGAGTTCTGTTATTTGGGTGACATAATTAATGCCATTGGGAGTGCTGAAGTCTGCTCTGTTACAAGAGTTTTAAGTGGCTGGATGAAGTTTAGGGAGATGCTGATGCTGCTCCCACTCACAACTGCAAACCCAGGGCACCAACCCAGAAAATGTAGCAAAGACCAGGTGATGAGCACAGGTCTGGTGACCCGGTTGCCATCAGCATGTTGAAGCAGTTTTTTGGCTGGATACTTTCGTAATGCCAACCCACTGGGTGGGAACAGCTGGACCAATGCATGGTCGCAACTCCCTGAGATAATCAAAGACTATCCGCCTACCCTAGTACAGTATACGTAGTAAAATCCTGAATAAAGATTTTTATATTAATAGGTCTCCTTGGTTAATGACCAAAGGATGAGAAAGTTTTATACAGGAAACTGATTAAGTGTGCATTAATGCTGAGAGAAAAATTGGTACCACCACTGAGCCCCCTGCTTGGGGGCCAAAATAGTGAACTAGAACACCAATAAATTTTTTATAGAAACAAAATGAAAGGACAGGCACTATTGGCAAGGACACACATCTCTGGAATGAAGTGGACTGTCAAAGGGATGTGATGAAGGTTTGTCCCCAATCTTCCATTCCTGTCTCTTAATTGGCTGGACAACATGGATTTGGCCTGTTGCATGAAAGCTTAGCTAGTCAAAAGACAAAAAGGAGTAGCCCTGATGTTTAAAGTTTCATAAACAATAAAACTGAAAAGACCAAGAATCCTGGATATGCAAGTGAGCTCTTACAGTTTAATTGTATGCATAATTGGGTTATGTAAACCTTTAGACCTGTGGACTTCTACTGTACTATATCTCCCAATTCTTAACATTCAGCAGCTAGTGGCTTATTTGCCCTTCTTTATTTGTGAGTGCACAAGGTATTATATACAGTCGCAGACAAAAGTTTGCTCCCCGTGGTGAAACTGAGTCACGGGAATGAGTCTCCAAACTTAATAATACTGGGTTGCGTCTTGTGCGGTTGTGCTGCTTTTATCTCATTTAGGGTCAATTCTGCTTCATTTTGGGAGGGAGAGAACTTTTGACCCCAGTTATACAATGAGGGAAATTAATCGACCTTTCTGGTCAGGAATATGAGCTAAGGAACCACTATATATCAGATTTGTAAGAAATTTGGTTTAAAGTTTAATTTAGATCTGTATAATTCAGTAATCCATTCGATACTAGTTGCTTAGTTTATTATAAATACAGGTTGGAGAGAAAAATGCCTTGCAATTAGGAGCACAAATAAAATCTGTGTTGAATATTTGGAATGACTTCTGAAGCATATAGCAGTGTTTTATAGAGATTGGTAGTGAGGAATTATGCTTTTATCATGCAGTCCTACTTTTTATTTTTCACAGATTGGTGAATGATCTAAGCAAAATAGCTCAGGGTGGGCAGCCAGGGGAGTTTGGTTCTACACCACTACAAGAACGCAGCATGAGGATCAAAGGACTTGAGTGCCTTGTTTCCACCCTCAAATGCATGGTGGAATGGTCCAAGGATCTTTATGTTAATCCAAACACGCTCTCTAATCTAAGTAAGAGAAAATGATCTATTTTCAATTTAGATATTTTTTTAACAAGGGTCAGTTAAAGTTGTATACATTACTCAAATTAGCTTGCTTGCATCATAATAAAAATTAATATACAAACTAAGTATTTGTCTTCAGTTTTTATAACTAATGGACATTTGTGACTTATGGATAGAATATGGTAGATGTATTGTTGTTTGGAAAGATATGAATTCATCCTTGTCCAGAGTCTAATTCTATTATTGATACTGAGAATCTTGGGAACTTTTAACATATGCCATAGAACTGTGCAGTGTGATGTTTTGTGGCAGTGGAACATGAGCAGCTAAGAAGGATGATATATGCAAACTTGAGTGAACTCAGGTCTGAGAAAAAAAAATCAGATAAGAGGATCTGAGTAAAATGCTACTGTCAGAAGGTTAAATTAAGATGAATCAGTTTAAAACTACTGTCACACAAAAAGATTAATTGCATATCAAGCTTCAAGCCACTAAGGTCACTAGCTCGGCACGGGTAGCCTCATGCTATTCAAATACATTAAGTCTTCGCTTAATGTCATGGTTCCGTTCCTGAAAACTGCAACGTTAACGGAATCAATTTTCCCCATAAGAAATAGATAAAATACGCAAGTTATGTTCCTGAGCCTCCCTTTGCCCCATGAAATACAGTCCATATACAGAAATTCAATGGCATTTTCATAGAAAATAGTATATATATCCAATATATAACTAAATCATTTTGTATTGTACTCACTGGTGGTTGGAGGTGGTGGAGCTAGTGTGTGGTGGGTATTGGAGCGGAGGAGGGTGGTGGAAGCGGAGGAGGAGGATGGCGGAAGTGGAGGAGGATAGCAGAAGCGGAGGAGGAGGATGAGGGCGGGAGCCGAGGAGGGTGGCGAGTCACTGAGACTCAGCGGGTGCCTCCTCCTCCCTCTCTGACTGGGGTTCCTCGGCTGCTGTTTGCTCCTCCTCGCTTGCAGGCTGTTGTGAAGATGATGCTGCTGCTGCTGCTGCTGCTGCCGCCTTCTGGCGACAATAAAAAGAATCTAGTGTTGACTGCTCAATGCTCCTCTTCTTCTTCTCCTTGTAGATCTCATTGTAACAACCAAGATTGTCATCAATGTTGCGTACAATCTTTGAGCTACATTCTCTGTTTGGGTCGTCATCAATGAAGATTTGCATTCCTTGCTGGATCATGTTGAACGCTTTTGCCATCCTCTTGGTAGTTAGCGTTCGTTGTGTTATTTCTTCGTCATCTTCAACGGGACTGTGTTCTGTTAGTTGTTGCAGATCTTAATTAGTAAGCTCTTCTGTATGTGATGCCAGGACTTGCTCAATATCCACTGATTCCAACTCATGAAAGCCTGCCTGTCTAGCTAAGCTGAGGATATCCCTATTCACTGCTGGGACTAAGTCCTTGAATCCCGTAAAACTGTTGACGCACTCGGGCCACAATTTACGCCACACACCATTCAGGCAACTTTCTGAAACTTCTTCCCATGCCTTGCCAATGTTGTTGATTGCATGAAGAATGCTGAAGCTGCGCCAATATTCTCAGATTGTAGGTTTATTTTCTCCATCAGTAGCCTTTAGCAGTTGGTCCATGGTACGCCGGCCGTAAATAATACACCTTGAATGTGGCGATGACACCTTAGTCCATAGGCTGCATCAGTGCTGTCATGTTGGGAGGCAGGAAGACAACTTGAACATTGTCAAGTAAGTCGTCGATATTGGGAGGATGAGCTGGAGCATTGTCAAGGACGAAGAATTTTGAAGTTAAGGTTCTCCTTGGCACGGTATTCCTTCATTGCAGGGACGGCGTACACGTTTAACCACTGGCTAAATATGGCGCTGGTTATCCGTGCCTTCTTATTTGCCTTGTAAATGACAGGAAGGTGATCCTTAGAGTAACCTTTCAGGGCCATGGGTTGACAGCGAAAGAAATTAGCTCAGCTTGAAGTCGCCAGCAGCATTCGCGCCAAGCAGCAGCGTCAGGCGGTCTTTTGCCACTTTTAAACCTGATGCTCTTTTTTTCTTCCTTTCAGATATAGGTTCTTTCTGGCATCCTCTTCCAAAAGAGACCAGTCTCATCCACAATAAAGACTTGCTTCGCTGAGTAGCCTCCTTCCTCGATAATGTTTTTGAATTCAGGCTGGAATGTCTCGGCAGCAACCGTATCTGAACTAACAGCTTCACCAGTCATCTTAAGGTTATGAAAGTTAAAACGATTCTTAAAACGTTGAAACCATCCTCAGCTGGCCGTAAAGGTCTCATCCTTCGATCCTTCATCCTCTACTGCCTTTAAGTCGTCAAACAAGGATTTTGCTTTATGCTGGATAACCTTAAGGATCACAGGGGCATTGCGTTGATTCTGGTCCTCCATCCACATTGCCAGCATCTTTTCCATAACGGAACTTCGAGCACGACTTATCTTTGTTGCACTCAGAGAAGTACCACTTCCAGCACTAGCCTTCATCTTGTCCGTGTTGGTCTGGATGATACACACTGTTGTGGGAGTTAGACCTAGAGCAGCAGCTATGTCCACCGCACGTTCCCCATTTTCAAAATGGTATAAAACCTCCATTTTCGTAGCAAGGCTAATGGTCTTTGTTTATTCACAACATTAGCATCAGTAGCACTTGATGGGTGCTTGGAAGCCATTTCAATTTGTTAGAGTACAGTATTAAGATCAAAAACACTTAAACGCACACGAATGCTGTGGAAGCCTAACAAAGACTGACGACGCTTAGGGACGCTGTGTGACGTTCTGCGAGTGAGAGGTAACGCGGCAAGATGAGAGAGGGTGATGCGCCGTAAAAAGTAGTCCATGATAACGCTAAAAACGACGTTATATTGAGTCGTCGGGACGTTAATCGAATTATTGGCATCTAAAGAGTAGCGACATTATAATGAAACAACGTTATTGGGGGCAACGTTAAATGAGGACTTACTGTAGTTGTTCTATCTATAAAATCCCTTGAATGGAACCCAGCTTAGTAAAACCCCATATCATGCATCTGGTAAGATTAAAAACTTACAGATACTCTCTGTATACTCGTAGTAACTTATGATTGCTTTGAACATTTTGATCTCTGGGGATATTTGTTACTGTATTGTTAGTACAGAGTACAGTACTGTATTTTGAGATTTTTCATTCTGTGGATGATATACAGTATGCCATTCTTCACATTATATTTTCAGTACATGTAATGACATACTGAAATTATACTTTAAACACCACAATAGATGCAGTATTAAAAATTGACACTTTTAGATATATTTTCAAATCTGCAGTTTCTTACTTGAATCCTCAGGCCAAGAAAAGAAGAAAGAGTCGGATGAAACAGAAGTGAACCATTCATTAGAAGAAAGTCGAACTTCTCTGGCTCGGCATGGATCTCACAACTCTATTAGTTCTCTACAGTCCTCGTCCACTAACACCACTACTTCAACAGTTGGGGTGGATAACCCAGAACAGTTTCAGTCTCTCAAACACAAAAAAGAAATTTGGGAGCAAGGCATTGAGATGTAAGTTCTTCCTATTATTTTTTGTATTTATAATTTATTTTTTTTAATTAATTTTATTCTTCTTCCACTTTTGTGTAGGGTAGAATAAGGGTTACAAGAATCTTATAAGTAGTGGAGAAAAGATGGAGTGGCATAAGACTAGTTTTGATATTGATATTGACAAACAGTTTATTTAATCACAAAAGTACAGATACATCCTTCGATTGGCAATGCTTCATATCACTTCTCTGTGCACGCCAAGTTAAAATTTTCAGGGTTTTTCTAACATGACCCCTCTAGATCGCCCCAAATCACCAATATTGTCCATTAATCTCTTAGCTGAAATATACTTCAGATGTTAATACATGTACCATCTAACACACTTTCATCCATTTGATACACCAGAGAATTTAATTTACCCCAGATGCAGTATACTATTGACTCTACTTCTCTCACATCTCTTTAGCACATTCTTCATTTATAATTCAACTTATTTTAATGAGAACCAGGACATCTAATTTACTTTTTTTTCTTTCAATAGTATAGCAGTCATTCATTTCATCATCACTGCATCCTCTTAGCTTCCTATTTTTTTTTTTTTTCACGTTGATAATTAATTTTTTCCTCTTTTGCATTAAGCCTGCCCAGTGCCAGATAGGTAGATGTTTTAAAATTATTTACTGTATATCTTGGCAGGAAATATTTTGTTTCATTTTGGATAGCATGATGGCACAAAAATGAGTCTAGAACATTCTTATTTTGTGTTTCGACAGGTTCAATCGAAAACCTCGGCGGGGCCTCGCTTTCCTCCAGGCTCAGGGGCTTTTAGGACCAACTCCAGAGGATATTGCCAAATTCTTTCATGATGATGATAGAGTAGATAAAACACAAGTTGGAGACTTCTTGGGTGATCCAGATCCAATTAACAAAGAGGTGGGTTTATTTTAATGCAATGCACAATATACAGGTACCCTGTACATATCTATTTAGTATATAAAATGTATGCCTATTATAAACTGGTATCTTAGTTTCCTCGTGTTACTCTTGCAAGTCTTTTGCCCCTAATCTGTTGTATGGGCAGTTTCAAAAGCAAAATAGATTCTTTCATTTGCCTACATTCCTTTATTCTGATTTAACTTCCCCATAAACCACAGGTTACAATGCTCTTCTGTCATTCACATACTTTGCTGCTTCCTTTCACTTTCAGTAACTTTGATTCACCCCATCCTTCTATTTCCTTGGTCCTTACCTGTGAATCGCAGTAATGGAGCAATTATTGCATCACACTTGTGGTTCAGTAAACCCTTGATATTCACGAGTTAGGTTCATGAAAACACCGGTGATTGAAGAAACCTTGAGTTAAGTAGGATAAAATGGGGTTTAGTTTCTGTTACAGATTAAACTCTCAAAGTTGTGTTGCACCAGTCTGATAGTAGAAGAATCTGTGTTTCTGTTTGAGAGTTCCCTAGTTACTGTGTTCTTGACTGTTCATGCTCATGTTTTAATGATATATTGTACAGTCAGTCCTCGACTTACGACAGGGTTAGGGACCGACGACCAGGTCGTAAGTCGAATTGGTCGAAAATGCGAAAATAATACATAGAAAATCTAAAATGGGTGTCTCTTTTTCTTCTCAGCACCACGAGAACTCACTTTTACGCTTGCCAGCCATTTTAAAGGGAATTACAAACGAATATTTTGTCGGTACGCAGTGCGATCACTAGCGTCGATACTCGAAAAACCTAATTTAAAAATATTTTATACGACTGCGGCGGTCGTATGTCTGGTTGGTCGTAAGTCGAGGAGTACCTGTATTTAAATAAAATTTATACCATCTTTATATTTCTATACAATGATTGTTTTGGACATTAAAATAGAGTTAATGCAATCATTATGACAGCTTAACCCTCTAAACAACGAGATAAAAAGTAGCTGATGAGCACCTTTCGTCCCACATGATAGTGATCATCTATATACCTGTAATCAAAATTTTTCGATGCGGTAATTTTTAAGTTTGGCTCCTGATTTCTTCTTGAGTGATTTATTGTAACTTGTTGCAACTTTTCCTTCCCCATATTGGTTCCTCCCTTCGCCAGTGACGCGTTGCGCAGAAAGATTCCTCACTGCAGTAGTGATGCCTTGACTACCTAGTAAAATATTGTGGGAATCAGAGTGAGAGCGAGATTGAAGAACTTGTAGATTTGCTGAGTAAATTTGGAAATGATAGCTGGTGTATGAGCTTCAGAAATAGTGGCATTGACGAACTAGTGTGTTTAGAGGAAATATTAGTGTGTTTTAACTGTTTAACAGTCACATAAGCTGGTTGTGTTAACAAAAATATATGAACATAAGAATGGAGGAAACTGCAGTGGGCCTATTGGCCCATACTAGGCAGCCCTGTTTACACCAAACCCTTATCGCTCATTATGTCCATCCAACCTATGTTTGAAGCTATCCAGCGTGTTCGAGTTAATGATGATGTTTGGTAACTTGTTCCACTCATCCACGACTCTATTTCCATACTAGTGTTTACCTGTCTTTTACCTAAGTCTAAATTTTCTAATTTAAAACCATTGTACGAGTCAGCCTGAAGCAGCCAATTACAACCTCCCTTGGCACAGCTGCCTGATGGGAAAGATGTGTGGGTGGTGAGGGGGACATTACTCGGGCAGCATGTATTCACATGTAACGCAACATGTGTATTGGAAAAGGTTTCTCCATACTAGAAAACAAGATATTTTTTTCTGGAAAAATTCCAGAGCACATTCTCAATTCTGGTTATTGAAGATTTCTGATATTATCTCTGAAACATTTATCATTTCTAATCCAAAATATTGTGACAAATATGATAACCTTGGTAGCCATGGTACCATACCCTATTTTTTCCATAAGGTATTAAATTCAGTACTCTATTGGCACATTCATAATTTGCAATGATTTCCAAGAACGTATCCCCCCATATTCATGGGGGGATAAGTGTATTATTTTTATTTATTCCTCACATTTTTGGGTACTGTATATACCCTGTATTATTTTATCTTATTCCTCATAGGAGTTGGTAACTGGTGGGAATTCAGTCTTAGAGTTGGTAACGCTGCATAGTCTCAGCTGTTGTGGTGGTCATGGCCAAGACAAATTGGTGTGAATCTGGTGTCTTGTTACAAATTATGTCTTTGATTATGCCAAGTATTTCTCAAAAGCTAGGGTTGAATTATATTAGAGATATACTGTATGAAGAAAAAATTACCAAAGAATCGGGGGTCGAACTACTGTATAAAAAGATTGGTTTATATACGAGTACTGTATATACAGTACAGTTACTCAAGTTAAATATTAAAAACTGGATCAGTGTAGCATATTTTCATTAATATGTGGAAAAAATTACAAAAGTAGAAGGAAAAACAGAACTTTAGGGATTTTGTTCATAAATCAAAGTGTAGGACATTGTTTTGTTTTTTCGTAACAGTGAATTTTCATAACCCGTAGCATCTTAAATCATGGTTTACCTGTAAGATAGGCCATGCAGAATCTTTCATAATATTTACTCCTTTCTTAAGACTGCACTATTTAATCTTTTTACCACTTGAATTATATAGTACAGTACTGTATATGGATATTGCTTGTAATCTATAATATTTTTGTTGTATTTTCAGACAATGTGTTCATACATTGATCAAATGGATTTTCATGACCGTGATTTTGTACCTGCTTTGCGTATGTTCTTGGAAGGTTTTAGATTACCTGGAGAGGCACAGAAAATTGATCGTTTAATGGAGAAGTTTGCATCAAGATACTGTGAATGTAATGCCAAGTAAGTTAGCCGTCTATTTACTGTATCTAGAACGCAATATCTTATTTGGTATTCTGGTACCTATCTTTATTTGTTTTTTATTAGTGATTATTATCTAAAGAGGTACACTTAAAGGAAATTTATGATGGAGTCTATAGTGCTACTTAAAAATACAGGATATAATTTCTGAAAACTTTATGAATTTACTGTACATTATCTTTTATCTGATCTATGAATGAGACATTTTTTATAGTTATTGTAAAATCTTTAGTGAAGTCCATTCATAAATATATATTTTGTTTACAGTGTTGGATTGTTTGCAAGTGCAGATACAGCATATGTACTGGCATACTCCATTATTATGCTTACTACAGACTTACACAGCATGCAGGTCAAGGTAATTATTTACTTTTATATCAGTACCTATTTTCTCCATATTTGATTCCTTGGTTATTCTAGATATATATATATATATATATATTTTTTTTTTTTTTTTTTTTTACTGTAGCTAGGCCTTACTCACTTTATTGTAGGGTTGATGCACCAAGAGCTAACACAAGACTATCTCTACATTTATTGTCACCCATTTACTCTTCTTGCAGTAACATGCCCAGAAGCCTCAAATCTTTCCTTCATAAGGGTGAGGGCTGATGTCATCAAGGTTGGCAAGTGTGAACAAACTCATATAATTGACAATATATGATGGGAAAAAGACACACCTCAGACTTCTTTTTTATGAGGAAGAGTAATTAAACTGGCAAGGAGAGTGTGGGCGAACAGGCATTCTCAAATTAATATCCTGCAACAGCTTTTTACACATAAGCTGTGGTTAGCCAGACACCTTTGGGTATTAATGATACAGGCCCATCAGAAGTATAGAGTACTATTTAACTGTGTAAGAGAAATGACTTTATGACTAAACATTCTATTTTGTCAATGCTTTATACAGCTGAGAATAATGCTATTGGCACATCAGCATCTGACAGTAAATGTGATTCATAACTTAAAAATTTTTCCATATGTAACTAATGAATATTATTCCCTGCAGCATAAAATGACAAAGGAACAGTATATCAAAATGAACCGAGGCATCAATGACTCTAAAGACCTTCCAGCGGAATACCTCTCCAGTATCTATGATGAAATTGCTGGCAATGAAATCAAAATGAAGGCCACTTCCACTAAATTGGGAAAACAAGGTAACTTTGGCCCACACAATGATTACATGTGTGGGAAGATCATTTACTGTAGATATAACTACATAGTAGAAATTGTGATTAAAGGAAAGTACTGTAGTCAAGGATATGTTGCAAGTACCATGCAAGCATTTTTTAATGGAAAGATATATATATATATATATATATATATATATATATATATATATATATATATATATATATATATATATATATATATATATATATATATATATATATATATATATATATATAATTTAAATAGAAAAAAATCCATTTCATAAATTATTTTTAAAAGTAAAGAATTTCTTAAGTAGGTCCACCTTAGCACCAGAGTAAGTTAGCTTGTGTTTGTTTATATCCCGGCATCGTCTTGTTAATTGCAAGACATTTGCCTGAAGTAGTGTTCATAAATGATTATTGTTTGATTAAATAATTATTGTTTGTTTGAATAAATGGCCCAAGACAGTGCCTTGATTTTCCTTGTTTATATTTATTTGTATTAATATAATTATATTGTGTTCATATAGCTCTAGGTGTTGTAAGGGTGATTATGGTGATGTGTGGGAGTGACTGTTGTAATATACTGTAATGATAAAGTGAATAATAATGTGTTTATAAATGTGTAAGTGACTGAACATTCACGCACCATGAATTGGAGGGAAATCATCTCGCATAAATGGGAAACCTGGGGTGGCTCAAAAAAAGTGGAGTGCGACAGTTACAGCGCTTGCCTCCTGTTTCTGGGGTCAGTGGTACAATTTCTGGACACTCCCAGTTCACCCAACTGTAAATGGGTACCCAAGTGTACAACTTGGGGAAGTGAGTGTGTCAAGTGCAGTACCGGCCATGCTGCCTCCTTGTGTACTGAAGGCTTAGTATACTGTGTGCTGTATCCACACTGCCCCTAATGGGCATTCATGCCTATGAGACCCACTTTATGGAAAAATATGCACTGATTTAAATTGAATTTCTGAAAGTTTTTTTCTTCAGGAATGGAACCCTTTGATAAATTTTGGGAATGCCGTTGTTAAAGTACTGTTTAATCACCAAATTTTTTCTCTTAAATAATACAGTACTTGTAAAATTATGATCTCTCTTATGCACCAGTAAATATGGTTAATAAATTACTTAGTATAATTACTTTCATTAAAGATAGAGGAATGGTTCTGAAATCCCTTTTTAAAACCCAAGATTGTAGTGGTTGACTCCTTTGTCTTTCCTTCTCCTAAAGATAGAATAAGGATTTGGCTGGTGCTAATGTCAGGCTACAACCAGTAAGTGATGGGCGAGGTTTGTACCGTTGATGTGACATACAGTATACCCATGTGTCCTTGCATGCAGGTTCTTACAGAATCTTTTTTAACGGCATTAATTATGTCTAGAAGGTGTAGTTGTTATTAGAATAGTTACCGGTAGCTAATAATGTTAGGGGATTTCCCGAGTTTTAACCCCATAGACTTAGTACTGTAGTTTTAATATTTGAGTCAGCCAGTCAAGTTTTTAGTTATAAAATGGGATTTCAAGATCAGTTCTCTATATCTTTACCTCATAGTGATAACAAAAGTTTAATCTTGAATATTTTTCAGCTGTTGCCAATGAAAAGAAACGCAAGACCCTGTTCAATTTAGAAATGGAAACCATATCATTAACAGCAAAGTCCTTAATGGAAGCTGCCTCACATGTTGATGCTACCTTCACTCTCGCAACTCATGTCGAGCACGTTCGGCCAATGTTTAAGGTAAATACCTGTACTGTATAGTGATATCCCCATTAGCCGGAACAATTGATGCAGAACACTTCTGAGAATGAGAGATTTTCGGGTAACGAGACGACTCTCAAAGCCGGAAAAAAATCCCCCATCCCTGGAATTTTCCGGGTAATGGAAAAATTTTCTCGGAAGTTCGAGAAATTGACCATTACAATATATCATCTCTCGAACCCGGAAAAATAACCCTCATTCCCGGAATTTTCCGGGTAACAGAAAAATTTTCTCAGAATTTCCAGAAAATGTGCCTGATTTTCATTTCTCAAACCCAGAAAAAAAAATCCCCCATCCTCGGAATTTTCCGGGTATTGGGAAAATTTTCTCAGAATTTTCCGAAAAATTTGCCCCTCGGAAAATCATTCCCAAAGCTATGTCTTTATTATATTGGAATACAAATATATGAGTAAAAAAAAATCTTATTTTTACAGTATGATTTTTTACAAAAATATTTTTGTTCTATATTTTAGGTACAGTATTTCATATAAACTGGGCCGGCTTTAGGCATAGGCAGACCAGGCAGCCGCCTAGGGCCCCCAGCCCATAAGGGGCCCCCCTGATGCCTCCTACAGGAATTTAGTTCAAAATCTCAGAGGCTGGCTGAGTGTGAATTTTTCAAGTTATCTGCTGAGTTAGGAACCCTAATAATGAAATAATTAACCTTAAAAAGCATTACAGTGAAGCCTCACTTTACGCGGTCAATTGAACCCACGGAGGCCCGCGTAAAGCGAGAAATGCGTAAAGTGAACAACATAACATATGGGATTAAATGAAATAGAGACCGGCTGACCCCCAAACTCCACTTTTTCCCACACAATGCCTATGTTCTAGTAAAAATAACATCTTAATTTTATGATGGTACATGCACACAATTAATACTTAAGAGAAATAGAGAAATACAGTCGCCAAGTTAATGTCCATTCAAATAATGGATTCAACTCCCTCCCCCTCTTCTCACACTCCTGGCTTTTCCCTCTCTGACAAATGTTTGGGGGAAAACCACTAGATTTTAAGGTATAGTAATAAATAATACCTCAAACTAAATTTAGGATAATATAATTGACATTGCTGGATTCCTTGTAAGACCAGGAATATTTTGAATATAAATGTCATATATTTTGCACAAAAGATAACATATTTACTCAGAGTAAACAAAATACTTAAAGTAGATCTAAAATTTGTATGTCTAATGCAAAATCTATGATGTTTATATTCAAAATGATCATCAAATTGTAAGAATTCCAGCAATGTAAATTATATTCTGGTGGTGGAAGTTGGGTCTTACTGTTTTTTTTATACTCACCGTGATATGGTATGACATTCTGCAACAAATACAAGAAGTGAGCAAACTCTTGCAGTCTACTAACATGCAACTTGATGTGGCTATGAGCTTACTCAAGAACACTAAAGCCTCCCTTGTGAGCTACCGAGAGAATGGATTTGTCTCGGCACAAGCATCAGCTAAGGACATGTGAGGAAATGAATGTGGAGGCTGTGTTAAAGGAAAATGACTTCGAATGACAGAGACACTTTTGATATGAAGCTCCAGATGAGCCAATTTCTGATGCTTTGAGAAGAATAGAATTGTCTTTTTTCAATACGGTGGTAGACTCTGCCACACATCACTCAATGAAAGGTTCTAGAGCCTGGGAGAAGTTAGAATCAAATTTGGAGTTCTCTTTCACTTCAAAGAACTGACCATTGATTCACTCACAACACAATGTCAGGAGTTGAGTGACAGCCTGAGCTATGGTGGAGAGTCAGATATTGATGGAAAAGAACTGGCGTTTGAGAAGAGAAATCTGCCAGACTTACCCTCTGATGATATGACAGCATTGGAACCTCTTAAATATATACATAAAAAGAAGATTAAAGAGCTTTATCCAAACATGTGGACAGCCCTGAGCATAGCAATCACTCTGCCTGTAACTGTAGCTTCAGCAGAGAGGAGCTTCTCAAAGCTTTAACTTTTTAAAACATACCTAAGGTCTACGATGGCTCAGGATAGGCTTAATGGGCATGCTGTCATTAGCATAAATAATGCTGTTGGGAAACAAGTGTCATATGATGACAGTATAGACGATTTTGCTTCAAAGAAAACTAGGAAGCAAAAATTCTAGATCCTAGATTTTAGAAATATTAATATGTAAATTACTTAAGTAATAATAAATTGCAACAACAACAAATTGTTAGCACTCATTTGGTTTCCTTTTCAGGAGGGGAGGCTGGGAGGGGCAGGATGGGGATGTTTTTCCGTGAAATAAGAGGGGGGGGCACAAATTATGTCTCGCCTAGGGCCCCTAAAAGCATAGAGCCAGCTCTGCATATAAAATATTTTGTATCTTAGTCAAATGTCACTTAGGTTTTCGGATTATTTCTTATATGTTGAGGAAAAATATGCACAGTTTAAATCAATTGATCGATCAAAGTGCCATCCTTATGTCTGAGGGCTGTTAACTACAGTCCTCCCTAAAGGTTTTTTGGGGCACTTTTATCAATCCTCCCAGATTTTCCATCTTCCTGGGACCTCGCCTTTTAATCTCATTCATCCATCAGAGTTTTTGTCTTCCCTGGTCCTTCTACAGTCAGTTTTGCCCAATTTCATATGGCTTAACTTTGGAGGGTCAAATATTTTTGATGATTTTATTTATTTTTTCTACTTTTCCTTCTCACTGAAGGTACAGCAATCTACTCAGGATTCACATCAAAAGGGTTAACAGTCACAGGGGATGCGAAGAACGTAAAGGTCAATTCAATTTATAATTAAAGTTTTATGGAATCGTTTTCATGCATTTCACGTAAGAAATGGCCCAAGTGTTATAGTTGTTCTGTAGGCAAGAAGTGTTAAAAGTAGTCCAGTGTGTTGATTAGAAAAAGTGATAATTGAAGTTTCTTAAGCATGTATCCTTGCTATTTTATATACATTTTACAGGTACCCTTGTTTTCATTTATGTTGAATAATGCTAATATCCTCTTTTGCAGATGGCATGGACAACTTTTCTGGCAGCATTTTCAGTAGGCTTACAAGACTGTGATGATGCAGATGTGGCATCTCTCTGTCTGGATGGCCTTCGTTGTGCCATTAGAATTACATGCATATTTCAAATGACTGTAAGTGTAAGCGGTATTGCACTTTCTTATTATTTTTCTAGACTGGTGTTATAAATTGTTTTTTGCATAAATGAATAATAGACTGTATGGTCTAAAGCCAGGTGCCTTTTATAATACAGGTTGTCACTTGGTATTTTTAAAGTGATGTGCTGGAAGGAGCACTTCAATAGGCATTTCATTTATGCTTGCCACTAATATGTGAATGGGGTGCAAGTTTGTTAGTTTAGTGAAAGTATGAAGGTGTAATTTTGTAAAGATGTGACATAAGAGTGAGGAGTTGATTGAGAAAAGAATGTTAAAGAGTTTGCATAGATTCACCCATATATCATGTACTAACAGTTGTTTGTAAAATATGATTTGCTTTGAAGCTTGAGTTCAGTGTTTTACTAATGTTTCAATGAGATATATGATCAAGTTAAATAAAGTGAAAAACTATTTTTTAGTTTGATCCTCTGCAGATTTCTTAATCTATTATTTCCCACATCCATATTCATGTAACTTTGAGTCTTCAAGAATTTTAGTATTAAGATGCCATTGGAGTACTAACAACTTTTTTTTTTTTTCAAGCTTGAAAGAAATGCCTTTGTGCAGTGCCTCGCCCGTTTTACCCTCTTAACTGCAAATTCGCCTCTAACTGAAATGAAAGCCAAGAATGTCGACTGTATCAAAACTCTCATCACAGTTGCACATACAGATGGTAAGAAAAGCATATAATATATAGATATAATTATTTATTGATAAAATCACACAGGAAAAGGGAAACAATGGAATAGCTTTAGCTTTCGTCTTAATTGAAGACATCTTCAGAGGCAACTGAATTTACAGGGACTGAGAGAGGCTTATATACACAGGGTGACTTTACAAAACATCAGGTCAGGTCAGTAACATGGAATTACACCAACACCACTGCAAACATATGAACTTTTCGTTTATATAAGGAACAATAATCATCCCATAGATTGGGAAAGCAGTTTAGAAGTGTATAAATCAACATGTGTCACTGAAAGACTTCTGGTTGAAGCAAGTTTGATTAGGGAAATGAATTCTATAAACCTTAGTGATGGTCAGTACAAAACTGATCATATGTTACACAAATTTATTTGTCAGTGGCCCAAGGTTAAAAATGCTTTGAAAGCATTTTAGGTAGATGTAGGATCGATGATTAGTGGGTCTCGTATTTTTTACCTGACTTGACAGGATTAGCTACATCGCCCATTCTTATAAGCTCCACTTATGATTGTGGTGGTGTATGGATTAGTGGATCTCATGTTATTAACCTGACATGATGTTTTGTAAGGTCATCCTGTGTACATAAGCCTCTCTCAGTCCTTGTAATTCAGTTGCCTATGAAGATGTCTTGAATATAGGCAAAAGCTAAGGTTCTCCATTGTTTCCCTTTTCCTGTGTGATTCTATTGAGATTTATCCTGTCCATGTTTCCATTGTGGATCTACATGATATATATTTATTTATATAATGTGTAAACCTTATTTCTAGTGGAAAATTGCTGCTTCATAAGGAACTAATATAGTAAAGTTAGGCTGCTGTCTCCCACTGATAGAACTTTTCTTAGGTAAACCTGCCAGCAAACTTGCTCTCTATCTCTTTTGTTTCTCTTCCAACAGCAATTGATACAGTGAATAACTTTTGGAAATTTTTTCAGTGCCCTTCTCATTAGTTCTGCCATAAAGAATACTGTACGTACAGTATATTAACAATGCAACCTTTTGAAGGTGGGTAGTACTTCTTTACCTTCAGATGTGTTATTATGTTAGTATACAGTATCTGATGTTGCCATTTGTAAACATTTTCCAATAGTGATATTCCCATTAGCTGGAACAATTGGTGCAAAGCACTTCCGGGAATGAGATTTCCTAGTAACGAAACGACTCTTAAAGCCGGAAAAAAATACCCCCATCCCGGAATTTTCCGGGTAACGGAAAAATATTCTCGGAAGTTCCAGAAATTGCCCATTACATCATCTCTCGAACCCGGACAAATATCCCTATCCCCGGAATTTTCTGGGTACCGGAAAATTTTTCTCAATTTCCGGAAAATGCACCTGATTTCCATCTCTCAAACCCGGAAAAAAAAACCATCCCTGGGATTTTCCGAGAAAATTTCAATTCCGGCTATCGGAGAGTTCCAAGTTTGAGGGATTCCGGCTAACGGAGGTATTACTGTAGTTTCAAGATATCCATGCAATAGCATATCAGTTCATTCTGTGTTAGGTGCAATAGGTGGAGGGGAATGGCCTAGATCGTGGGAGGGAATGGTGGAACAATTCATTATAGTGACAACAGAGGAGAGGACAAGGGAAATAGAGAGGGCAAAGGTTGTATGTAGCCATACAGCAGCCTTAAATTTCTTCTGTCCAAGCCATCTTGATAGAGGGGAGCGCTCCGGTAGAGAGAGGCATTGTAAATAAGATAGGAAAAGATACAGGGTAACAAGCTGCAGAAAATATGACCTGCTCTTTATTATTTATGGTGTGAACTTTAGGAAAAGTTCAAACCTTTCCAGGACTTACAGTAGGTATTGGCAAAAATTTCTTGCTGTGGTGAGGCAGGCTTATCTTCAGGCAGCATAATCCATCAAAGCACCAATCTTTTGCCATGAAACTTTTTTTAATGATAAAATTGGAAAAACATGTATAATGGATTTTACTGTAAGCAATGGAATGCTGCCAGGTGCTATTCATAGGGGAGGGTGTTAGGCCAAAGTATGCTTCAATGAAAGGGTTAAAAAATGAATAAAGGATTTAGTGAGATATAGGATAGCTATTGGGCTCTCTATCTTATAGTTTGAACATGCTGTTATCATTGATAGGTTTATTACAAATGTTTGTCCATTTGAAGTTTAATACTAGTGTTCGTTTGTACTGTGATTACATTTTATTGGTCCATATTAATTCCTTTATTTTATGTTCTACTGTTTCCTAGGAAACTACCTTGGAAAGTCATGGCTTGAGATTCTAAAATGCATCAGTCAACTGGAATTAGCACAACTGATTGGAACTGGGGTCAAGCCACAGTATATTAAAGATTCAGGACTCAAGATGCCACATGAAACCTCCAACTTCCTTGATGCCTTTCCAGAATTCAGTAAGTATTTACACATTCAAATACAGTACATGTACTCTGGTGTTGTTACTATTGGTGTTTAGCAGTATGTTGATATGTCAGTCATGGTTCTTATTAGAACTTCTGAATACTTTCAGCAATAGCAATTCAAAGTTTAGATTAAATTCTTGAGGATCATTTTTGAAAAGATAATGTATTTAATCAAGATTAATAACCCAGAATGATAAAAATTTCCAATAAGTAGAAGATTGATAATTAATTGTACAGTTGTGGACAAAAAGAACTCATCAAGGAGGGAGGGTAGAGATGTAGGTGCAGACTTGGCAATGTCACATTGGACTGGCGGTGAAAAGCCTCCTCAAACATTCAACACACACACACACACACTCTCACACTCATAGTCAGTGGGCCGAACCCTCAAAACTGGAGGCCGAGGTACCACCAGGAGGGACTAATGTTATCATATTCCATTGGGAAGCTTAACATCTCTACTTCTCAAAAATTTATGATATCAGTGTCATAGGTACAGCTTAAGTGGAGAAATTTAATATTAAAGAGGGGTACCCAAATGACTTACATGGGCAGTTCAAAGTCATGTAGCTATACCCTGCTATACCTCCTAAAGATGTGGTATATGATATTATGCATGCCAGAGAATTGGGTGAAAATGCCTATCAAGAGTTCAAAGGGAAAAGGCTTGAGGACAGTGCTGAACAACAGGACTTTAACAGCAGAATGAAAAAGCTAAACCTGAAAACATTTTCTGACCTCAAAAAGAAAACACAGGCAGTAAAAGTGCAGGGAAAAGAAGTGATATTGAAAGTAAATAGAAATCTCTTCAGCAACATGATCATTTGTACAAAGAGCAGAAAACTTGATATGCAGGATTTGCTAGCACATCCACTTGGGCCTCTTCCTTGGTCCATTGCTGATCCAGAAGGTCTTAAACTCAAAACGAATAAATCTGCATTAAGTAGAGAAGTAGAAAGAAAATGTTCCATATGCAGAAATGTTACCACAACCTCGGGCTTGCATCATTGATGCTATGACACTTGTTCATACTGTCGTCGGACAAGAAAACATGCAAAGACATTGCAGACTCTATGCTAGCAAAGATTACATGGTTCACACAGCTAATTTTGCATATGAGGCAATAGTTATTATTGTATTTCCAAAGACACTGATGTTTGAATGTTGTACTTTGCTTTTGCCTCTGAAATATCTACAACATTGTATCAAGTGCACAACAAAGACCAGACCACGGTACAGTAGTATCAACCAAATGGCACAGGCTCTCGGATCCTCTGTATGCAAGGCTATCCTTGGAATGCATTCATTCTTCACTGGATGTGATACTGTCAGTTCTTTTGCTGGCAAAGGCAAGCTTTCAGCCCTGAAACTGATCAAACAATATGTCATATATTATATGGTGTTTGAAAATTTTGGCAGGTGCCGGTGGAAATGTTCAGGCAACTACAACTTCATATTTTTCCCGCCTCTGCTAATGGTCGTGTAATATTTCAATGTGATTCTGATCTTTTAAAATCTTGTTTTTGTATAATGTAGTATTACTGATATGTAATTTGTCTTAGTATGCCTTATTGTGGGTAAAAATAAGTACAGTATACTGTATATTAAATGCATCCTCCGAAAGCGTGAATTTGCTACCAGAGTTTAACAGTTAATTCATGTATAATACTTCTGATAAACTTCCGATGCTTATATTTGAAATAATGAATGTATGTATCTTATATAATTTAGCTAAATATCTTTCTCGTCAGAAACGGTCATCCCAACGATTATGAATAAACTAGTTTAGAAATACATCATTACTTCAGGACAAAATCGGACAGGTTTGCAACAGCCAATCAGCTGTAACTCTTGAGGAGGGGGCGGGGCATCTTTTCTCAGCTGAGAAAAAAACTCACTATAGGCTTGAGACAAAGATTCGGTGAGTTGAGTTGCCAAGTAAATAAATATCCCATACAAAGTATTTCATCGCGCCTGGACATTCAAAATATACCCAAAAAATTAAGAACGTTGAGGAACATCACCCTGGTTTTAAAGCTTAAACCGTGTATCTCAGAAAATTTTATTTCAGAAACCTAAAATATATATTAAATAAATTACCCAGTAAATTCAATACAAAGGAAAGGTATGTTTATAATCTCCATCTTACAGCCATTCATCAACTGACCACCCACCACCACGACCAACCTGCATCAGTTATATAGCACATCCATCTACACCCATTATTTACCACTCGATTACATTATAAAATGATAAGCATTTGGTAACTGTAAGAATGCATAAAAGAATTATATAAATTATGGTAATGACTGATTTATTGAAAAGCTTGTGTGTCTTATTCTCCCTCTCACTGCCAATTGTTAACCGTTGTTCCTTTACCAGACCCATGTTGTGTAAAATTGTATAATTTCACCTTTAAAATGACAAGATTTTGCCGTTTCTTGATAAAAGATTAGGTTGGTGAAGCACTGGCGATTCTATTTTGCACTCATTATGCTACAAGCATCTCAGTGTATTTAATAGGTTCTAGATGAGCACAGGCCGTCTAATTTTTTTTTAAATAGCCTACCCAAGCATAGGCCATCAACCCACAATGGTGTCTGAGTATGTTTGTTAACCTGTACACTTATGTGTGATGTGCTGTGTGTGTGGGACATTCTTTTAGGTCAGTTTGGTAATTTTTTAATGACTCATAGTAGCAACCCTGCCTTGCCAGCAAAGGGGGTGTTTGGAAATCCTACATACTGTATAATGTCTAGTTCAACACTGTAAAAGTGGGTTTGCATTATTAAGTTCATCCATCTGTAAAACTTGCTTCAAGTTTGCCTGTGGGCAACCAAGACACTTTGCCATCAGATAATCATGTCTAACCCACAGAAGAGAGAAAAATGGCAGTAAAATGGTAATGCTGATGAATCATTAGACTATCAAACATCAGACTTGGACACTGTACACTGTGACCCCAATAAGACAGATTACCAGTCTCATTGGACTACCTTTTCTTCCTATGAATAATGAACTTCAGAGTAGTGGACAGACAGTTTGTTTATGCAAATTATATGGGTTAAGTCATGTGTCTGCAAAAAGGGTACTGTATGCCCTGTAATTCCATGTCACCCACTCTGGCATTTAAATTTTCCATCAATCATTCCATATCTCACAATAAAGTTTTGAATGCAGTTATTCAGATCTTCACAAAGCCTATGCCTTTCTCCCCACCATCTCACTCCCAGGTATATTTACATTCACATTAGCTCATTGGTCATACCTTATTTTTAGTCTAATTCTATATTACATCATTAAACAGCATCACCTTGCCTTTTCAGACTCTTACAATTTTCCCAGTTTACCTGCCTTTTGGATTGTATTTCTGGGGAAAAAAATTTATTGAATAATACCTTTTTAGGTGACACCCAACAAATTGGAAGTTGTTTGGAGAGTGACCAAAAAACAGATGAATGTAAAGTGACAGTTCTTTCCTTGTTTGACAGAGTAAATTCCCAGAAAAGTGCTAAAATAGATGTTCATATGTCAGATATTTTGATAAATTTTATTTTAGCCATTGTATTCAGGTAAGAAATGGCTGTAAAAATCTTGTTTCTTGGTTAGATAAGATATGTCAAAATCATATTTTTGCTATTCTCATTATTCCAGTTACTGGCGAACAAAAGAAGTTGGCTCACATCAAAGAGTCCATGGGTGAAACGTCATCACAAAGTGTTGTTGTGGCTGTTGACAGAATATTTACTGGGTCTACACGGTTGGATGGAGATGCAGTAGTTGATTTTGTAAAAGCTTTGTGCCAAGTATCCTTAGAAGAATTAGCAGCACCATCCCCGAATGTTCTCGCTACAGAAGATTGTGGAAATAAGTTATTACAACATGGGTCGTATCAGGCTTCAGTGGTCCAGAATATGGGAGGTAAGGAAAATGAACATAATTTTCATATGAAAATTATGTGAGCTGTTCATCTTGTAAAAGAAAAATATGCCCCGGTACTGTATTTGGAAATATATTCTGTATAGGGTAAATAAGTTTCCTGACCCATCCCACACCAGGTTACCTCATACAGCTTGCCAGGATAAAAACAAATTTTCGTATCCAAGTTCTTGAAAGTGTTTGAAAGAGTGAAACTGTTTCACTGTTTTTGTTGAACTGTTAAAACTTTTTCCCCAAGCCTTTTCCTGCTGTAATTCTGTGTGGCCAGAATTAAGGGCCAGCATACAAACTTTCTTTCTTCTCAGTATGGCTGCAAATGTATATAAGGTTTACCCTGTCACTCTACATAACTTAGCATCACCCATCAGCAATATGTTCTTCACCAATGATTACATTACAGTACAATGTACTGTAGTTAAAAAAAAGAGCAATTTTATGTAGCTAGTTTTCATAATTACCAAAGGTATGATTAAATATCCTAATGAAGCTTTCCTATGGCCCTTTACCCAGGTAGTATGTCCATTTGGTTTGCTTGGCCTTTTTCTGTTGTTCTAATTACTTCATTACTTCCTGTTTAAACATACAATAAAGAAGAAAAATTCAGTCGTGGTATATTATTGTGTAGGATCATATACTCTCGCTTTTTATAAAGGGAATTCAGGAAAATAGTTTTTATTTTCATATAAGCTACCAGTGTCCACTTTGAGTGTAGCCAGAGTAGGCAGTGTGTGATTCTGACTGCTAGTTATGCCAGCATGATAGTTTGCAGTTGTTATAATTCAGTCTGTTTTATCGAGAATTGTTGTGATTATGGCACAGTTGCTGTGGAACCATCATCGTTTTATGGCCATTTTCCACTGTTGTGTAGGTGAATCATAATTGCATGGTGTCCCAGTTGCCATCAGACAAATTTGAAGCAAGTTTTTCAGTTAGATTTCCTTCCTATCACCAACCCTCATTACAGAATGGAAACTGGGCTTTGTATGTCGGACTATGTAGCACCTGTTTCATGTTCACAATAATAAGATAACCTGCAAATGTTTTTTTTTTGATATTTAGCTACAGTAATTTAGGGGTGAGCCTTCCATGCCACTGTGCTTAATATAACAATAAAATATGAGGTTGAAAATATCATACAGCTGGCAGTTCCAATGCTTACTATAATAGACAAAGCAACTTTCAGTGTTTCATGCCACATTAAGGAGTAATAATTCAATGCATTTTTTTTTCGTATCTTTGTTAAATATGTATTTCTCAATCTTATTGTAAATATATTGTCATTTGTAGTGGAAATAATGTATTCATCACTCACCAGTAAGCAATCACAGGCCTCACTTTGTCCTGGAGTAGTTATATAATATTTCCAAAATTATCTTGGGATAGTACTTTCCAAAATCCTCTTGGTCCCAAGTGTATTGCATTTTCGATACACAAGTATTATATCTGCAACTTGAAAACAGTCAGACATTGAGGGCAAGGTAACACAAGCAAAATTTATTTGTGTTGTCACAAATATGGAAGTAACTCATCCCCTTAAACATGTCAGATTTTGGAAAATAGGAAAAAATTATGAGAATTGTGAATTTAATCTGAAATGAGTTTTGTGTCATATTTAAGGTACTGGAGAGTGCCAGTGGAACATGTCAGAGAGAATGACTAGGAGATCATAAATAGAGAATTTTGTTTAAAAGCCAGATAAAGAAGAACGGCAGATGTCTTATGTAAAACTGATATTAATGGGAAAATTGGATAGCTGTGATGTAAAGCATCAAACAATGTGAGTTTGAGTTACTCTCTTGCATTCAACAGGAGCTGAATATGAAGGGATCTATTACAGCTTTCTACTTCTTCAGTACAATAAGTTCATATACAGAGTACAATAACAACCCTTTTATGGCAATCATTTCACTCATTAGTTTAAAAGTCTCCTTCATACAGTCTCATACTCCTTAAGGGGAAGATTCGGCTGAAGTATGAAATATTTTAATAATTGATTAATCAATCTATCGATTTTTCTGTCAGCAATTAAGGACACCAGATACATTGTTGCTATACAGTATCCCTTGATCGGTTCTGCCTAACCCCAGATATCTAATTTTTCCTGTACATTTTTTATCAATTTTCAAAATCCTATTTCTTCATAATTTCTCGCTATGCACACTATGCTATTCTACTACTTAGTTTTTGTTTTATTAGAATCGGCCCATAAATGGCGGGCCTTAGGGATTTGAAGGCTAGAAAAACACGTTTTGAGATACGGGTGGCGCGAAAGCAACACCTGGTTGAACCTACCTCTCGCTTCTTTAGTGGGTAACTGACTTGTCCTGCTGCTAGCTAGCTAAGAAAGGTGCCAGATACTGATTTTTACCAAGTGATTGGTATTGCTTTACACCAAATTATTATTATAAATACTTTTCTACAGCTTTTGCTATGTAAACAGAAGGGCCCTCTAATTGAAGGGTGGGTAGAACAATCATGCATAGCTACATAAATATTACGAATTACATAATCAAAATATATCGACATACTTTCCACAGGAATTTTTCTGAATATTTTCGTAATTTTCCGATTTTCATCGTATTTTCAGCCGGATGCTCTCCTTAAATTAAATTCATTACTGCAAGTTGATGTACAGTAGAATGTCGATATAACGCTAGATATGTTCCAAGAGGTTGCTTTAAACCGAATTCGCACTAAATCAAAGTTGTTTCAATGGAATAATTTAGTTTGGTTCTTGAGAGAAACAAAATACTAAAAAGATTGACAGTCAACCCAGATGCACCTCAGTCCATCTCCTAGAATAAATAAAACATTGTTTTTTGTAGTATTATGTTGAAACAAACACTCATAAATCAACACAGCTAAAATTAAGGGATGCAAAATGGTCTGTTTACTGGCTGGGAAGAAGGGGGAGGGAGGGAGGGAGGGAGGTGAGGTGATATGTTTGACAGTTGATGCCAAGGTCTAGTGCTTATTTATTTATCTGTCCTTAAGAGTGACTAAGTTTTTCTCGTATAAAATGTCACTAAACTGACCTGGGGAATATAATTAACATAGCTGGAATTCTTATAAGATAGTGATTAATTTTAATATAAACATGCTCTAGTTCGCATTAGACATGCAGTACAAATTTTAGTTTTAATTGCAAATGACTAAGTAATCTTTTGTGCAAAATATATGACGTTTATATTCAAATTATTCGCTGTCTTGCAAGGATTCTAGTAATGCAAATTATATTCTCCTAACTTTAGTCTGTGATATTATATAAGATAAAAACTTAAAGCCTACTGTATAACCACCCAACCCTGGCTGGGGAAGTGTGTTGTTACATTATTGACAGTTGGCGCTAAAGGTCTAGTGAAGTATTTATTTGTTTATTTATGTCCTTTAGATTGAGTTTTTGTTTTTTGTTTATAAAATGTCACAAAAGTGACTGGGGAGAATATAATTTACATTGCGGGAATTCTTATAAGATAGTGACTAATTTGAATATAATCATGCTACAGTTTGCACAAGACAAAAATTTTAGTAATCATTTAGTACATGTACAGTACAGCTTTGCCCTTAGGACAGTGTAGCGTACTCAGAGAAACATTAGGCACGAATTTTAAAATATGATGCGCCAGATTGACACTAAAGTAGGAAAGATTTGCTATAAATTAAAACATTGTCCTTAATTGTGGGTGTCACTTTAAATCAATAATCTTAAATTGAATCGCTTTAAATCGACTTTCTACTGTATCTAATATACAATATTTGTCTTTTTGTAATTTATTTCCAGGTACTTGGTGATCATTTCAATAAAGTTGGTTGTAATCCCAATGAGGACATAGCTGTATTTGCTGTGGATTCCCTTCGCCAATTATCAATGAAGTTTATTGAAAAGGGGGAATTCTCCAACTTCCGCTTCCAAAAGGAATTCCTGGAGTCATTTGAGCACATAATGAAAAAGAATAGGTAAGTTGCATTGTTTTTTAATTATGGAACTGTAAGAACCCAGTGAGATTGATTTGCCATCCAGGTACCTACAGATGCCCAAGCTACTTCATCCCAGAGCAGTTGCTTCAAGTATATAAGGGATTTGTTTGTCCTAACTTGGAGTACTGCTCTCATATCTGGGGTGGCTCTTCTGTCCAACTGTTAGATAGGGTGGAATCAAAGGCATTTTGTTTTATTAACTCTCCCCTTTAGTCGACAATCTTTCTTCTCTTTCTCGTCGCCGCAATGTTGCTTCACACTCTTTCTTTTACAGGTACTTTAACAGCCAATGTTCGGTGGATTTGACATCGTAGTAACACGTGTTGCCCGCGGTGCCCACTGTTTCTGTGTGGATGTTGATCACACTAGAATAACCCGTTATAGTACATCCTTCTTTCCTCACACAGCCAAACTGTGGAATGCTCTGCCTTTTTCTGTGTTTCCATACTCATACAATCTGTCTCCCTTCAAAAAGCTGGTTTTCCGGCATCTTCGTGGTGTAGATTAATATAACCTTTTCCTTTTCTATTTTTAATTTCTTTCTATTCTTATATTTTCGGCCCCTAGGCTAATTTGGGTCGTTGACCTGTGCCCGGGTGGGCTAATCCCCAAAAAAATATATATATAATAAAAATAAATAAATAAATAAATAAAAATTAGTACAACTTGGAAGTCTGATTTCCTGGGGGTATAGTACAGTATTCAGGAGTAAACCTGCAATAGGTCTCTCATCACAACACTTCATAAGAAATCAAGGAAACTGTATCTGAGTACAGGAGTCTTTTTCTCTTTGCTGTTCGCTCAAAATCATGTTTGATAATCATCCAGTAATGACAAAGGGATAGGAAAATTTTTATTATGTCATCATTGTTGGTGAACTCTACGCTGACTTGATAGGCCAAAATGGGATTGAGAGGGTTGTGAAGGACAATTTCTAGCATGGGAGAGGCAGTGGTAACATCTTTCTGCCCCAGCATGCAGTCACATAAAGCTTGAAAGTTTTAACACCCTTTCATACAGTGCTTCTCCAAATGTTATAGTGTTGTTGTCATCAGTATTATATGTTAATACTCTTGTAAATATGATGTATTCACTTTTTGTGATAGTTACGTAGTGTCTTGAAAACACATTTAAGTGGCAGGAATCTTCTTAAAACACAACTGATTGTTTATACTTTATTTGTGGTAACTTTTTATTATAAGTATTTGTACAGATATGTATTTAATTATGGGTAAGGAATAGCTATGAGCTCCCATATTGAGAAACCATTCATTCTCACCGAAGACCAGTGTCAGACTACTGTCTGTAGGGGCACGGAAGCTGGCAAGTTTGTCAACACAAATGTCTGCATTTTAGAGGTCAGACACTTGAGCTCTGGCCCTGCAGGGAGCGAGGGTTTATTGAGTACGGTACTGTAGTATACAGTATTGAGATATTTATTATAGATACATAATGGTGCTAGAACACTGCTCAGCCACACTTAACTTAGTCCTTATGGTTATTAACCTACATTTTCCTACCCACATTACATAGAATGGGTGTGTAGCTAAGCAGATGCGGGAATTTGTGCTTTATGATGATTGCCGTGTGAAGCCTTCTTGAAGTTCACATGTGTTTATGTAGTCTTAAAAATACTAATGCATATTGTACACTAACCTACTGGAAGAGATGAACTTCAATGGTTTTGGATCCCTTAGTGTTGATCTTCAGCTAGTTCGTGAGTGTGGTGGCTTCTTATTTACTAGGGATAATGTCACATTTCTAGTGTCATTGATGATTATGATCACCATCCAAGTTGGCTTCCTGGTTTCTGCTGTGATGTAGGACTATGCTTATGTGCATTGGACGTACACACGTTAGGTGTACATAGGATATTGACACTCGGGACATTGGTTGTACACATGTTAGGTGTACACGGTATTGACAGTCGAGATTGGCACGGAGAATGAGGGGTCTCGTGGTAGGTCAACTTAGGTCAGTAATGTTGTGACTGCTGGTCAGCTTGTGGGCGGCTGTAATTGTAGTGATTCTTGGTGGTTCTTAAGTTTGAATCTTATAGTCTTTTTAGTCTTGAATCAGTTTTTTGTGTTGATTCTCAAGAGATTCTTTTGACTTGAATTTTGTGACTTGATCTTGTAAGTCCTGATTCTTGGATGAATCTTGTTAATTAGCCTTTTTATTGTGTCCTCTTTATCCACTTCTCACTTAACACATAGAGGATGTTTGTAGATGCTCTCCAAGAGTCGTGAAAATAAGACAGACATCAGTGGGCAATATTCAAAGCGACAGAATGAGAGCACTAATTGCCTCAGAGTGCACATTACAGTACTGTACTATCATTGGTGGTGGTGAGTTTCCTTAGCGAGCACTGCATGTTTTCACTTGTAATTTTTACGTGTTGTATGTTTTATTTTATGTAGAAATCCGAGGACAATGATTTCTATAAAGAATCAACATTCTGATGGGTAGCACAGAGCGAGCTTTTGGTGTATAAATATTATATATTAGTAAGTACTGTACTGTATGATGTGCACTTGTTCCATCATGCAGATTTGTAGAATACAGTTTATATGATTGATATTAATAGGTAGAAAATCAATTTAATTCATGTATTTTTTCCTCAGGTCACCAGTAATAAAAGACATGGTAGTAAGATGTATAACACAAATGGTGAATTCTCAAGCAAAGAACATTAAATCAGGATGGAAAAATATATTCAGCGTCTTCCATCTTGCAGCTTCTGACCATGATGAAAATATTGTAGAAATGGCATTTGAAACTACAAAAGAAATTATATGTAAGTTTGAATGAATATTTTTGTATATGATTAAACAGGAATTTACATATTTTTATTTCAACTTAACACTTGTTTAGAAATAGATTACCTGTATAGAGAATGAATTTGCTCAGGTAATGTCTAACTAGTACAGTACATTGAAATTTGCAACACATAATCTCTCTCTCAAATACGCAACTCTCACCGTTTACAAGTTTTTCATTGAAATAGTATTTTCTCTTCTAACGCATAATTTTAGGAACTTATCTCATGATAATCAAGGAATACCTCTACAGGGGATCCTTAGTATCGCTACATGTGTTCCAGAAAAAAAAGGGACTTATTGTAAAATGTTTTATAATGAGGAATTTTTCCCATGAGAATTACTGTAATACAGTAGGGGTATGCATTCTCACATGTACGGTAATACCCTTGAAAGCTCAGCAGATCATCTTGCAATGGGGTCATTATAGCATACTGTACTGTATAGTATTTAATATGGAGTTACTCCATTCCTAACATTATTTATTACCTGTAAGTGATAAATGACGACCTGATTTTGTTACATAATCACTCGGGCAACTGATTACTGAATAAACCATGGAATAGGCAGATGCAAAATACACTACAATGCTGATAAATAGAGTACAGTAAACCCTGTTTGGGGGTATTAGATTCCAATGAATGGCACAAATTGGCAAATCTGCAAATAGGAACTTACACTACCTTAGTGCACTACTGTATACCTGTACTGTGTATTAGAAACTTAAGTCACCTATACTACTTACCTTTGTATGTGGAAGTTTAGAGCTTGATGAAGTGTACTGTACAGTAGGATGAAATCTGGTTACTGAGGCATAGGGAGATCATCAGGATCACTGTTGGAAGAGGGTGATGCAGTGGTGGTTGGTGGAGGGGCGGGTGGTGGAGAGGCGGGTGGTGGAGAGGCGCGGGCGTGGTAGGCAGGTGGTGGGGAGGTGGGTGGTGGAGAGTGGTGGTAGAGGCGCGTGGGCGGTAGGCAGGTGGTGGGGAGGTGGGTGGGAGGCGGGTGGTGAAGAGGCGGTAGGCAGGTGGTGGGAGGTGGGTGTGAGCTGGCAGCAGCTGACTGAGTAGGTGAGAGAGACTAATCAGCTGGGCAAGCAGCTGGTTCTTTCCTGAAAAACATCGTGATTGGTAGTCTTTTCCTCTTGGCTTTTAGGGTTCCTAAACGTTTCACTCGACTAGCATCATTAGCACTGACACTAGGCAGTCTTTTACGGGCCATTTCACACAGAAACACGAATGTTTTGAGTACAACACGAGAGATGCTGCAATGGTTGAGTGCAAACAAAGGGAGAGAAAATGCTGCTGGTGCGTGGGGGTGACTTGTTGCTCTGTGAGAGAGGCTTGTAAGCTCGCCTTCATCTTTATTTCTAAGTCTGAACTTTTATTACAAGTATTTCTTATGTAATAATGGTACGTGCACATTCTTCTCACAGCTAACAAACACCCAGTGCTATGATGATTTCTTGATTCAATATTTTCCCACACAGTATACCCCACACCTTATTTTTGGATTTTATATCTATATTATTTTACTGGACACAGTATTTTCTTTATTCATAAGGCACACTGGCATATAGAAATGACTCTTCTGCAAATTCTGTGGTTTACTTAACACACAACAATAGCACTTCGTAGTGTGAGAGTTGACTGGTGTGTTTTGGCGTGGTAGAAAGTTAACACATGTAGGTCACTCTTATTACTTATTATGGCTATATTTGCATTATGCAGGGTGTTTAAGAAATACTTTAAATAATTCTGGGGTGTATTCCTGAGACATACGTAAGGATAAGTGACTTCATGACCATAGTTTCAATACCCCAAAAAAGGCTAGGGAAAAAGTAGATGGCTTTGTGCTGATACCTAAGTATTTCTGGTAAGGTATATAACCTCTCAGTAGTTACTGATCATTGCTGTTAGTTTCCAAGCTACTTAAGGTGATTATTTCCTCCTCCAGGTTTTTCCTAGTTTCTGTATACAGTAATGTACTGTATTTAAACTATCCATGTAGCCTTGATTGTAAATGAAAAATTGTTCATAAAATCAAGTTTTATGATCAGAGGTGAATGGACAGCTTAAATATCTTCTCTCTTCCTTGGGTCATGGAATAGATCTGACAAGCCTAAGGAGCAGCAGTAATCATTAAGAGCAATGCAGATTTTAGTTTCTATAAACAATTGACACATATATTTTTCCAGGAGGAACCTTTACAGTATTTTGGTCTTTTATTCATTGGTAACATTTATATCATTCAGAGGTTCTTGTCTTGTCTCTGTGAATTTATTTATCTACATATGGTTTGGTAAGGTAACTACAATCATGATAACATATGGTGGCAATATGATGGTTATAGTGAGCTCTCATATATTTAGGTCATATGCTTATCACTCATTATAAAACAGGATTTCAGTACCATTCCTTCAGATCCAGAAATTCACTACAGTATTTTTCTTGTGTTAGAAGTTTAATAACATTTCATTGCTTGCTTACAGGTCAAATCTACCAGAAACACTTCATTACAGTCATAGATTCATTTCAAGATTCTGTCAAGTGCCTAAGTGAGTTTGCTTGTAATGCTGGATTCCCTGATACCAGCATGGAGGCCATATCACTGATTAGAGACTGTGCTAAATATGTCGATGAGAAACCACAGGTAAGGACAGTGAAAATAACTGTTAATATCTTAACACTATACACATGTCTCTCCTTGTCATCCTTCTACAATTATGGATAAACGGTCATTAATATTTATGTATAATTTACATATTATTGTTGAAAGTCATTTATAATATGCCTGTCAAGAATGACTCTTGAATATGCCTACCAAAGGCTGAAGCTTAGGAACCCAGGGAACCCAAATCTTTGATGGCTGGGACTAAGCTGAAGATTGTCAAATTGTTCAACAACAAAGGAGATTTGAAACCTACAATAGTCCTAAGACTAGGGGCTAATAAGCGTTGGTCAGCACACAGTGCATGTACAACCTACTCTCAAGCTCATTTAAAGCAAGAAGCAGTATTAACTGTATTACCAGCTTAAGAATCCCACAGGCAGGACATTTGCCTTCATAGGAAAAACTAATAGCTAGACTGCTTTTTATGCTCATAAGGCATTTTGGACTGGGCTATGCTATTATAGGTGTTGCAGTTAAGGTAAAAGTTTATTCACCTTATGTTTGCAATATGTTAATGTGCTGTAACAGCCTAATGAGGGGTGGTATGTGTGGTGATATGGGAGTTATCTTCCATCCCTGCACTCTGTGGTGTGTTGGAGACAATTCGGTAGCTACTGTTTATTTATGTACACATCTCATCGAAGCATTTTTTTCATTGTGTCATGTTGTAAATAGACTTGAGTGAGCTAAAATGTGAATGGCAAGGTGGATGTGATAGCTCACAGATCTAAAATCAATCCTTCAGCTGCAGCTTGCAGTAAATTTTTTGTGCACGGTGTGTGTCCAATTTTCATGAAAAATTTAAGTTCATAAAAATAAAATTTTCATCGTGAGAAAATAAAGGTATAGTACTTGCAAACTAATGGAAAATGAAAGGATAAGTAATTTGTCTAGTTTGGTTTAGCCATGGTGAAAAGCTCCTGCATCGTGCAAAGTGGATGCTTCCGGGTCATTATGAGATAGACAAACGTATTTCTTTCATGACAACTGTGTGTTTATTGAGGTATAGCTAGGGGTTAGGAAGTGATGTAGGGGACACAGTCTGTAGATGCATCACTTTTTGCACAATTTAAAAAAATTTATGCCCAAATCTTTGCAGCCTGCTGGCTTATCACAGTCTCACTTCCAGATCACTCTTCTGGCTTTTAGCAGCTGTAGGGCTAGTTTACACAGTTGACTGCCCCATGTTCACCCCTCCCAGGTGCCTGATTGTGTTAAAGTGTTTGTATTTCAGGCATCTTTATGCATACATATAATGAATGTTTATAATATATGTACTGTATATGAATTTATAAGGATTATTTTGGGTGATTGCAGATGTTTAGAGAGCATAACCTCGAGGATGTGACTGTTTGTGCTGAGGACAGAGTATGGGTACGGGGTTGGTTTCCAATCCTGTTTGAACTCTCCTGCATCATCACGAGGTGTAAACTAGACGTCAGAACCGCTTCTCACTGTTTTATTTGAGGTAAGTTATAAGTTGTATACAGAGAACTCTCTCTAACCCGGACTCACTTAATCCGATCCCTTGCAAGCCAGACTGGGGTCCAGCACCAGATACATGTATCCCCAACCCAGAAAAACACAACCAAGTTCTGATTATTACGGGTAAAGTTCGCTTAAGCGGGAGCTGCCATTGTGGTAGTACAGGAGGGTAACCCAGCAGCTACCTCTGAGGAGGCATTGGATGTGTTTGCTGAAGACCACTAATGTGATGTGTCTAAGAAATATAAATAGTGTTCTGTACATGCACTCAATGAAATTGGCAGTGAAAACATAACCTCCGCTCCACCTTCGGTGGCATACATTTTGAGTGTTATACAATCACCTCCTGCCTCAGCCACCTCATATTATTAACATGTAGAATATGCTTGTATTATAGTGTAGTGTAGTAATACATAATATATACCATATGAAACCTCTAATACTTTTTATGATTCTCTTATCACTCTCTCATATGATCTATATTAGGCCGTGGCCATGAGCAAAATTATATATACGTAGCTGGCAAAATAACGAATAAAATTTTATCCGTGGCATCAGTTCTAATTGTGTTCAAAAAATTAATTTGGTATACATGATTCCAATCTCCTCAAGATAATCATTAAAGCTGTACAGTATACAGTGCTGTACTACCATAATTCCAGGTCTTATCTCTCTCTCTCTCTCTCTCTCTCTCTTTTGATCTCTGTGTGAACCTCATGAAAACTTGGAAACTCAATTCAGTGTCCTCATGAATACAGCAATCTCTTCTATCGCTTTTACATACAATAAACTGGAAGATCAGTATTAGTCAATTTTGACATGTTATTTAATGTCATATCTTGAACACACTTTAAGAAGGAAGAAATACTGTTCTGCCTATTGACTTCTATCATAAAACAGTCACAAGCTTTCATTTTTCTTAAACTATTGTTTTGTGTAACTAGACTGCTTCATGGATGAAAATATAAATGGCCATGTGAGTGGCTGAAAGAGTATTACACTTTAACAGTTAGTGTTAATATTATATTTGGGTTCCACTTCATAATTTGCTAATTTTTCTGTTACAGGTTGTGAAAAATTATGGAGGATCGTATTCACCTCACTGGTGGAAGGACTTATTCCAGATTGTGTTTAGAATCTTTGACAACATGAAATTACCAGAACAACAGACTGAGGTATGCCTTCATAATTTGACATTAAGTTCCGAGTAGAATAGCTTGATATTGTTGGGAATCAATCTCCATCTATCTCTTCTCTTCTTTTCTTCCATATTTACAGATACATGTAAGTGTAATGTAAATGATATTCAGTACATCTACTGTATAGGGGGTTTTGTATATTGATATATGATATTTAATTTATTAACATTATTATCGTAAATTATTTTACGTGGCATTTTTTAGTTCTGCTAATAAATATTGAGGATGGCCTTCTTCAATTACAGTAAGGCTCTGATTTTAAATGTTAATCTTATTTTTCCTTATGATTGTTTTAATTTTCCTTCATCACAGAGTGCAGTGGAGTTAAACGAGAGACAGGCTGAGGTTGGTAGTTTTGCCTTACAAGCCTGGGTTTTTCTTGTAATATATTGACTACTAACAGTTATAGCCTTGTTCTCACATGACTGAATGCATGTTTCTATTAATGTAACTCTTATCCACCAATTTTGGGAGCTCACTTATTGTTTAATGTGTGTCAAACTTTATCATGAAAATGGAACCTATTTCTTACATTACTTGTGTACAGCTTGTTTTACTATTAGTACCAGTATGGCTAAAGGTTCATATGTTATTGTGACAGATTCAGTTAAAATTGGGTTTTACATTTCATAGAGAATTTTAAGTGAAAACTTTGGGCAAATGTACAGAAAACAAAATGAAATATATGGTGACACTCATTTCATCTATTTGACCTTAGTTTGTGTGTTCAATACCCTGTATTTCTCCTACATAACATTAGATCTTGTCTTAATGTGTGTCAAATGTGAATGATTTCTTAAATACAGTATAGTCTCGATTTACGCGGTCAATTAAACCCGTGGAGGTCCGCGTAAAACGAGGAACGCGTAATTCTGTATTACATTACTAAAAATAGTAAAGTTTCTGGTGCACTCTAAGATTAAGAGAGAAAACGGAGGACCTAAGGGCGCCCTGATTGTGAGAGAAAACGGGTCAGAGTGATGGGGACCAAATAAAAAAAAGCATAGCTACACAAGCCTTTCTGTGGACTACAGTATTAAACGCATTCTCACTATAATAAACCTAGCCATGCCTATGTGTGTTTATGATATTTACCAACATTATATATATATATTTAGTGGGTCTAAAATGGTCGTGAAATGGGAAACTTGGGGTTGATTGTCTTGGGGTAAATGAACCAATTAGAACCTATAGAGTCTTAAAAATTTCTTATCGGCAGGGTCCCACTCAGGGCGCGATAACCAAGGGATGACTGTACTGTACTGTATATACTTGTGACACTGGCCAGAAGTTGCTTCTGGTGTTATGGTACAGGGCAAGGACAGCACTAGGATCCCACTTCCTCTATCAAGAATAAAACAATTAAAATTTAAATTAAAAAAAACATTCAAATAAATTAATATCTTACAAGAATCCTCCAATGTAAGTTATATTCACCCAGGTCAGTTTGGGTAGAAAATTATGAGAAGAAAGCTATCACTCTTAAGTAATGATAAATAAACACGCAGGCAGGCAGGCTCAGAGCCAACTGTCAAATCATATCTCAAATAAATAAATAAATAAACAAACGCCAGACATTCTGTCACCTCACCTCCTGCTCCCCCTCCCCCTTCCCGCCACCCTTGTGTTCAAGAGATAAAAGATTATGATTTCTTTTGTTTATTTTATAAGATCTCAGACTAAAGGATAATATAATTTGCATTGCTGAAATCTCAAAGACAGTGATTAATTTGGACATAAGCGCTATATATTTTTGCTCAAGATATAAAAAATGTAGTACATTTGTGTACAATACTGTAGTACATTTTATAAAAAAAGTTTTTCAACTGGTATTTTGGGTAGATGTACATAAATTCTCTTTTCATTATTTTCATCCATTTACATTCACACACCATACTAAAAAGAAACGTGAAATAAATTAGAAGTAAAGCTGGAGTGCACATGTACTAATTTGATTACAGTACTAAAATTGTTATGTCTAGTGCTAATACAACATGTTTATATTCAACAATCAGTATCTTACAAAGAATTCCCAGCTATGTGAAATTATATTTCCTAGGGTCATATCACTGGCATTTTAAATGAGAGAAGCTTAGTAGGACTGTTAAATAAACACAGAGAAACCTCGCCTCAAACTTATCACCTCAACCCCCTCCCCACCCCCTCGCTGGGTGGGTGGCAGCAGAGCCGTCAGCCCCCCCCAGCCAGGCTTTTAGGCTTACAGTTTTTATCTTAGTATAATATCTCAGGACTAAAGTTAGATTATATTTTGCATTGCTGAATCCTTGCAAGACAGCCAATAATTTGAATATAAACGCTATGTATTTTGCTCAAGAGATAAAAATTCTTTTGTACATTAGGTAATAGTACTGTAGTACATTTTTATAAAAATGTTTTCAACTGTATTTGGGTAGATTTTACATAGATTTCCTTAAAGCTGAGTGCACATGTACACTTGATTACGGTACTAAAATTGTTATGTCTAGTGCGACTACAACATGTTTATATTCAAATAAACCTTCAGTATGTTAAGCAAGAATCCCAGCTATGTTAATTATATTCACCCAGGTCATTTCACTGGCTTTTTATAAGAGAGAAGCTTAGTCAATCAAGAACTGATAAATATACAGCATTAGACCTGGGTCTGTGCCAACTGTCAAACGTGCCTCCTCCCGCCACGCCCCCTCGCTCGCCTATCTGCTCGGCATTGCTGGAATCCTTTGTAAACAAAGTGAATAATTTTAATATAAACTGTCATGTATGTTGCAATAAGAGATAAAAATTAATCACCTGTATCACATTACAGTAGTGATTTAATAAAAGTGTATATGTACGCAGACATAGTATTCCACATACATTACAAGTATAAATAAAAAGTTTGTGATGATCGACAACGCCTATTTCGTTAACGCCACGCTTTCCAAGAACGATCTAAGACGTTAACCGTACATGACTGTGTGTGTGTGTGTGTGTATATATATATATATATATATATATATGATAATCACACGGGAATTTTAACACGGAGTACCTTAGCTTCGGCCTTTATTCAAGACATCTTCAGAGCAACATCTTCAGTTGCCTCTGAAGATGTCTTGAATAAACAGATTTTCCGGTGATTTTATCAAATTTATCATTATTGTGGATTTACATGATATATATATATATATATACATATATATATATATATATATATATATATATATATATATATATATATATATATATATATATATATATATATATATATATATATATATATATATATATATATATATATATATTTATATATATATATATATATATATATATATATTTTTTTAAAGCTGAGCTCCCAAAAGATGGAATACCTTAAGGTACACTGTATGCATTGATTGAGTATAATGATACTTTGACAGCAATTTTTTGGTGGTGGTGGTGGTGGTTGCTAGAGTGTTTTTGGGTGTGAGGGTGATGGTAGTGGTGTTAGAATGGTCGTGGTTATAGGTATATTGGTTTGTTTATTTATTTATTTATTTGTGTTTGTTTATTTATTTTATTTTGTTATTTATTTATTTATTTTTACCTATTTGCTGAGGGAAGGAAACTTGTGGCATGTATTATATAGCATTTGTGTTGGTATGTGACTGTTCTGGTAAGTACTGTAGTGTTTTGGGATAATGGCAAATGCGGTAGAAAGGAAAGATTATTATCAACTTTGTTTTCTGATATTTAGTGACCAATAGAAATTTGTCAAATTCTGATATTCTTGAAAAATGAAAAAAACACTTTTAACGATGAAAGGGTCATTTTTAAAAACAAAATTGGGATGTACAGTATAGAGATAATGTACCCCATTCCCAATTTTAATTTACCTATTTAATTTTTTTTAATCATAAATTCTCATTTAGATACAATGCATTATGTGGAGGCATTTATGTCCATCTGTCTGTTAACTGATGGTGGTGCAGAGGTGGTGGTTGTTTACCCACCGTTAAAAAAAGTTATACAATGTGTTGCTTACAATGGCTTTGGCAAGGTTGAAAAGTGGGAGTGCTGCCAGATCCTCTCTATAGCATTATTCCCCAGTCCTTTCTTCACATTCGGTAACTTAGTCACATGGTGTGGTTTCTAAGTTACAGTATATGTCAGCAGTGTAAATTTGTCATTTAGTTCCTGAGTAACCATTAGTGTAGACAGTTAGTTCATATTATATTTATGATACACAGTTTTCCTTATTCTGAGCTGGATTCTTTTATAGAACCTTTATTGAATATTTTAGTCACAGTACAGGTTCATGTAGAGAGGGTCAAAGAATGTCAGACTTTGTGCTGTGGTTTATTTATCAATAAGTAATGCATTTCTCTGTTTCTTGCATTCCATGGAAATCAAAAGAAAGATGAAAGGAGTAAACATTGCCTTAGCACATAGATAACCAATCATAAGAAAGGTAATACCAAAAGTGGCAGCATGACAATAATACTGTAGATAAGATTTTTCCAATCAGCAAAGGAAATAACAATGATTAATAGAAGTGGAGTTTATATAGTATGTATCTGAGGAAGTTGGGTTTAGATCTAGAGATCTAGGAAAAAGTTTACTGATATGAATCAAATACTCAAATGATATTGAAGAAGAGTGAAGTACTGCAATTGTTCTTTTATATGTCTTGTATGGTTAGGTAATACACAGCAGATGTGTATGAATGTATAGATTGTATAATTTTATAAAGGAATCGATATAAAGGTCAATGTAAAAATTAAAGGGCTATTAGTTACTAGGTGTTGGATATACAGATACAAATTATAGATAATTCTGTAGTATGCATGACTCTACATCATAATAATTTGAATGTGGCACTTTTCACTCTTAGTGGTGACTTCATCAAGTGAAGATGATTTGAAAATGGTGTACAGTACAGTTATGGGATCATTTATCTGGCATGCTTGAGACCTGAGGGTTGCTGGATACGGTTTTTTCTGGAATTTGTAGCACCGGGCCTAAGATGTACAAAATGTACAGTAAACCCCCTGTAACTGGCTGTGAACCCTATACAGTATTCAGATCACTAGATACACCCCTAAAAGTAGCTGTAACATTAAAACTTAAAATTGTAGGCATAGAAACATCAATAACAAAAGCATATAAATAGCATTAATGAGAATATAAAAAAAGAGAAAACATTTTGCAAGTTAGCTTACAAACTGCAATGCAGTTGCCCCTGATACCTTAGTAAATCAGAAGTGTCCCAAGCAACAGTGCTCTGTTATGGACCCTCCTACCTCCATACACTAGCTACACAGTTTCATGGTAGAAGCTTGTAGATATTTAAAACTCTATGCCTTATGATATTTATTAATTTTATGTACTGTATTTTTGTGCCTCCTGTATGTAGGATTGTGTATGAATGTAAATGAGTAATAAAAGAAAAAATATATACATTTACCTGAAATTGTGAGTTGAAATATGCTTTTTATACCTTATGAAAATCACTAGTTCTGTATTTCTTTTATTTATTTATTTATTATTTTTTTCACTTTCTGTATGTAAGATTGAATGTGTATGTAACTTTAAAAAATTAAGAAAATGACATATACCTACCCAAAATTATGAGTTAAAAAATTACAATAACAAAACATACTGCTCACAGGTGGGAAGTGGTTGGAAATTTCCTGTTTGGCCCAGGAATTACTTGGTGCTCATTTGTTCCTGAACATAGCTGGTTTTTAGAACATTTCAGATACCAGGGCGTCGGATAAACGGTCCCATACCTGTACCGGTACATTGTCAATACAAGGGAAAAATACTCAGTTTTTGTTACAAATAGTGAATCTAATTTAAGGTGATAATGGGGAATTTAGAGTGATGCAACAAATGCATTGACTCAAGTCAATTGACTGTTACTATGAAAAATTTTATTTACTGTGTTTATCCAATTGTAAGTGAGAAAATTAGGAGTAAAGGTACTGTACTGTATTGATTTCTAAAGAAGTCTTGGTTAATCAGAGCCAAATGTTTTTTTTTGGGGGGGAGGGGGGAATCTTGATGTATTGAAGGTTAATTACTTTGCTGGTATAATCTACCAGCAAAAATAATGTTAGGTGATTTTTTTACTTATAGCTAATGACATCTAGGAACAGTACTGTACTGTACTCATTACATTGGAGAGAGACTTATTATGCTTCAAAAGTCACTTAAGTTATCTTTAAAAGAATTTGATAGTGTTGGGCTTTTTTGAACTTTGAACAAGTGATGACACTAAATGTTCCATGGCTTGGAATTTTTTTCTTCCTGCATGACCATTGAGCCTGTCACATGTGGAGGATAAGAATCTCTCTGTTAATACTACCATTGAGCCATTCATCACTGGACGATCAAAGAATGTTTATAACTTTCATTTCAAAGAAGGTCATGGGAACTGTAAAGAGTCCTTTTGAGGTACCTAGCCATCTGGTCATTGGATTCTCTGGTATTGAAATGCAAATGGTGTGCAGAGGGTCTCTTTATTATCAGTTACCTGTATGGAGAGAAGCATTGTTTTGGTCCTAGCTTTCAGTCTTGTCATCATGAACAATGAAGAACATAAACAGTTGACCTACATTGAAAGGCAATCCTTGCATCCTTGAATGGGAATACAAAAAAAGCATTGTGGCCAGGATCAATAATCAAACTGCACTACTAGGAGCTTGTGATCACTGATTCAGATGTTATTCTGCATAATCTATCATTATAATAATTCAGTTTCATCAGTGTAATATTCAATTACAGTATAGTAAATTGGTCAACTTTAAAATTTCTACGGAAATTCGTTCCCATGCCCAGAATGGAGAGAGATTTCCTGAAATTTCTCGGAATATCAACCCCCCCCGGCTATTGGAGAGTTCTGGGGATCAAAGATTCTGGCGAACGGAGAGATTTAATAGTTCAGGATTAGATTTTTTTATTTTGAATTTTATTTTTAGTACTGTACTGCATATTGACATTTGTTTAATAATTCCATATTCCTGAAAGATAATGCTTTTCATTTTTTTTACCAAAATCTTGTCTCTTAATGTTTCTGTATTATCAATAAGAATAGTGTTAGCATTTATTTTTGTCATAACCATTATTATACTGATCTATTTAATAATTTCATAAATCTTGGCCCCTACAGAAGAACGAGTGGATGACAACCACCTGTAATCATGCTCTGTATGCCATAGTTGATGTCTTTACCCAGTACTTTGAAGTTTTGAGTCCCATGCTCTTAGCAGACTTGTACACACAGCTCCACTGGTGTGTGCAACAAGGTGCGTATAAATTTTTTCTATTCGTTGTTTATTGTAATGGTTGCATGATTTAAACGAAAAGTTTACATGTAGTATATACATCCACCGACATGTATGGTTTAAACCATATGTCCAATCTAACGCACTTGCATCCACAGGTACATACACTTCATGCATGCTGAACATGTTCCTTCTGAGGCACCACATGGTCGCTGATGCTCATCACGTGATTTATTTTGGTAGTTTCACTATGATCATGGTCAAAGCTGTTTGTGATTACAGTGTACAGTATTTTGTATTGTGACTGCATAGTTTGTTATACAGTACTGTACCTTACAGTACTATGAGCAAAAAGAGAAAGAAAAGTAAAAAAAGGTCTTGCATCTGGTGGCAATAAGAAGAAAAGACATTATTATTTTTGGTGTAACTACTCCTCAAGTCCAGCATACAAATGGATACAATAATTTAAAGTAAGAAGCGGAGAAATTATCAGAATATAATATTCTTAGGGCTGGCAGGAATCATTTAGGAGATAATATGTTGTTGGTAGGGTCCACGAGTTTTGTAGTGTGGCAGTGGTGACTACAACTGATTTCTCTTCATCACTCTTATTATACTTGTTCATTACTTACGGGTATGCTGTAATGAGATTGAATATTAATCTTTTTGCAATGGGAATAAGGTAAAAAAAAAAAGCAGGGTATATACAGTAGAGATAGCAGGAATCTAGGTAAGATAGCAGCTGAAATTAGGGTGAATCACAGGTACCATCTAGGACCACCAGACATGTTATTGGATCCCAGAGAAAAAAATGGGCTAGTCTAGCAGAATCCTTTTTTTTTTTCAGACATCAGAATGTAACAGAAACTGATGCAGCTGCCCCAGGATACAGCTAAACACACTGGCCCTGTGGGAACCTCATGCCTGATGAATAATAAAATTTAGCTCCCAATTCAGTTTGATGGGCAATTTCTGGGCTCTAACATTAACATGAAGATGCCTCTGATCAATATTTTTTGCAAACACATACATGCACACTCACACACCCATAAACTTACCCACCCACAAACACATACCTAGTGTCTTGTGGAGCTTTTAATTTTATTTTCTATAAGGAGCCTTCCTCAGTATAAAATAAGGGCAGATTTAAGAGTATCCTTTCCTATTCTTCACAGACAATGAGCAGCTTGCACGATCTGGCACAAACTGCTTGGAAAACCTTGTGATAAGCAATGGTCCAAAACTGAGCTCCTGTACGTGGGATAAAACCTGTCAGTGCCTGCTGAACATCTTTCACTCCACGCTGCCTCATGCCCTTCTCACTTGGAGACCCCCTGAGGCAGGCACGGCTTATCAGGTATGTTCACTTTATGTGTACACTTGCTCAAAAAAAGTATCTTTATAATTTTGTGTGGGACAATATGACACAACCGTCAAAGGATTTTGACAACCCTACCGAGACAAGAAGAGTTGCAGTTTTCATTTTGAAATTCATAGGACCTTCCGTAAACATACTTTTTGGAGCGAGTCTACATTTGTATTGGAATATTATTATTGTTTCCAGATATTGAGCATTTTAATACAGGTTGAACCTCAGTAATTCAGGATCCAGTAGTTCGGCATCTTTGATGATTCTGCAAGATTTATATCTTGTGTCCTTGGTGTTAGTTTGGCCAACTGTCCATTGTGTAGCCTGCAGTAATCAACAACATTGTTTATAATTGCAACAGTTCACTTATAGTGGTTGGTGCTTCTATATTTATCTTTATTTGCCTAAAATTTACCCCAAAATATGCCTCCTAAGAGACCAGCAATAAGCCTGGGGTAGGTGTATGCTTTCATAGGTTGTATTAGTACAATAGAGTAGAGTCGTCTCAGAGTATGAGTATCCATAGTACACGACCCTGCTTAAACGTATCTGACCCCCCCTGAACCGCCCTTATGCTTGGGTCTTGCTCTTGCACTAGCTCAGCATGTTTATCATTTGTCCGTGCTTGTTTGAGAAAAAAGAAAAACATTACAATACACCCACCTCTCGTTTTACACGGGTTACGTTCTTGAAAAAATCACCGCATAATTCAAAAACACCTAAATTAAACATATTTTTCCCATAACAATACATGTAAATGGTACGGGTTAGGGGGAAATCATATAACTGTCACAATGAATATTCTTTTACCTTACTCATTAATATAGAAAAACAGTTAATAAAGGAAAAACAATAGTACTGTAAATACATCTTAAATAACACTTCCATTGACAACTGGCGACTTCTGCTTACCCAAGGTGGCGTAGGGGAGGGTTGAGGAGGGAAGCTACAGAGGCGGAGGCGAGAGTATGGGTGAGTCAGTGGTTGAGGTAAGCTGTGGTCTGGCGATGCCAGATGTCGATGGCTGAGATGCGTTGTTGCCAGATTTCGAGAAATATGTGAACAATGTCTTTTTTTTTTTTTTTTTCTTCTCGCAGGATTCTTTGTAGCACTGCATAGCCGAATGCACATTTCTACTCACTTTTGAGCTATGATCACTATTTATAACGTCTTCATCTATAATAGCCAAACCACGTTCAGTTAAAGTAAATACCTCTGTCAACCGCTTTGCTGATAGAGTTCGAACGACCTCAGGCTTCTCTTTCTTCTCTGCTTCCTCAACTTTCCGCTCTTTTTCAGAGTCAAGCAAATTTTGGGACGAAAGTTCTTCTTTAAAGATGTTTAGAATAACCATTGAGAGCACGTGGGTTTGCGGAATGGTACACCATCACTGGTTTTAATTTGCAGTAACCTTCGGCATTACCTGCAAACAAAAAGGTATAACGATCCTTATCGGCCTTGAAGCCTGGTGCTGTTTTTTCCTCGCGAGAGATATACGTTCGTGCTAGCATTCTCTTCCAAAATAGAGCAGTTTCATCCAGATTGAAAATCTGCTTTGCAGAGTAGCCTTCCTCCTCAATAATACCCTTCGCAGTCCCACGGCATCGGCAGATGCAGCCTCCCCACTCATCTTGATGTTGTGATACACGTATCTTTGCCTGAAGTTAGCAAACCAACCAGAACTAGCACTGAATGGTTTCACTGGGCCTTCTTCATCCTTCTGTAGCTCATCATAGATTGCACGAGCTTTTTCTTGGGCTAGGAACATGCTGACTGGTACGTTGTGCTGATTTTGATCTTCTCTCCACATACTGAGCATCCTTTCCATATGCTCCATTATAGAACTCTGAGCATAGGAGGTTTTTGTTGCACTTGCAGATGTCCCTGATTGAGCACTGTTCTTTTACCTTCTCAGTATTGTCTCGAATGGTACGAACAGTGCTCTCACTTAAATCAAGCACGCGGCTAACCTCCGACACACACACACACACACTCCTCTCTGAAGGCGGTTGATCACAACTAATTTCACATCCATTGCGATTGTTTTTCATGCCTCTTTAGCTTTAGGCTCCCCGGAGGAGGCAGATGGACGTTTTCCAGACATGCTTAATGGGAAAAACAGCGTTTAACACTAAAAAGGTACGTGATAAACACACAAAGCAAATGAGAGCACAGAGAAAAAGTAGTGCTGGTGTGAACTGAGAAAGTGATATGCTGGAAGCTTGCTGGACGTCGTCACAGTTGTTGTACAGAACACTTCAGCATCATCACTATCTTCATCATTTGTAGTAATAATCTTTATTATTACATTACAGTGGTCCCTCGGTTAACGAATGCCTCGGTTAACGAAATTTCGGTTAACGAACTGCCTCCCATAAGATTCTTAAATTCGGTTAACGAACAAAAATTCGGTTAACGAATTTCTTACGAACCGACCTCAACATGTTTTCGCTTGCACTGGCCAGTCAACCAGCTTTAGTATTAGTCCGCCAATACATTAATCGGTTCTAGGGCTTAAATTCCTTACTATTTTAGTAAATATCAAGAAGTTTATACTATTCAATAATTTTAAAAGTTTAATATTCAATTTTTTAGTCATTTTAACAATTATTGAACATAATTGAAGGTAAAGTGACTAGTTTAATGCGCGGCATCCAGCCTCTTAACACAGCAAACAGGCGTTAGTCTCTCTGTTTTCACTGGAGGTAACATCTTGCTTGAGACTCTCTTCAACTAAACGCTTTTTTTCTGTGTTCCAAGCAAGTTATTGGTCATTTTGAAATATATTTTACATATTGACAATATATAATGCAGTGCAGTGTTGATTTAAAGAAAATAATCTTGAAATACACCAAGAGAACTAAAATTTTATGGGTGAAATGGTGTGACTTCTCTTCCACCCCAATGCCTTCTCTTCTTCCTTCTCCTCCACCCCCATTCTAATTTCCATCATCATCATCATCCAGGAGCCTTCTACATACACACCTCAAAGTAAGTGAACTTTTCTACCATTTTTGTTGAATTTAGGCAATTTTCGGTGAGCTGGAACCAATTACCCAAAAACCCATTGAAACAATGGTTTCGGTTAACGAATGTTTCGGTTAACGAACAACCTGCTGGAACGGATGGTGTTCGTTAACCGAGGGACCACTGTATTATAATAATTATTATTATTATTAATAATATTAAAATCAGTGATGTTGATATGACTGACTTTATAGTAATAACTTACAAGCACCTCACCAGGCATCACACGCGACTCTACTGCCAAGCAAATACATGCGGCAAATATAAAATTTGAGTGCATTATTTAAAAAATAGGTGCGAGTAAATTAGGTTTTGGTATTAATTAAACAATATCGTTATTCCAAAAACGCTTAAATCAAACGCGCATAAAACGCGAGGCGACTGTACAGTAATATTTCCGATAGCCGGAATCCTTCAAACCCGGAACTTTCCGATAGTCGGAATTGAAATTTTCCGAGGGGCACATTTTCCGGAAAATTCCAAGAAAATTTTTCTGATACTCGGAAAATTCCGAGGATGGGGGAGTTTTTTTCCGGGTTTGAGAGATGAAAATCGGGCGCATTTTTTGGAAATTACGAGAAAAATTTTACGTTACCCGGAAAATTCCAGAAAATTCCGGGGATGAGGATTTTTTTTTCCGGCTTTGAAAGAGAGTTCTCGTTACCCGGAAATGCTCGGTACCAATTGTTCCTGCTAACGGAGCTATCACTGTATTCTAATGTGACTTAGAAATAAAGTAAATATAATATAATATAAAACTATAAAATAAGAAAAATGAAGAGCATGTGTGTGTGTGTGTGTGTGTGTGTAGGAAGTGAACAATTGTGTGTGGAGGCAGTGAGCTGTAACTGTGTAGCCAACTCACCATTCCAGCCACACTCCCTCCCTCCCTGATGTGAGCGGCTGAACTGGGAGGAATAAATAAAAATAATACTTTACTGCACTTATAAATAAAATAAAATAAAAAATACTGCATTAACATTTGCCAATTGTTTCACTACACACTGGAGATAGCGAGTAGCTGAGACCCCTCATATCACTTCTCCCTCCCCATCTGCCGCTCTGCATGCTAACTCCAGTGCACCAAGAAATTTTTATTCCCTTTATGTTTTTTTTACTTTATGATATTTATTTATATTTATTTATTTACTTATTTTTATTTAATTTTTTTTTTGCACATTCTGTATGAGAAATTGTGTGCATGTAACAGTTAAGAAAATAAATAAAAATTATACAGTGAACCCTCGCTTTACGCGGCCAATTGAACCCACGGAGGCCCGCGTAAAGTGAACAACATAACATATGGGATTAATTGAAATAGAGACCGGGCCGACCCCCAAACTCCACTTTTTCAGACACAATACCTACGTTGTAGTAAAAATAACTTCTTAATTTTATGATGGTATGCACACACAATTAATAATTGAGAGAAATATCAATAATATTAGGTTTTTTAACACTTACATTAGTAGAAAAGATGGCTGGGCACACGGGGATGGGGGGTTGGTTCCGAGGCAGAGGGCAGATTATTGGCCCTCACCTGTATCACTATCCACCACAGAGGCTTGCAGGGCCTCTTTGTCAAACCCCTCAAAGTCCATATAAGTCCATATCCTCACTATAATTATCACTATCACTGACTTGGGCCGGCTGTGGTGGGTGGCGTGTGAAGAACTCGGTAATGTTTTGATGACTGGGCGACCTTGTGCGCACCCTGCCCGCGCTGCTCTCCGCGTAAAAGAGTACACGCACCGCGTAAAGTGAGCATTCCGGGTTTGGCAGGGTACCGCGTAAATGTGGAAACGCGAAAAAAAAACCCGCGTAAAGCGGGGTAATACTGAATACTGTATACACTCCTGTATTAGATATATATCCAAAATTATGAGTTCAAAATTAACCATAACATAACTCTGGCATCCTCTCTCTCACACTGGTTACTTGAACCTCTCCCAGCTGTTCACACAAGTAAAGGTTTTCTATACTGGTGAATCTTACCGGAATCCTGGGCCCTAAGAGGAAAATAAATGGCAGTGCTCGTGGTGGTGAGAGTTTGAAAAAGAACAAAGCCCATACAGTACTGTCAGGACTTATGAAGAAAAAATCAAGATATTGGACTTACTAAGGAGTGGCGTATTGAACTCTGAAGTTGCACGTTGTTTGCCTTTGTATAAAATAGGGATTATACATTAATATATACAGGGGGTCTGAATATACGCAAATTCACACTTATGCAGGGACCTCAGGAACGTAGCCGTCGAGTACTCTGATGCACTACTGTGTTGTCAAATTTGTATACAGTAAAAAAAATCCATAGCATTGTAGGGTATTTGGCTAATTTACCATTATTTATTTGACTTGCTATTTAATGGAAAAATCATCAGCTGGCAGGACCCAGGTCCCAAGGATGCCGGATATGAGAGGATCAACCTGTATTATTTTATTATATTCTTTTCCTATTCCTGTTCATGCCTCAGACAAATTGTTCTCCATCTTCAGAAATTTTTCACTTGTGCTCTTTAATGTAAAAGCTCAATCCACTCATCCTTTTTCTTTTAGTAACCCCTACCACTCTTTTCCTGATGCACACAGTGTTTTGCTATACAGTAGACCCTTGCCATTCGCTAGTGTTAGGTTCAAAGAAATGGCGCGAATAGACAAAACCGCGAATGGCAATTTAGACTACCTTAGTGCACTACTGTACATACAGTAGGTTCTCAAATTTCGCGAGTTTTTAATTCGACGTTTTTTATTTGACAAAAAAAAAAATCCACAATTTCAAATTTCGACGGCGGAAACTCGACTTTCGACGGGTTTGAGTGGCCCGCCAACGTTCAAACGTGCTCAATCGTGTAAACAGCGTCATTTCTCATATGTACAAAAGATTCATTATTGTTTATTACTGAATTTCTTTTTTATTTAATTAAAGTTTATATGTGCAAAATGAACAATGCAATTCATTAATAATACACAGAATATTAAAACACACGAGGAGACGAGACAGCATTGTTTACGTTAATGTTTACAAAACCAGTGACTGACTGGTTCTACATATAAAACTGAAGAAAATAAGACCCTGGTTGTAGCTGTAGTAAAATTAATGTATAAAAATTTATATGGTTGTTTTAAGTAATGTTATTTAATGTTAATAAATGGAACAATAAAAGAAGCTAACCACCAATGGTAAAGAAAGAAAGTGAGACTGCGCGTATGTAAGTGCGCACTTGTGGAAACATGTCATCATTACTCTACATAAGAATATGAAAGCAACACTTATTTACTGTTCATATATATTTTAATGAATGTTTCTGAATTAAAATAAAATTTTACTCACCAGTGGTGGTAAAGTTGAAAACATAAGGACAGCCAATGTTGTTGTGTGTGTTTTTACTCGGATCACGAAGTTGCCAAGTCATCAGGTTCAACTCTAGCTGAAGCTGTAGAACATAAAAACTTTTTTTGTGTTGTTTTTAGTTTTTATTTAACTTTATCTGTGTTATTTTTGTGGTTTATTAGGATGTTGCTTTATTACAGGTAGTAATTCGCCAAAAAAGTAGGGTAAATAATTTTGGACAATTTGAATTTCGCGAGGTTTTTACAGTCTAAATGGATGTCCAAATATGAGAGCCTACTGTATACCTATACCAAACAACCAATCAGCCGTGGCAGCACTCATCCCCTCTTTTAACTTATCTAATAATAAAACTTGCTTTGTCAGGGTCATCACTAACTTCTGCCTTTTACATTTCACCCCACTAGCATCACTAGCACTCACACTAGGCAGTCTTTAAGGGGCCACTTTCACACAGAAACACTGAAGTTTTGAGAGTACAACATAAGATGCTGCATGGGGGTGACTCGTTATGCTGCGGGAATAGGCTTGCAAGCTAGCCACCATAGCTACCTTCTGCTTACAGCGAATCGTCGGAATCACGAATCGCAAACATACGAATGGCAAGAGTTTACTGTACTTCTCTTGATTATAAGTTTGCAATACACTTTATCGTTTGTGTGTTCAGCAGACTTTTTTTTCAGGGAACTAAACATGTTCTGTACCATTCCTTTGGTACCCTTCTCTTTGTGAAACATAGCCTATTATGTGCTTGTCATTTGACATATAATTCCTCCACCTTCCATCTATAATATCATGATATATTATTTGTTTACTAGTTTTGTAAACTGTATCTAATAAGTTACCATTATCATTGTCATATCTTCCCTAATAGTCTGGTGTAGGTTCAGTGAATGGCGACTCACGAGCATTTACTGGGCTCTTGATCCGATGTGTTGTTCAACTGGAACTCATTCAGTGCATCGACAACATTGTATTTTTCCCTGCTACCAGTAAAAAAGAAGATCAAGAAAATTTAGCTATGGCTCAGGTAAGGTATTATTTCATCTTTTCAGGTAGCACATTTATTTTCATTTCAGCATTTCACGATAATTTACTGTACTCATTAGTAAACCATGGTTAAACTTTTTGAGATCCAGATGACATTTGGCTTCTTGAGGTGTTAGCTATTTTCTGCGATTTAATACTATATAACAATAACACTAAGCCACTTTAATTTGTGTAGTAATCATGAGATTTTAGTTTAATTTAACTTTATGGTGGACAGATGTATTATTATGGTGTTATTATGTGTGTCTTGTGTACAATTAAAGACAAAAGTCGTGTCACGGTTTTGTCCGAAGATTAAATATAACTCGTGAAACATTATGAGAGCCCCCTATCACAGGGCAGAGCTCACCAAAAGTTTAGCCCTTCAGCATATGTTTTCACTAAATTTCACGACACAACTTTTGTCTTTCATTGTACACATGGAACGTCTTCCATGAGGGCAAGAATTTGATAAATAAATATTACATAAACAGTTATAGGGCCAAGTGTATATGTGATGATGCTCCCAACCCATTTGATTTTGTTATCAACTATTATCTTAGAGTTGGATGAAAATCTTGACACAAGCTTGATGCCTTCACCTAGAATAGTCTGTAAATATATAACATAATTGAGTACAGTAGATACTATAAATTTCAGACCATGTTTACTGAATACATGCAGAAACTGTAATTTCAAAATCATGGTTTTATAACACGTCATAAAGAAACATACACTTTGATGTTTTTCAGAAAAGTAAAATAGAGAATACTGTACTTGCATGAAGGTTATTTATGACTGTGTATTGTACTGTATAAACTTACTGGCTACTATGATTTAACTCACACTGCATTGTTAGATTTAGATATAACTTTTATTTTGTCAGTTATGTGGGAATAGATGTTTGATATATTTAAGAATGAATACAGAAGATTGGTCAAAAATTTTTTTTTTTAGATTTGATGGATGAGCATTTATTTAGTAAAATCATAACATAGGTTCATATGGACTGTGCATGTTTATAGATAGCATAAGTACTGTATACAGTGCATTGAAAGTGCAAATATGCATCATTTTATTTTTATATACCATCATACATAGTTTCTTTGAAATACCTCAGTTTCCCACCCACGTGTCATCTCTGTTTTGCATGTATGAGTTATAGCTTTGCCATTATAATGGCAATGCTTGATAATTATCAAGCAGTTGGTGGCATTTCAGTATACCTGTGTAACTTTTATTTTAGTGTTTTCACCAAATAAACAGTTGATATTTTTTCAAGATAATTATTGGTGACTTAGTTGTATTATTAAAAAGACCCCCAAAAAACAGTAACATACATAATGAAAATCACTAGTCCTCACACACATTAAACCAGTTGTTAATTCCATTGTGATGTGCACTACAGTATTTAATGAAATAAAGCCTATAATATTATTTAAAACTGATTTATGGTGTTGTTTGTTTAATAAGGCTGGTGATGCAGTTATACCAGTAACACGTGAACAGCGTGAGGATCAAGGAATGTACCGTCATTTAGCTGCCAGTCAACTCTTCACACTTCTTGATTGCCTTATGGCTTCACATAAATTTGCAAAAACTTTCAACTCTAATCATGAACAAAGAAACCTCTTGTGGAAAGCAGGTAAGTGTATTTATTTGATAACAATGTGCTGTATGAGTGATTTATGACCTCAGTTTAGTCATTCTTAAACATTTCTAACATTAATTTAAAGGACTTAAATTAAGGATCATGATTTACACAAGTAATGAACTTTTGGTGGGAAAGGCCCTGCAGGACTGAAAATTCTCAAGTAAAACTCCCCATCCCAGACTTAACCCTTAAGCCCCGGGTTAGGGTGCTGCTGGCAGTACCCCCCATTTCTTACAACCACTACCTCTAGCTCTCCTCCTCTTCACATTTAGATTCATGCATTTTTTAACTCAATTGGTCTCATTCATTCTCTCCACATGCCCAACCATCTCAGTGTACCTCTATGCAGAACTTCAATACTCTCAGTAGCCAGCTACCCGCTTAGCTTTGAACAGGATTTCTTATCTTTCAGTGTCACATTGCACATCCACCTCACCATTCTCATTTCAGCTTGTTCAAACCTGCATATAGCACCCTGTCCAGTAGGGATCGTGTTGCCCAGGTAACAGAACTCATCAACGTAGTCCAAGGACATATCCCCAATGTTGAGTTTCTCCAACCCCTCTTTTTTTACGGGGATTAGTCCACCCGGGAACAGGTCACTGACCCACATCAGGGCTTGGGGAGCGAAAATGTAATTATAATAATAATAATGATGATGATGATGATGATGATGATGATGATGATGATGATGATGATGATGATGATGATGATAATAATAATAATAATAATTCATAGTACCGGTAAATACAATTTATAATAGAAAATTAAAAATTAAATAATAATGAGAATAATCATAATAATAACTCAATAATAATAATAATAATAATAATAATAATAATAATAATAATAATAATAATAAAGAACCATAAATACAAAAGTGAAAAAAGATCAAGAGTGAGAAAAAAATATACAGTATATATGTTGTGTTGTCAAAGTAAGAGAGACAATTGAGACCCTGCAATTGTGTGTAAATGAGGCAGAAAGTCAGATCAGCAACCTGGGACTTGGTCACAATTTTCGTGATGCCATATGGCAGCAGGGTCTACCATTAGACAACACATCATGCTTCCAATATCTTCCCAGGCGGTAGTACCTCCCTGTTTGATAGCTACCTTGCTAAGGCCACATAGTTACCTGCATATAAAGGACTTTCAAAGGTAGCAATCTCATGCAGTCTGCTATCTATTCTGCTGCACCTTTTGTGTACCCACCTATTACACTCATTGCACATGATTGACTTGCTTCGAACACCTTTGTAGCAGACACCACGTAGCCATTTTCCAATTTCCACCATGGGTGCCTAACCCACGCCTTGAATTAATATTTTTGTTTTTACCCCATTCTTCTCAAGCCCTTTGACTCTTCCGTCTTTCCATTTCCTAAGTTTTTCCACTGCCTCTTCGATATGTTCTGATATCAGCACTAAGTTATTAGCATAGAACAACTCTCAGGTCAGACCAGTTCTAAAGTGCCATGATATTGCCTCCAGCACTATAATAAACAGAAGGAGGCTCAAGATAAATTCCTGATGAACCCCTACATTCACCTCAGATTCCTCATCATTTACTCTCTCAGTGGTTTTGAGCCCTCATATAATGCCATAACCACTTGAACAAGGCATTCTTCCCTTAGCTTTCTCGCTGCTCACTTTTCTACTTCACATGGTACCCTGTCAAATGCCTTCTCTCTAAGTCTACAAAATATGAAGTAACACTTTAACTCCTTCTCTAGCTATTTCTCTTGTAGATGCTTGGCTATAAATATTGCCTCTGTAGTTCCCCTGTCTGGCATAAGCCCAAACTGCATTTTTTTTATATCCACTCTCTCCTTTATCAATTTCATGATCATTCCTTCCACAACTTTCATAACCTTATCTTACAGCTTCAGGTCCCTGTAGTTCCCGTGTTCAAGTACATCACCTTTACCCTCGTAAGTATTTGTGATCACACTCTTCCACCTGTTGTCTGGAACAGTACATGCCATCATGATTGCATTAGTCATTTTCATCACCATTGACATGCCTACGTCGTCTAATGCTTCCAGCATTTCTGTAGCTATTCCAGAGCTTCCAGCTGCATTTCCAATCTTGATTTTTACAATAGCTTTTTTTCAGTCTTTGGGCATGGTCCCTGTACTTATTCTTCAACTCCGAGGTTGCCCTTGTCTTATTTGTACTCCTCATTCTGTAGTTAATTGTAGTATTTTCTCCAAGCATTCTTTATTTACTTGTTATCAACAACCACCTTACCATGGTCATTTCTCAAGCACTGCCACCAAAAACATGTTTTTTTTTTCAATTCACTATTTGCCATGCTATTCTGAATATCTCGCCACTTTCATCCACACTTCAGCATATCTGCAAAGGCATCCTGCTCACACTTCTGGCCATGTGTGTTTGGCTTCCAGGTGTTCCTCTGGATCACCACCAACCTTCCAGGTCTTATACAATCTTCTTTTCTACTTTATCACTCTGACCACTTCATCATTCTACCAGCACATTACTGCATGCCTGGCTGGGCCTTTCATCCAACCACACTCAGCAGAACACCCATTTACAAGTTAACCATGGATTATCCAATAATCACTGTAGTGGCACCACTGCTGGTCTGAACAAAATGTCCTGGAGGTGTAAATTTCAAATTTCCTAGGTTTCCACGGTTCCCACCAATTCTCCATATTGTTTATTGAACCACCACTTCGTTTTCATGTTACAGGTGTATTGCACTCCCCTCAAAATATTTTATTTGCAGTTATTACCTATTTTTGCTCTTATATAACCCCAACTATGTCTACAAAGAAAGGATTAACTATTAGTGGTAGCATAAGATACAAACACCATTTCTTATCAGTACAAGAAAAGATAGAACTTATGAGAAAAAAACTTTACTGGTGTTTTGATATGAAGCTTGTGTGATTTATGCGGTGTACTGCAGGTTTGTCCACAATATATGATAAAGAAACGGAAATAAAGGAAATATTTTACCTTTAACCCTTTATTGGACGGTATTTATACGTGCACTGTCTACCCAGGACAGGGTATATTTTGCTAGGTAGCAAACGGAGAAAACTACGTAAGGCAATTTTGTTCACATACATGTAGAATGCGCCTTAATTAAGTTTTTTTTTTTGGGGGGGGGGGGCACCATTAGAAAGCTGAATCTATTTTCTAGAAATTTGATCTTCACCCAATAAATACAACAAATAATAATTTTGGAGAAATCACAAATTGAACTGGGAGTACATGTTTTTTGGGGCTCTGGAGCAACCCGTCAGCATCATCATAGTAACCAAACAAGAACCCAGCAACGGGCGCACCCAAACAATGGCACGAATAATCTAAACATTATATGATGTCCTCTACCCTTTACTTGTTTTCCTCTTAAACATCATATGATTTCTGCCACCCTTTAAGGGTTAAGAGTTCATTGTAGAATTAAGGAACAGTGGATAGTGATGTTTCTTGGGAAGGCTTATGTCTTGAACCCCTTATTTTTTGTAAGACAAATGTATTCGTCCTTAATTTTTTTTTTTTTTTTTACTTTACTTTATCCTCTTCGCCTCTGATTGACTTGTTAACCGTTTGAGTGATTGGTGACATGTACTGCCTCCAGAAGTTTCCTCCTCCTTCCCTCTTTTGAAAAATGAACAGAAGCTGCTATAATAAACAATAATAATGGGATATAGTACATCATAAAATACAATAGCACATATTTTATGTACAGTCTCCTTCAAGGCCGTTTGTTTACTATAGTACCTAGTAGTTAATATGAATGAATGTTAAAGGTTATCGGTGATTGGTTACTTAGTTCCCCGTTGCTTAATTAATGTTTGGGCTTTTTTGTTTCGTATTATATTATACTACGTACTATAGTAAACAAACAGCCTTGAGTTGCCAGCTGTCTCCAGCAGTGTTCGAAGAATCTTGAACGAGACTGTACAAAAAATAGCTCTTTCCACTCAAAAAATCCTCTAAGCTGCACCAAGAGTGAACCACACAGTTCTGCCAGCCACCCAGCTGACTGCAGCTGCGCTATGCTGTGTGTATGCCATGGCATCACCTTGAGGGAGGCAGCATGACTGGGCTGGCAATGCAATTACAGCCCACTGCCTCTACACATAATGTTTGCTTCCCACACATACACACCTATGCTCTTCACTTTTCTTATTTTACAGTTTTATATTGTATTATATTCATTTCTAAGTCACATGAGAGTATGGAGATGATATTTCCACAACTTTTATTGTTTCATTACATGTAACAATGACAATGTGAGTAACCATCTTACGGCTGACTAGCGACATGTAGTACGGGGTTTCTACAGTATTATTACTCACACACACATCTCCTTTCTCTTCTATTGGTTTAATTGCTGCACTATTATGTGTGTTTATTTTCAGGATAGTAGTCATAAAACCTGCTGATGTATTTTTTGTATTTGTCACATTGTGGAGTCAAGATTTAGTTGTGTAGGAGACAATGGGAAAATTTATTTCAATACTGTATACAGAATTTCAATTTATGGTAAGATTTTATATTTATTATACGTATATTTATTGATTTTCTAGCATCCTAGGATGATTTAGTGTGTCTTCCGGTGTTTAGCTAATGGCTACAACAGAAAAACCATCAATAGTACAGCAAAATTACTGGTCTGGCACACTGCTGGTTCCAACAATGCCAGAAAATCGGTGGTCAACCAGTACTTTACCTCTTACCCTCACTGTCACTGGCTGTTTCCATTCTTTTCACATCTCCTGAGCATGCTGAAATATTGTGGTGATGGTAGAAACAGACCCCTAGTTTCTTCCTTCCCCCATTTTAATGGAAGTTGCAGAGGAATTACCACTATATTTGGATGCCATTGCATACAGATTCACAAAAGTATTGCATAAATACAGATGGATAAAAAAAGAGCAATTCACTTGCAGCAAGTACAGAGCAAATGGAGGGTGGGGGGATGCAGGAGAGAGGAGGAGATGATACCATGTGCATATGGTGTAGCATAATAGCCACCCAGCTGACTCCTGGGTTTTTCCTGGTATGTGATGTGAATTTTCTTTTGGACCAACATTCAGATAAGCAAACGTCACCTTTGGGTAGCGGGGTTAAGTGTAAGAATAGAGAATTCGAATAAGATACAGCTCAAGGTTAAAAATAAGTACTGTACAGGGTGTAGAATATACTTAAAACGTTTGTTATACTGTACTGTATAAGATTACTACAGGGTACATAATACAATACAATATGCAGGAATTAGAAAAATGAGATAAAGCGAGTCTGCCCTGACAATGTTCCCTCTATTAATACAAATATGTATATGAAGTTTTTATAATGTACAAGAGTTTCACACACAAATACTGTATGTGTGTAATATTTTAGGGACACAAGTTCATACGCATGATGGTAGAAAACATAATGGGTATGTATAAGAGCTGAGCCTAATAAGAGTATGTTCCTATCTGCTTCACTCATCTGGCAGCTGCACTTCTCATTTATCCCAAAGCCCATGTACTGGTGGATGTAGCACGTGCCTGTGGTAATTTTTCTATTTTATTCTTGTTATACAGTATCAGGCCGATTTGTTCTCATGCTTGTTTTAATGCTTATATTATAATGCAAAATTTTTATGGTACAGGGTGTAAAAAAATGCAATATCTTCCACAATGTAGCTTCCAGTATATTATTCATCACAATTTTTCAAATGAATAAACATTTTACAGACAAATTATAATACATTCTAAATAAATAAATTTCTTTCAGTTTGAAAAACAAAACAAAAAAGATGTTTCTTATTTAGAAGTTATTTTATCAGATAAAGATTGAATAGTGTTCTTATGAGCTATAATGATTTTGAGTGAGCAGACCAGGAAGGGTGTGATTGTTGCCTCAGTCCCCCCCTCAACCTTGAGAGTGTTAAAGTGATGATTATTACCAGGACAGTGGAAAGCCATATAACATATCATGAAGGATGAAAATTAACAAATCCATTTAAAGAGGTAAGAAAATAAAATTTCCTTGATGTGGTAGATGATAAATTTTCCTTTAAGAAAAATACTGTATACACAATGAGGCAAACAGTACAAACCACTTAATAGAGCTCAAGCAGTGAACTCTCCTGCAGCACTGGCCTAGAAATATCCTGTGGTAGCCATGGAAACCTATGGATACATAGAATTGGATATCATTGTTTGTAAAATGAGAACCAAATATATAACATAGATACTCAAAACCATGTTTAGTAATTGCATGGTTGACAAGGTTTTACAATAAACTATATAAATTACTTTCTCTAGTACAACCCACCAGAGCTTTACATTAGTTATTTTCACTGTACAGTACAGTAGGCTCTCGCCAATAACGTCTAATAGGTGCCTGAAAAATGCCATTATGAGCGAAAACATTATTTATGTGACATGTAAAAAGGGTTTATTGGTGCTGCCGCCCCACGAATTTCACCATTTTTTCCCCTTTGAAGCCCTGCCTAACACTTTTTGTAAGCTGAAATAAAAAGAATTGTTATTCAATCATCAAAATAAAGAATTTGAGTAATATAACACTTATCTTGGGGGAGTTTTTGAGGTGCTTGGTGTGATGATTGTTCCGAGGCTGGGGCATGGAGGCTACTGCGTCGAGCCTCCGCCCACTTTCCTGGCCCCGTCTCCGTCCCCGTCCCCACGCTGGCCTCTCGCACCCGGTTCACCCACTTCCGCTAACACTTCATCAAACCCCGCAAAGTCAAAATCTTCAGGCATTTCCCCAATGTCATCAATGTCTTCATCAACTTTCTATCACTTTTATCATTCATAGCTCGCCTCACATTTCCATCACTACTGAAATATTTCTTAGCCAGCGCAATACTCTTCTTGGTCTCCTCTAAGTTCCTCTTAATATTTCGCACTGTAGACTCGGGACAGTTCAATTTCCTCACAATATCAATGTTCCGTGCACCACTTTCAATGAGTTCAACAATCTGCTCTTTATCCTTGACCGAGTAGGCACACTTCTTGTGGCTTTGTCTCTTAGCTTTGGGGTCTTTTTACTCATTCACTTTAAAAGTTCCCGGGCGTTCAGGCAGCAAATCACTCCCTCTACCACCTCCCCAAGCCATTATTGACCACCGACCCTAACAACCACTGGTTATAGAGGCGAAAATCTCACAAGTGGGTGCAGCGCTGTATTCCACGGAGCGTGTGTGAGAGTGAGGCGGAGCGGACAACTACGTCATCAACATGGCGGCAAACAAACGTTATCATTGATGCGCTCGGACGCTTCCCATGAAATCTCCGTTATTCAAGAGAATCCAGACGTTATCGAAAATGGGTATCTATTGTAACTTACCGTTATTGTCGAAAACGTTATTGTGTAAGTCGTTATTGGCGAGAGCTTACTGTATGCATGAAAGCTTTATACTGTACAGAATCATCATCAAAAAGGGGACTTTTGCTGTGTCCGTTGTGTCATATTGTGTAACACCATAAAGGTGCAGAAATTGTTTCTGTTGACTGTACATGTATTTAAAGAAAACATACTGAAATACCATATACGGTTGTGTTTATGGGTGACTCAAGTGCAGTAATATCTCTGTTAGCTGGAATCCCTCCAATAGCTGGAATTGAAATTTTCTCAGAAAATCATTCCTAAAGCTGGAATTTCCTGGAAAATTGTGGCTTTGGGAACACTTTTCTGAGGGACATTTTCTGGAAAATTACAAAAAAAAATTCCTTATATCCGGAAAATTCTGGGGATTGGGCTTTTTTTCGGTATTAAGAGATGAAAATCAGGCGCATCTTCCGGAAATTCTGGGTATGGAGGATATTTTTCCAGGTTCAAGAGATGATGTAATGGGCAATTTGTGGAACTTCCAAGAAAATTTTTCCGTTAACCGGAAAATTCCGGGGATGAGGGATTTTTTCCGGCTTTGAGAGAGTCATCTTATTGCCCAGAAATCTCTGATTCCCGGAAGTGCTCTGCACCAATTATTCCGGCTAACGGAGATATCACCGTATTTCAAACATAGAATACAGTACTGTATTATGACTGCTAATACTATTCGCAGGGTCCATGGAACCTAACCCCCGTAAATAGCAAGGGTCAACTGCATATACTGTATACAAGTGTGAATATATATATATATATATATATATATATATATATATATATATATATATATATATATATATATATATATATATATATATATATATATATATATATATATATATATATATATATATATATATATATATATATATATATATATATATATATATATATATATATATATATATATATATATATATATATATATATATATATATATATATATATATATATATATATATATATATATATATATATATATATATATATATATATATATATTATAAGGTAAATCCACATAGTACAGGTTCACTCTTAAGTCGAATCCACTGTTGTCTGGAAACTTGTCTTAGTTTATACTGATTTTACACAATTGAAACATCAATCCCTGGCTGTCAAGAGTGTGAGGCAGGATGGTCTACACCTCCAAATAAGCAAGCACAGTAAGGATCTTTCTGATTTTGGTCTCTACTCATAAAGGGACTCTTAGGATCAATTCCCCATTTATTCTCCCAATGTCATTGTTTTTATGTGACCCTTATAATAGGTAACTTTTTCAATTTATTTTGTATAGGTTTTAAGGGGAGCGTGAAGCCTAATCTGCTGAAGCAAGAGACACAGTCCTTGGCATGTGCACTGAGGATTCTCTTCCGCATGCTGGCTGATCCGTCCAGAGAGGAGGAATGGCCCCAGGTAATATAATCATTTAAATGTTCATGTATTTATTGGTATATATTTTCACATATACTGAACTTATACTGTATTAGGTTTTGTATTATTAATAGTAGTATGAATCCTCAATGGTATGCAAGTCATCAATGAGTGGCTTGTGATATCCATGCTGCTAAAACTCCCCCATGTAGAATATGTTTATTGTCAGAGGACCTTGATCAATTCAGGGGGACCTTTTTTTTTTATTATTATTATTATTATTGTTATTATTATTATTATTATTATTATTATTATTATTATTATTATTATTATTATTATATGTACATCATTGTCACCCAGTAGGACCAGTGCTGAAGATTTGAGATCTTATGTGCTTGTCTCAAGGACAAGTGAGGCTTCAGGTAGGGGATCAAAACCATAAAATAGACTCATGCAATTTGAATCCCTGTACTCGGTCACAGCATTGTCACCATTGTTACGGAAAAGTGTCTGGGCTTCTTCCACTTTGAAGTCTGCATCCTCTTGCAGTAACAGAGCTTATGCACCACCACCACCATGAAGGAGCTTCTTCCACACAAGCCTCAATGTTGTCTCCCTGATATTGTCCCAGGCTGCCTTGAGGTTGAACACTGCATCCTGGATGTTGTAGTCCTTGATGTTCTTCAGCGTCCTCCCCCCCCCCGCCTCCAAGTGTCTTCTTTTTTTGCACACTATGTACCAGTGCTCAACTCAATGCTGTTTATTATTTTCATCTTTTCTGGAAGGCCAAGATGCTTCCTTTAAAATTATGCACTAGATTAAACCAAAAGCCATTGCTTGAGTATTTTAAGGTGTCATAAAACCAAAGATAAAGAATAAATAGAATAAAATGTGGCCGAACAGAGAAGACACAAGGATGATGTATTAATAGAACAAACTCATCAGAGACATCACCATGTGGGCTTCCAGTATTTCCTATACGTATACAGTAATCCCGTGTTTTTCGCGAGAATTACGTTCCTGAAACCCCCGCGAAAAGCCAAAACCGCGAATACTCTTTTAGGAATCACTGTACCTGTGGCCACCAAACAGCTCAGGTAGGTCATGCACTTAACCACGCCATGCTCTCCACTCACAGCCCAGTGGTCACACTGATCACTGATGTACTGTACCGGCATTTACTAACATCATTATTTGAAACTAATCATATTGTAGTATAATAATGGAAAAACGTAAACACAGTTATATACAAAAAAAAAAAAAATTATTTACATGTAATAAAAATTTTTATATTTCGCTGAGGTCGGCAACACCCGCATTGCCAGCCTCTCCCTGCTGTCCTGGCATCTGCCCGCCCTCACGCAGGCAGCCAACCAGTCCTCTTCCACCCACATTCCTCCACTTGAAAACTTGTATTCTGACAAAAGACACAAATGAATTGTCAGTCTTCACCACATCTCGAGACATACAGTAGCTCATACCACCTCTGAGCTTGTCCAATAAAACTGTTTTTTCCGTTAAGGTCATCACTATTCTTGATCTCTTGGTCACTTTAGAGTCTTTGCTAGTAATATTTGCCTTTGATGAGGCTGGCTTACGTCCCGGAGCCATGTGGGAGGACAAACAGAAGAGGTAATCACAGTTTGGTAGGCACGTGTGGACTGAGGCTTCTTGGAGCGGCGGGTGTCTGAGGCAGGAAAGGGTGGCTTCTGTTTTTAAAGGATATTTTATATGTACGGTATATAATTTTATAGAAAAAAAAAGCGATAAAAAAAACTCAAAAAACACGGGATTACTGTACTCGTGCAGTACATAGAGAGTTAAGAATTTTTTAAAAAATCATAAGATTTTGTTCAATAGTCCCAAAGTCTTTGATAAAAGACAAATTATGTAACTTGAAGGTTGAAATGGTTAAGGTTTAATGCTTTTACACTTTGAATTACAGGGGACCCCCAAAATTCGCGGATTTTTATTTCATGGTCCTCTATTATTCGCGGATGACACCCTGGATGTACCCAGGAATGTCTGTGGGTAGTTTTCAAGTTGCCGGCATTTTCACTGCTGGGACAGGGAGACATTCGTTCTAGAGACAGTAATTTCCTGTACCTGTATTGTAGCACGAACTTGAGGGTAGACTCACATTTTTTTTCTTTTTTTTTTCTGATTATTTGTGAGAGTATTTTCCCATTATTATTTATTTGTGTGATTTGCATTTGTGTCTCTACACACACACACAGATATATACAGTACAGGTAAAAGAAATAATTGTCCTAAGGGCAAACACATAAAAGGAATATACATTTCTTTGTACTCAAGTAAAAAGCCTCCCCCCCCCCTCCCTCCCCCTCCCCTCGTGTCAGCAAATGTTATTCGCGGATTTGCCGATTCACGGCCATTTTGAGAACCTGACCCCTGCAAATTTGGGGGACCCCTGTATTACATATAATACCCAGTTCCAACTCTGTAAAAGTGAGTTGGCTGTAGAAAGGGCATTCATCCAGGGAACTTGCCACAAGTTTGCCTGATAGCAACTGGGACACCATACCATTAGGTGTAACAGTAAAATGATGATGATGATGATGAATCAGAACATAATCAATCTACAGTTGCACAAGTACTGTAGTTTGGAAAATTGGTCTATATGCATATGGTGGTGATTGTTTTCTTCAATCTTCCGGAATTTTCTATGTATTGATAATTTGATATGCATTATGGATCTTGTAAATTAGTTAGGGATATTGTACTTTAATTGAAATACAGAAGCTTTGATAGTTTTATTCCTGTTCTAGGTACAAGAGCGACTCATATCTGTGTGTCGTTCTGGGCTGGAATACTTCTTGTCACTTCCCGAGTCTCACCGAGAAGCATGGACCAATCTCATTCTTTTGTTTCTTACCAACATCCATAAAATGTCTAATGATCAGGTAAGTTGCAAGCTATATATATCATCAAAACAAAAAAAGAATTCAGAGACTTGATAATGAAAAGAAGCTGTAAGAAAAATGTATATAAATAGCCTGGAGAGTCACCCGAGTGAAAGCTTAAGGTAGTGCTGGCCAAGAGAGTGATTAAGATATGTTCATGACAGCATGATTGAAGGCACACCAAGAAAAAGTTTTAAAAGGCTTGGTAGATGAAGTGATAATCATGGCTAACCACACAAAGCATGGAATTTGGATATAAATAGTGATGATGATGAGTGAGGTCTAGAAGTGTCATATTAGAGAATGCTCACAAACTGAATGCAGGTCATACATAGCAAAGTTGTTTTATATGTGGCAGTGTTAGCATGAACCTGATTCCCCAATAAACATGCATAGGAAAGCCTTGTAAATTAGTATGGAGAGTAAGTCCAGTATTCACTCATTATACTGCATATATACAGTCAACCCTCACTTTACGCGGTTAATTCAACCCACGGCGGCCCGCATAAAGTGAACAACATAACATATGGGATTAATTGAAATAGAGACCGGGCCGACCCCCAAACTCAACTTTTTCAGACACAATACCTACGTTGTAGTAAAAATAACTTCTTAATTTTATGATGGTATGCACACACAATTAATAATTAAGAGAAATATCAATAATATTAGGTTTTTTAACACTTACATTAGTAGAAAAGATGGCTGGGCACACGGGGATGGGGGGTTGGTTCCGAGGCAGAGGGCAGATTATTGGCCCTCACCTGTATCAATTGTATCACTATCCACCACAGAAGCTTGCAGGGCCTCTTTGTCAAACCCCTCAAAGTCCATATAAGTCCATATCCTCACTATAATTATCACTATCACTGACTTGGGCCGGCTGTGGTGGGTGGCGGGTGAAGAACTCGGTAACGTTTTGATGACTGGGCGACCTTGTGCGCACCCTGCTCGCGCCGCTTACACAACATGGCGGATGGCGGGAGAGATGGCGGGAGGTTTGGATCCAAAAATGGCGTTGCTCGCCAGCCGCTCTCCGCGTAAAGGGGTACACGCACCGCGGAATGTGAGCATTCCGGTTTCGGCAGGGTACCGCGTAAACGTGGAAATGCGGAATGTGGGACCGCGTAAAGCGAGGGTTGACTGTACTGTACAGTAAAACCCTCTTAATCCAAACTTTTTATCTGCTTTCTCTGGACTAGCAAACCACTGAGGACTAGTTTCTGTTAATCCAGTTAAGAGTCCATATTAACATGAAGTAGTCTGGCTCTACTCACATGGTGACAAAAATAAATATGTATTTTTGAATCGCTAACCTACAGTATAATAAATACAATTCTCGTACAAACTGCACAACAGTATTTACCACAAAGTTGGTGATTCTGTTGGTCAATTTTTTCGTCATATTTCTCCTTCAAAACTTTTGCACACACCTTTCTCATGATCTTCCAGAACTGCTAGCTTTTCCTTCTAACTAAACTTCTTTCTGGCCCTCTTCCAACTTCCTTTTGAAGTTGTCTTGCCTTTGGAAGTCATTGTAATTTGTCCACAGTTACAAATAGTCATAGGAGTTAAGAGATGCGCACACGAGTGTGACTGGCTTGTAAACAAAGCGGCTGTGGTTGACATTGGATTTTTTTGGGTCATTCCAGACCTTTTCCGAATTAAATACTACCCCCCCCCCCACCCTCCCCCCAAAAGAAAAAAATTGCCTTATCCAAAAATTTGCTTAATATGGACTGGATTCCAACCAATTAGTCTGGATTAAGAGGGTTACTATGGGTTTTATAATGTCAAGATATGCTTCCTAAGTGTGTGTTATTTATTATAAGACGTATCTAGATGAAGATAAATTGTGATAATATATGATGTTTCTCAAATTTTTTTTATTTGACAGCACGTGACTACATAGTGTACATTTAAGTCTAGGTATTAAAGTCCCCCACATTACCTTTCATCATCATCAATTTTTTTATTGCTATTTTCCACGCTTGCATGGGTTAATCACAATTATGTGATAGCAGCTGTTGGATAAAACCAGAACAGTCATCTACCCCCCCCCCCTTCCCCCACCCAAAAAATGCATCAAAAGACCCTGGGATGGGTACAGCATTGGTGACAGAGGCCATCAGGCATGTTGAAGCTTAAGTTTTATGGCTGGATGTCCTTCCTAACACAACCCACAGAAGATGTTGATGTAGAATACTGTAATATCTTTCAGTATTTTTCTTACTTCACAAGACAAATGTAAATTGAATTATTGTATTATTTAGTTTGCTTTACATGGAATCAAAGGACATGACAAAATATTTTTTTATGAAACTTTACTTCAAGTTGTCTTTAATTTTTTTAATATTATGGAGTTGTGTAATATATCAGCAGAAGAAAGACTATGAATAAAAAATAAAATATACACCCACCTCACCTAGCCTACCATCTTATCTCCTCCTCCCCCATCGAATCTCCTTTCTCCTTCCCCACCTTTCCTTCAGGGGCTTGGTCTTCCCATTAGACATCAGTTGCTCTTTGCATACCTGTACCTAAAATGAATTTCAAAGTGGCTGTGATTCTAAAATGCTTTACATAATTTTGTCTTAGATATAAAACCTGTATCTATACTTATGTATGAGACTGAGTGTATTTAAAATTCTGCTTAAATAACTCGGTGCCCCCCACCCCCAACACCCTCCAGGTGTTTTGTGGTGTGAAAACTTAACAGCCACTCGTCAATTAGAATCGAAAAGTGACGTCACCACAGTTGTCCCAATTAGAGGGACAGTTCACAGTGAGTCTTAGTCAGACTCAGTCACTATGCAGGCAACAATCATCCACAAACTCCTCAACTTAAGGAGCTTGATTGTTACTTGTCATGCCCAGGGGATGGGATGGAGATACTGAGGCCTTTCCCAACATTATGTGACTTATCTCTCACGTTTAACACCCCACTACCTGCATCTGCTGCTTGTGAGCATCTGTTAGTCATGCTGGGCTTATTATTTATTGTTTAACTAATTTATTTCACCCCAGGGGGAGAGAATCCTAGTCACCAGACCGTGCAGTCAGACACTAATGCATTGGTACTCGTGTCTCACAGGACATGCTATGACTTGTGATATGGAGACAATGCTGTGTTGATTTAGGACATTGGGAGTTAGTACCCATAATAGCGTGGGTAGCATAAAAGAATTAAATCTAAATTATTACGATTAAGTAGGTGGTGACATAGTGGTCAGTGACTCCCTGTGGTGGGAGGCCCCTGACAGTGGGACAGTCAAGACAATAGTGTTGAAGGGTGTCAGCACTGGGACAGTTACAGAGTCATCCTCCACCTCAGATACTTGCCAGATAGGTCTGTATCTTAACCTAATGCGAGCAGAGACGACATTATTTGGTCCACGTTGACGATACTTGTGTGGATAAGGAATAAAGTGATCATAGTGTTGGTTGGATATACTCTCAGCCCATTCACTATCCATGCCATGGATTGTAGGGAGAAGAGCGGCTGAACGCATTCTCTTTCAGTAGGTCATGCTGGGCTTATATTTAGGCCTAAAAGATCCTGTTTGGACAGCCATAATTTCAATAATCAGTTATTGATTAATCACAGTAGAAAGATTTGCAAATAAACATGTGTAATGCTGTGCCTTTTATGTTTGTCTTTAGTTGACTAGTTTTTTTACAATTTATGTGTATTTATTTTAATATTTGAGACAATTAATAATTTTTTTGTTACTTTTACTTTCAGTACTTGAGTACTTTATGAATGAGATACTTTTTTACTTCTACTCGAGTACATTGAACTTTGGATACTTTTACTTCTATTTGAGTAATATTCTGCCAGTGTATAATACTTTTACTTAAGTAACAAAGTCCGGTACTTTTTACAACTCTGCCTTTTTCCTCCCTCTTTCATTCCGTGGTCCATATGTACTCCCTGTAATCCTCCTCTCTTTCTGTTCTTTTGATCTGATTCATAATATTATGTGGTCAATTATCACAACTCCTCACTGCGTTAGTCAAAAATACTGCCACCTTTCAGTCACTTCTTGACTAGACTTTTCAAAAAGATTTTGAGACAATTAATATTTTCTTTGGCATATTTAAGTTGATATTACATATTTTGTGATAGAATACCATAGATTTTTAGTTTTATCTTAGTGTAAAGTGAAAGAAATTACTCTAATTTATGATAATCTTTTCTTCTTTTTTTTTTTACAGTTTGCTGCTCATGCCTCCAATTATTACCCATTTTTGTGTGAAATCATGTGCTTCAATCTCAAGCCTGAATTAAGAGCAGTTCTGCGCCGCTTTTTCTTACGTATTGGTATTGTATTCAACATAACCCACCCAAGTGTTCGCAACCATACAACATCCACATCCTCAATAGGCTCCAATTCTTATCCTAAAGAGACTCACCTAAGTGAATAGTAAAGAATATATTAGACATAGTGTTTGTACAAATTATTGAGTTTCATGGCCTAAATCATTATTACTGTATTAAAACATTTAATAATAATAAATGAACCACTAAGAAGCACATATTCTCATTTAAAACTTTGCATCTATTAAAGTTATGTATTGGTGTGGATGTATGATAAATTGTATTTCTCTTCCCAGCGCAAATGATGTTTTTCAAGAGACTAGTGATATATAAACTGTTAGCAGTGTCCATATTATGGCAGTTTATGCTTGTTTACATATCTTATATTTTAGCTAATGCTCTGGGGCCAGGTGTCACTCACTCATAATACAGGCTGCTGACTAGGGAACTGGGAATAAAGACAATTTCTGTTTCTCATTTATGCAAGCCAGGGGTCATAAAGGGGCGTAACATTTACTATCTGAAAATCAGTAGGTATTACATGAGCCTAGTATGCTCATATAGCACATTCCATGCGAAGGCTTACATCTGCCAATTTGAATCCAGGATCAACACCTCACTTATTCCTTTTCCTAGTTGATAGGCAACAAGAACAGAGCACAAATCCAACTCTCCATAAAGAGCTGTAAAAGACTAAGTGTTAAAGGCCATCTTGATGAAGAAACACAAGGGATTTCTCTGTCATATTGCCAGTATAGTCATTTGTACTGTAGTGGCATTAATGTGTACATCCCACACCAGTGACCTACCATGGGTTCTTAGAGTACATAAATAAAATATCCAAAATCACTTATTTTCCAAAATTCTTGACACCCCAAGTGAATTTTACAACAGTCCAAAGCAACCCCAGTCAGCATGTGAAAGGAAATTTTTGCCCCATTTCTTCATTTTAAAACAAATTTTATGAGTAACACATCTGAAGGGTTCTATATAACAGGGATCAACTAGATTTGTATTTATGAATATTCTACATATATGTTGAATCTTAATTGTTAGAGCATTGCTCTGTATCAGGTTAAAAGGATTTATTATTCAGGAGTCAGTCCTCAGGGGATTTGTTTGCAGTATTGATATTGCAGAATCCCATCTGAATTTTGTTTGTATATTGGCAAGATTCCCAAGGAGGAGGACTTCTCTGTAGTAATTAGAAACTTCAGGTTATAAAGAAGCTCATGATTTTTCATACACTACATGCCCTTCCCCACCTTTTTTATTTACCCGATAGAAATTGCTCTCCTATGATTGATAAAGTTTTGTCAAAAGACCCTTTTGATACTTACCAGTATACCTTTCACTGTCCTCTAACAAGAGTGTTTTAAAACACTTATTAATGGATTTATCCCTATCACTAAGGGGTATAATCTAGTTAGGACTCCTCTTACTCCAGATGGAGTTTTGAGTTTACAGAGTTAGGATCTCATGGGCACTAGTACAGTATCTGTTATTGTGAATTCTTCCTTCCTGCAGCAGCACAATGTGCAACTGGTTCATGAGAAAGGGGATGGTTTTACCAAAAAAGTCTTCATGGATAAGATTGATCTCTAAATGTAACCATTTTTGTAGCAATAAGTACAGTCAGCCAAAGATCAAGCGACCCCACCCTGGGTCTCGTACTCGCAATTTTATCTGATAATACTTGGTGAAGGAAGGCTGTTTGTAATGGGGATTGTGATTGGTGAATCTATTTTCGGCTGTATTACTGTCAGGATAACATTAAATAATCCAAAGGTAACATTTTTATAATAATAAACTATTCATTGTTATTTAATATCATGAGAAGTTTCCAAATATTCATATATTTACTTAAGTAATGAAGAAAATTTGATCTGAGAATCTTATGGCAGCCCTTGTTGTAGTTGAGTTGCCAATTCATTAATATAATTTCTTCATTATTTAAGCAAATATACAAACATTTGGAATCTTTTTATTATCTTAAATAATGATGAATAGTTTATTATAAAAATGTTACCTTTGTTTTGTTTAATATTTATCCTGACAGTAATACAGCCGAAAATAGATCCACCAATCACAATCTCCATTACAAACAGCCTTCCTTCACCAAGTATTACCAGATAAAATTGCGAGTACGAAACCCAGGGTGGGGTCGCTTGATCTTTGGCTGACTGTACATAAAAACAACACTTTGTACATATTATCCAACAATCAATGGGTTCTGGAAAATGGGTTTATCTTTTCCACAGGTTCCTGGGTAACTCCTAAGAACTATGCAGGTGTGGAGATGGTAATTTAAACCGAACTTTAATAGATGGCATAAATGTGTAATCTCTCAAGGGTGCTTATTTGGTTAATCCTTGGAGCTTTTGTAAAACCTCACTTCCTCACTTTAGGCCACAGCTAGAAATGAAGGATTGATCCTGCTATCCTTTTTTAGAACACCCTCTTTCCTCCCTTAGATAGTGTACTTGTCATTTGGAACAGAAATATGAGTGACCTGTTGGTTCTGGATTCCAAATGGTGGAAGTTAGCATTGGCATAGAGAGTGTTGATTAGGTAAGCTTGGCTCACTTAAGACCTCGTGGCTCTCAGAGAGCAAGTGTTACAAGTCCCCCTCCCCCCCCAAGACAATATATGATGGGGAGGAAGGGGACATTGGTATACCCAAAGGGGTAAATACATCACCTTGACTGGCATACAGTATATAGGAAATATGAGGTTCTAGAGGTATATCGTAGTTGCCCAGTCAGCCACTACAGTATAACAAGAGTGGCCTGACTTTGAGCTCTGCTAGAAAACAAGATTTCAGGATGAATCCATAATTTTTGTATGGACACAGTGATATGTTGTAATTGTATCATGTTGAAAGTGATAATATGGTTTTATCTTACGATTTTTTGCCAGAATTTGAAAGTAAATCAGAAAAATCTTGGAATCCGTTAGGATACTATTTACTACTTGGAGAGTGGATTGTTAAGCCAAACTAGTTTACTTAAATTTATAAAAGATGTACAGGCTTGGTTAACTTTCCACACTTCAGCAATTTATGGTTCATTGTTTGCAAAACTCAAAATTATTAATCTACAGTACTGAAGGATTAGGATCAAAGTTTTCTTACCAAGTATTTATTGTCCAGATTTAAACAGACTGAATTGATCATTGTGATTCTAGATCTCCTTGTAGTGTATTCTCTCATGTCACAACTCCTGTCTCATTTCTTATTGTAAGCGTGCCCGTTCACCGGCTGAACTTACTTTTTCTTACGAAAAAGTTATTATTGTTCATCCTTTAATGATTTGATACATGTATATAAGTTAGGTAAATAGAAAATCACTTACGAATTGAAATGCTCCTTTGTGATATTGACTGTTAAATACTTATGTGAAAATACAGTACAGTATGCCCCCCAAGTTCGCTGATTTTTACTTCGTGATTCTCGGTTATTTGCGTATGACACCCTGGATGTACTCAAGAATGTCTGTGGGTAGTTTTAAAGTTGCCTGTATTTTCACGGCTGGGACAGGGAGTCATTCGTTGTAGAGACAGTAATTTCCTTTACCTGTATTGTATATATATGTGTGTGTGTGTGTGTAGACACACAAAACACATACAAATAAATAATAATGGGAAAATACTCTCACAAATAATTATAAACAAATTTATTAAAAATGTGAGTCTACCCTCAAATCTACTCTGTGCTTTAATAATAAATCACGGACTTCAGGGTAGACTGTCACATTTTAAATAAATTTGTTTATGATTATTTGTGAGAGTATTTTCCCATTATTATTTATTTGTATGTTTTTTGTGTGTGTGTGCTGTCTACACACACACATACAGTATATACAATACAGGTAAAAGAAATTATTTTTCTAAAGGCAAACACATAAAGGGAATACAGTATACATTTCTTTGTATACAAGTAAGAATGTAACCCCCCCTCCCTTCCCCACCACCATCGGTCAGCAAATGTGATTCGCGGCCATTTTGAGAACCTAACCCCCGCAAATTTGAGGAGGGGGGCGGCTGTATACAGTAATAATTTTTACCCAGTAATTGTAATGTATCTTCATTTTGGGTTTATAACATTTAGTTTTCTTAATTTCCTTAAATATCAAGAAACAATATCTGAGATAAAATCCTTCACTAGAAAGTTTGCTTTTAACTTTCTCATCTTTCAGTTGTTTTAGTGAAATTTATTTTATAATGATATAGGTACCCATAATAAATATACTGTCTAGTGAATAATATTTATTAGTTAATGAGCTTGTTTTGTACATTTGAAATATAAATATCTAAAAGTATAGTAAAGTCTGGGTAAATTTTATTTACATCAGTAGAACTATTTTGTTTAAAAAATAAATAAATAAAATACCTGTACCTGTACTGTAAATCTGAATTGAGTTGAATACTGTATGGATGAAGTTTTTGATATACTGTACTGTACCAAGAAGTATGTGCTGTGGCATCATATAAATAAACAAACATTTGCAGAAGAGTAATATACATTCTCTCTCGTCATATTCTAATGCACCAAAGTTTATGTTGCCTTGATTGCTTGGATGAATCATAGAACTTAAATTTTTGGCTATAATTGGTATTTATTTATTGGGTTTTTTTTATTAACATGGCATAGCATACTGACAGAGTGCAAACTGTGAACATTTATTTCTTAGAGTTTGACTGTGGAGTAAGACGAGCTGATAGTGTGAGAAATTTAGATACTTCGAATTTATTTGGAATAGAAGGAGTTTTGAATCAATAAAATATGGAATAATGAGGTGATATGGAATTCAAAGAATGGGTCATTGATAGTTAAAAGAGAAAGTGTATGAGAGGTGAACAGTATAAGATTAACAGGAGACTAAAAGTAAAATGAAAGGGCAGAATGAAAGATTGTGTAGCTTGGAAATGAGAATAGAGGAGTATGTATGGAGTTATTTGAAGAAAGAATAACATGGAGACCCTGCATGAGCCACTTGGCTAGTAGTGATGATCAGCTTCTCAGACATAGATGGATGGACACTATTGTTCATAAGCACATTGTTCCTTGCATATATGTGAAATCCTTCACAGAAAACAATATCAAAAATACTTTTGTTAAATGTTTATTCGATGATCAGTAAGAAATATGGCGGTATACAGTGGTCCCTCGGTTAACGAACCGTTCAATTAACGAAATTTCGGTTAACGAATTA